TGAGGAGTCCAATCATGTTTCCTGTTAAAAGTGTTCTTTTTCCTTGGTTGTAAGTTTTCAGCTGTTGAAACTATTGAATTGCATATAGATGACATAAATGAGTTGATATTACACACTGTTAAAGACTCAGATTCCTTTATTTTCTTTTTCATCTCGATGTCAATCAATTTTTCGTACTCGGAAGCGTCCATTTTGTTCCATTTAATTCTGTGAACATGTACTTTTTCATTAAGTACCTTATCCGTCTGCATATCTCTATGAATTAGTACCATTACAGGGTCGTGCCAATATGTATTAGGAGGTTCTCTCTGAAATGTTACATATAGTTCCACAATCTCCTTGTTTTCAATAAAATAGTCAATTTATGATTCATCCCTATTCTTCAAATGTTAAAACACAGATTAATATGATAGGCTTTGCTGAGTGTATTCGAATGGCTATTACTCTATTTCCACCATCAGTTAATTTTTCAATATAGTTCGCAAAACCGTTTTTGTAGCATATGGCTACCCCAGCATGTCCACGTTTACGTTCAAGTGGGTCTATAATGATTTCATCATCATAGCATTTTATGTGACTTTTAAAATTTAAATTGTCAATATAGTCTTCAATTTTATTCTTTTCCCAACTATGTACCCAATGCTCTTGCATGAAAATAATGTCAGCTCGTTTAGACAGGTTTTCCAAATATAATTTGTTTGATGTGAATCCTTCAATATTAAAAGATAAAATAGTAATTGGCTTTTTGTTGTGGCACTTTAAATCATGACTATTACAAGTTAACTTCGTAGAGTTTGGTTGACTTGACTGTACATTCACATTATCGGAGGCAGATGTTGGTTTGGTTGAAGTGGATATATATGATAAGGCACATGTTGGATTGGTGCTATCATGTGAGGGTTTCTTGGTGGTATGTTGAGGAAAGTGTGCTGGTTTGGATGATGTCTCTGCTGTGAAGTTAAGATTAGAGATGGTTGCATGATCGGATGATTCGGATACGCCTGTTGTGTCACAAGAGGTTTCTTGATTGGAGTATGGACATTTGGTTTCATTGGACGTATCCGGTTTTTTTTTCTTTCATCCGTACGTGTTTCTTCTGGCCTTGTTTGTCTAAAAAATCCAGGTTGGTTTCAGATTGTGAATCAGGTATTTCATCTGTTCGTAGGCAGAATTCTTCTTCCCTAAAATTATCACTTTTTGGTGTGCATGTATTTAAATTGTCACTACCAGGATCAATTATCTCAGTATTGTGTCTGTTGTTACGTTTTTGTCTATATGGACAACATATTATAACATGGTATTGGTTGCCATAGTCATGAAATCGTTTTTCATATCCATTAGTTGTCACTTAGATTATTAATTTTGTTATCCTGCTTAATAGCATCATATTCCAATGTTTTTATTCTTTCTTCTAAAATCCATGATTTTATCTCCCATTTTGGTCTCTAGAGTGTTCATCATCATTATGGCTTTCCTTTCTTGCATAAACACCACTTTTTTGTTTTTGAATTCTGAGCGAGGTTTATAAGTCTATAACATCCTGTTCAAGTTTTACTGTGTATGCTCTGTTTGTTGCAAGCTCCTTCTTTAAAGTGTTCATTTCTGAGTCCAGTTTACGTAATTGGCTATCTTTATTCTTCAAACGTTTTTCACTAAGAGCTAATTTTGTTTTCAAGTGGTTGATTTCCTCTTCTAGTATTGAGTTAGAATTTTGTATGTTACACTTGGTCGGACTTGACTGTTTTTGTGATTGTACACTCACTGGGCTTTTATCTTTTGATTGAGCAAGTATTTTAGTCTCAGTCAGATGGATACTTCTCTTTACATGTGTAAATGGAGAAAGCATATATTTTTCATCACTTTTTTTGTTAATATCATCAGCAATATTGATATCATTGTGCAAGGTTTGTATTGTAACTTGTTGATTACTTGCACTTTTGTTAAGATCTGAGTTTGTATTGGTAGCAATTTCTGGAGAATGTGAATTCTGATTAAAATTTGTATGGTCATTTCTAAGTTTTTCGCACCCTTTACAGATATACAGGATCGTGCTATTTTCTTCAAGTTGTTCAATATCTTCTAACGTGATATTTTCACACTCATAGTGCACCCAACGATAGCACGAGTCACATTCTACAGCCTTTGAATCAGTTTCACACAATAATAAACATGTTTGACATATTGAGTTTTCATCTTTTTCATTATCAATGCATTTGTTACTATTTGTTATCGATAAGTCAGAGCAAGGATTAGTATTACTATACAAATCCTTAGTCAGAGTAACAAGCAGTAGGTGCTGAGTCATAGGGTTTCTTTGCTTTTATATTTGTTTCTTGGCATTTATTTTTGTTAAGGAAGCATTGACAATACTCTCTTATTACGATCTAGAATCAGTAAAATGTCAGATAGTTGTGAAGATACAAAGTCAATTATATGATTCTGGTTTTCATTCAAAAGCACTCTAGCGGTCGAATTGTAGAAATTTCAAAAGCACTCTAGCAGTCGAATTATAGAAATTCAGTACAAATATCTTTTTTTCTACCTTTTGTTGCATTAAGAGATTACGAGACAATCGATCCAGATTTATCAGTGGTATTTGTCTGATTTATATATATATAGACCACGTAGTATAGACTCACTTGCAAGGGGACATGTACAGTGCATTGGGTATATTTAAAAGAATAATATTAAAAAGTTACTAAAAATCAGTTAGTAAAATCTAAAATGAGGTTCTTGAGTACACGGGAAGTACTGATATATCTTTATCTATATATTTTCAAGATGGCGGCAAAGTATAGCCGGCGGTAAAAACACACTTTTGACAGGTCTAGTACTGGTTTTAAACAAGAATGTTTTAAGATAACTAAAATAACGACGATGAGGTGAATGTTTTTGTACAACTATATATACATGTGCATTAAAACAAACTGCTTAAAACGTGCTTGGGTATCATAAAATATCAGGAGCTAAAAAGCGTGTCAGCCATCTTTTCTTCTACATCCGGGACAAATAAGCAAAACCGAACAATTCAATATCTCATTCTTCGTTAAGATTGTGAGTTGGAAGATGTAGTGTGCAACAAGTCAGTCGAGAGCTTCAAAACAGCCGTCCAACACCGTCAATGTGAGCTTTCTCAGAGGTTCTCTCGTCGAGTTAAAGCTTTCGAGACGTTTCTGTCACACAACCAGTTCAGTCAACTTAACTTATGGGGTTTTTTAATGACCTTGACTGGCTATAAAGCCCTCGCACGGTCGGTAGTTCGGTCATTAACCGACCGTGCGAGGGATGTATATCCAGTCAAGGTCGTAAAACACTTCCAGTAGTTTGGTCATATATATCGTTTCGACCACCGTGAGTACCAGTTCGGCCATTGACGATTCGGCCACTCATTTTGATTTCATATCGTTCTTAATATATATAATGTACATTAATTGTATTGACAGAAGACTTACTAGTACTTTGTTTTAAAAAAGAAAATTACTCACCGAAAAGTGATTTTGTCAAAGTGTGCATCTAATCTGAAACAAGAATATTATATGTCTCTGCAGGAACATATACTGTTCCCAGGTCCCTGATACAAGAAATTTTTATGTCACACATGATTAAAAAAAATAATGGAGTGTAAAAAGTAAAAAGAATACCTGTGGAAAATGTAGAAAAAGAAGTAGACTGTAATTTTCAGAATGATTGAATCATGTTTGCGGTTATTGGTGGATAGACAACCTACTGATTATTGCGCCTTGCCCTGTAACTTGCGTTTTGTCATAGTCCATTACACTGTTATTTTTCAATAAAAGAGTGAAAGAGGCATTTTGAGTTCCTTTATGACTCAAAGTCAGTACTGTAAAGGGCAAAATCAAGAATTGCAAATTTGGTACATTCGAAGTAACGCTACAGAAAGGGAAAATTAAACACAAATGATAAGTTTCCTTCCCCTACATTCTTCGATCACACTTGTAAACTGTAACAAAACAAATGCAAAACTTGAAGTAAGTGGCAACTTGTACAAAAGAAGGTACAAAAAATGTAATACGGTTATGCACACACACTCAAACATTCCTTCGTTTATCAACCACAGATATGTCTAAGCAGGAACATAGATATACTGTTCCCAGGTCTAAGCTATCTGAAATTTGGTCAACATAATTGTATACACGTGACTGTATATTCCCAGACGAGTACAGCTCTTGTGTCTTTCAGCTCAAAGATCTTTCACACACATCATAAACACGTACTGCATAACAATTTCATAGTTTTACCACGAAACATACATACTAGGATAACAATCCACATAAAAAACGTAATATATTTGATTTTTTCTGTTCACCAATGTTACCAATGTAACGTAATATTAATGAAAAAATTATTACTTTTAATTGCACATAAGCCACACATGAAACGGCACATAATAGTCAAAGTTGTGAATGAATTAGAAATATGAAGATAGATACTACTTTTGAATACTCTAACAATTGAAGATTAAGAAAACTTCAAAAATAAATCGAGATTTACTTTATTTTCAGTCGGAAATTGTATTGCTAAACCTTTTGTGTGAAGTATATTCAGTCATAATGGTTTGCTTTCTTATTGATGAGGGGTGGATAGGGGTCCCTGATTCCCACTTCCCTATCCCCCAACTCCCACTTCCCTCCCCCTTTATTCCCAAACGAAAATCATTCCATAAATTTTTCCTACAACATCTCTATTTTTACTGCCCCTCTTCCGCCGGTTCCCACCCCCTGACTCCTGGTTCCCGTCCCCTCATTCTCATGTTCCCTTACCCCTGTCCAATACCTAATTGATGTATACCTCAGTTCAGGAGCTGAAACATTTCAGCGTGTCAACTCTTGTTTTACCATTTTAGTCATGTTAGCCTGAATAGTGAATGCCTTTAAAATATTTAAGCAAAAACAAGTTGATTAATGCCAATTTTGATCTTAAAAATGAGAGAAGCTGTTGAAATAATGAGTAAACTATTTTTTTCTCTCATTTTCTTTCAGGAGTCAGTTTAATTCTAAACTAGGGTGTGATGATGGATGGACCTACAAATCTTACTCTGATAAAGAATGTAACTATGGTAGGTCATTTTTAATATTTATTTTTTCCCTGTCCCAGTTTGATTTCGTGGTTTGCTTCAAAGTGTTTTCATATTTTTCTGTTTTTTTGGTGGTAAAATTTTTTGTTTTTTGAAAGGAGATGGCAATGTTTTTATCAGTCCATCTAGCTTTGCATCTGTTAACATGAGTAAAGCAGTTACCTAGTATACTTTAAAGTTTGTTTTTGTTTCATTCAGATTGCCAGTTGCTCAAAAAATTGATCGACAATTCACATATATTACTTTGGACTTGGCGAGGGGGAGTATGGGGATTGCTTACTCTTTTAAAATGTTTCCTGTTTTTAAAAGTATTGAAAGACAGTTTTCATTTTTTGTTTTTGTTTTGAAGGAACTATAATAGACAAAGAGAAAAACTTTAATTGGCAAAAATGTTTTGCAAAAGTTATACCTACAAATAAGTCAGCATGACTGAAATAGTCAATCACCCCTTATGGGAATTATTGCCCTTGCAAGTTGATTTTGTTTTTTAAAAGTTTTTTGCATAATCTAGAATAGCGATAAAGAGAAACTTTGAATAGCAACAAATGTTATTTTGAAGAACATTAATTGCAATGCCATTTGAAGTTTCTGATCTAAAAGAATGTCTGCAAGAAAAATTCAAAGTGGGCAAAAATTGCTTTTCAAGGGCATAGATCTATATTTTAATTAGAATTGTTCTTGAACAATGTGAGTACTCAAAAAAACACACACACACACAATATCTAATGACAAAATACAGAAAGAAATGTCATTAGTTTCAAAGAAAACAAAACATCTGCATCAGTATGTTTAAATAAGTACATTGACTCTTGCATATTTACAAGAGGGAGCATCTGTATCCCATGGATGCATTCTTCTTTTTTACGTTGAATGACGCATGAATGCTGTGTTCTTATATTCTTCTTGCAAAGTTCAGATTTGCTTATAAACTCAGAACAAATAAATTGCATAAAAAAACACCATTACATTGAACCAACTATTAGGAAACTATCAAATGTTCATTTATAGCTTTTATAATTGACATGAATAGTCATTAATGATAATATTAAATTACTAATAAAAAAGATTGTGCATATTGAAGCATTGTCAATAACAAAGTGTATGTAATATTCACTTATTTACATGATAAGAAATGAACAATTAGTAAGCAGACAATCAAACAATAAAGTAGCAAGTTGAGTGGAAAATTTGCAGTTTTAAGACTTTAAAAGGCTTGTTATAAAGTTCTAAAGCATGATCGATTTTGTAAATTAATTAAAATTTAGAAAGTACGTTTACGGTGTCATTTTACATTTTTTCAATTTTTATGTGATATGTAATATGAATAAGAATTATACTCTTCAAAATTGAACAAAAGAGAATTTATATGAAAACCTTTGTTTCTATACATTTCTTTATAAATAATTTTTTAATACCTATGCTTATAGTATTTCTCAAACCTTCAAAATGAAAAGGCAGAGGGTACATCATACTTAGTTGTATATATATTATTTTTAAAGATAATTTATTTCCTTTTTTCCTTAATTTGTGGTTTTTATGTATCATAAACTATAATATACAATTCTCACAGTTCATGTTTAGAGAGGTTTTACCTGTGCGCCAAAGGCAAAAGCATGTATAGTAACTGCTTGACTCTGTCTGTCTGAAAGACCTTGGGTAGAAAATTTACGTGAAAGTTTTCTTGGCTTCTATGGAAGCAAAAAATGTTTTTGGTCTGGAGCTTGATTATGTTGAAATGTAGTGTGTAAGCAATTTTAACATCTGCCGTGCAGCCTCTTTCTGTTTGCTGATAGTTTAAAATTTTACAACATTCATATTGTACAAGGAGCTAATCGTTTAAGAGGAGAAACTGGTTTGCTGCTAATGAAATCCTATATGTGTATTTCACATGTATATAAGTTGCTTATTATTAAGTTTCTTCAAACTTTCAGAAATATGAAAATTGTTATGCTAAATATGTTATATTCAAATCTATATATTTTCAACCCTTAACATTACATCAATGAAAATAATTTATTCAAGTCAAATTGCATTTAATTTTGGTAATCATCTTCATCAGTTAAGCTTCAGTACACATGTTACCTGATCAATTGCATGCAGCTGACACACGGGTGATCACAGATGATGATCCAGACCCTGCATTCAGTATTTCCACATCATAACAACAATGATGTGTACTTTTAATAATATTCTGTTACTAAGATAGAATTAATTTGCTGTAATTAATGTATTTTTAGCAATATGTGATGGAAAAACCAATTTCAATGGAGCTTGTAATATCTATTATCCTGATGACCAACAAATAATTAGAAGTCATAGCTCACCACTGAAGTCCAGTGGAGGAAGCTGTACCGGTCCAAACAACTGTATTGACTGTAATGATGGGTTTTACTCTGATGGCTCTAATTGTAGAAGTAAGTATTTCATAATGGAAACCATATGCTGAAGTCTTTTAATAGGACATATATAAGTGAATATTATTTTAAGTGATTTCATCTACGTGTAAACCAAATACCTTTGTTATCAATACCTGTTTGTCACATGATCTATATGTTCACTTGTTTAATGACACAACTGAAATCACAGAATTTGAATATATCTGAGGTTTGATGGCAGTCTGCTGGATTTTAGCTGGGGTATCTTCATTTTTTTTAACCCACAGGTAAAGAACATTTTACTTGAAAAGTAGTTTTTGTATTGTTTCGACAAAGTCGGACAATTGAGGCTTATAGATGTGATGTTTCCAGTGACAGCAGCCTCAACAATTTAATAGTTTGTTATCAAATCAGTGTATGCCTATAGGGAACCACTAGAGGTAGGGCAATGATATTTGGAATGGAGTTGTATGAAATTTGCGCATCTCATATCCATAGAGATTATTTGTCCATGTCCCCTCAGTCATTGTCTATTGACTTTGAAACATTTGTTTAGTTTTCATTTATTAGTTTGTGATTAGGTCAGTTCATGGAGAACCATTAGTAATAGGTCAATGATATTTGGTATGCAGATGTATTAGCATTGGCACATCTCATTTCCATGGAGATTATTTGACTCCTCCCCTCAGTCATGGTCTTTGAATTTTTGCATAGTTTACAGTTAAAGTTTGTGATTAGATATCAGTTTAAGATGAACCACTAGTGTTTAGTCAATGGTATTTGGTATGCAGTTGTACAGTATAAGCATTTGCAATTTCATTTTCAAGGAGATTATATGGCCCTGCACCATCATCATAGTCCATTGACTTTAAAACTTTTGCATAGTTTACTTGTTAAAGTTTGTAATTAGGATAGTTTTAAGGGAACCACTGATAATAATCAATTCAATGATATTGGGTATACAGTTTTGATCAGCCTTGGCATTTCTCATTTCCATGCAGGTTATTTGGCCCTGCACCTGTCTGGTTAATTGACTTTTAATGTTTTGCATAGTTTACAAGTTAAAATATTGCCATTTTAATCTGCATTAAACTATAGTTAACTCTTGTTGTCTCGAACTCGGTTGACTCGAAATTTTGGATGAGTTGAAGTTTTCTCGTGGTCCTGATCTTTGTTCCATATGAATATATGTATTTCGACTCCTGATGAGTCGAAAATTTCGGTTGACTCAAACTAAATTTACGGTCCCAAGGTTAACAAAAGCATTCAAAATTCATTATTTATCTCGAACTAATACACATATATGTCAAAACATGACCTCTGGGATTTAAATGGATTGAAGTGTTAATCTGACAATACATGTGTAATTAAATTTCCGGTCACTGACCAATGTATTGATTAATATGACATTCTTTTTCCACGAGTGTTTACCTAAGATTATCCTTGATTAATAATTAGTGATATATTGTAATAGTTTATGAAAAATTATTTAAAATGTTTTAAAAACAAATTACCGTAATCATACACTAATGAGCTTGGTTGTGTATAAAGTAGGGATTGAGACTTCCGTGGTGATCAATTCAAAACTACCCAATAGGCGTCCTTAATCTTTTTGTATTTTCTCTTGCGGTAAAAGATTGAAGTAAAAGAAATCGAAAAGAAATCTAAATTTTCTAAAATCTCTTGTATACGAGAATGATCAATTTTGTCAACTTTAAATAACGCTAAGATCGATTGGAAATTACTCTCTCGGCTAAAAACCACAGAAAAAAATGTAACTGTACAAAGAAATAAATAAGAGACGAAAACATAAAATCGTATCATAATAATAGAAGACCATAACATATTCAAACACATCGTTCTGAGACCAGAATATCGATCCCCTACTCATCTTTGTCCAGATTTATTTTAGCCTTACCAAGCGAAGCAAAAGTTGTGTCACTTGGTCTGTCAAACTTCCAGTATACGTTTGAGTCAAACTACGGGTATCTCGAAATATTTCTCTGGTCTGGCTGACTTCGAGATAATGAGAGTCGACTGTATTATATACAAAAAGCGAGACATTTCTGTGTCAACAGTTTATTTTCCATATGTATTATATTTATTGGAGAATTTTTAACAAAATCTTACAGGATTACATGAAGAGAGAACACAATCACAAGTTTGATGAAAGTTAAGATTAATACTAACCAATTTATATGGTATTTTTACATGATATTAAAAAAAAGAATAAGTTCTCTCTTAAAACGAAATCATGATTTATTGGGGATTGAAACATCATATTATCTTTTAAACCTGTCAAATTGGCACCTATGCTTTAAAAATAAGGTTAATTGAGTATAAATTTCTTCTTTTTCATATACATAATATTGAATTATTTTCCTGTCAATTCCAGTTTGCTCTAAGATCAGTAACTGTAATCACAGACGATGTACAACTGCCACAAACCATAAATGCATGTATTGTGAAGGAGATGTGGCATCCAGACCATATTGGAGAGCATATACTCCAGAAACTGATGATGCCAATTCTTGTCAAAGTATATATTTTTAGTTTCATTAGATCTATTGTGATAACTTTGCATTATGGATAGGATGTAAAAATTTGACATTGCAATACAATTTAACTTTGATACTCAACTCATTTGTGTTCACAATGGTGTTATAGTAAAACATAAGCATTGTAAAAACAATTGTTTTTTATTTGAGAATTGAATGCTTACAGTTACTTTTGTGATTTAATTAGGGTGTAGAAGCGTTGACGGAGCACATTTGGTATAAAGTGCGGAAGCGTTTCATACTATAAATTTGGGCACGATCAGGCCTTTTACAAACCTTATGAAATTACAAAAAGAAGCATTCAATTCTTATAATTACATTTATGTTCTACAACTATGAAATTACTAGTTATATCAAGAATTTCTTTGTTTTTCGGAGTCATAAATGTTGAATTTTATGTAGAAATACTATTTAATTTTGGAATGCCTTACGATTACTTTTAGCCAATCAAAAGTACAGATTCTAATGAAACATACATGTAATTTAATTATTATGAATTTAAAACGGTTACACCTAAAAAGGTTTAAACAATAAGGAAATCGTAATCATCACTATGTGCAGTTGCTTAAAACAAAACTGTATTAGTATTTAACTACTTTTTTAATGATTTCTTTTTCATGTTTTTCATCCAAACAGTGGACCATTCCTTTCCTCTTTTCTCTATTATCATTGCTGTCAAATATTTCTTTCTGAGTAAACATCATGGATATATAATTGTTTTTTGGGATGTCAGGATTGATAGCTCCTTTATTTTTGTGGGAATTCAAGAATGGGATTTAATGTTATTGGGACTCAGGAATTAATGATTAATTTTTCAGGATCCGGAAAAGAATGCTTTATTTTTTAGTGAATTCTGAATTCAGCATTCATTTTTTGGGGAATTCGTGATGATGCCTCCTGTCTCCACTCTTTTTAGAGCATTTTGTTTTATGTAGAAAGCCATACTGTTTAAATTCATTATGCCCCCGGAACAAAATGTTGATTGGCATATTAATTTACCCCTGTCCATCCGTCCATCCCTTTTTCCTTTTGTTTGTCCGGTTATATACCGGGTAGATACATGGTTTGTCTGGCTATCGCCTGATACAGTTTTTGAGCTACAGCTATAATATTTTGTAGGATTTTTCTTCACATAATAGAGGTGTACATGTCCACAGGATTTTGATTTTTTTGTAATGTTCTCAAAGTGCCAGGTATTTGTACATTGTACTTAGTAATTTTTTTTATTCTAGCTACATAAAGAGATCATGGTTTGTCCAGCTATCTCCTCCTTCAGTTTTTGAGCTACAGCTTTTATATTTTGTAAAGGAGATGTGGCATCCATTTTTATACACATAATACATTTGTGCATGTCCACATGAGTTTGATTTTTTTCAAATATTCTCAAAATGCCAGGTATTTGGACATAGTCATTTTTTTTATACTAGCTGCATAAAGAAATCATGGTTTGTCCAGCTATCTCCTCTTACAGTTTTTGAGAGACAGCTTTAATATTTTTTAGGTTGTTTGTACACTGAGGATTTTAATTTTTTTAAAGTATTCTCAAAGTGCCAGATATTTGGACGTAGTCATTTTTTGTAATAAAAGTCAGAAAGCGGGGGGGGGGGGGGGGGGGGGGGGGTGTGGTGATGTAAGATATTCACAAATACCGGTAGTTGGACTTCATTTCCTTTTCATTTGCTATATAATTGAAAACATTGTCCGTCTGTCCCTCTGTCTGTCCGGCGTAAACATGTCGCACTGTAACTTGAGAATGACTTATCCAAATTTCATGAAACTTAACATAGTTGTTTCTTATGATGGTCAAACGATCTGTATACTTTTTGGTGAAAATAAGATTAAAACTTTTTGAGTTACGGGACTTAGTAACTAAAACAGGTGTGTGTTTTTATTCACATGTTGCGCTGTATCTCAAAAACAATTTATGATTATTGCTTAAAACTTTACACACTTCTTAGCTATATTAATCTTAAGATCTGTATACTTTTTGGTGTTGATTCATAATTTTGTTTTAGAGATATTGAGTATTTTGTTAAAAAAGGGGGAGGGGTTTTTCACATGTCGCGCCGTATCTCAAAAACAGTTTATGATTATTGCTTAAAACTTTACACACTTCTTAGTTATATTAACCTTAAGATCTGTATACTTTTTGGTGATGATTCAAAATTTTATTTTTGAGTTATTGAGTATTTTGTAAAAAAGGGGGAGGGGTTTTATACATGTCGCGCCGTATCTCAAAAACGATTTATGATTATTGCTTAAAATTTTACACACTTCTTAGTTATATTAATCTAAAGATCTGTATACTTTTTGGTTTTGATTCAAAATTTTATTTTTGAGATATTGATTTTTTTTTTTTAAAAGGGGGGGTTTTCACATGTCGCGCCGTATCTCAAAAACAATTTATGATTATTGCTTAAAATTTTACACACTTCTTAGTTATATTAATCTAAAGATCTCTATACTTTTTGGTTTTGATTCAAAATTTTATTTTAGAGATATTGAGTTTTTTGTAAAAAAAGGGGGAGGGGTTTTCGCATGTCACGCCGTATGTCAGAAACTATTTATGCTTATTGCATAAAAATTCACACACAAGACGGCGGGCGTATCATGCGCTCATGGCGCAGCTGTTTATTATGAATAGGTGAAACTTAATTTACTTCATAGAAATTTATCAACAAAATTAGCAAGGTAATTTTTTTACTATTGATAGAGACCTGTAACTGGAGAGCTGAAAGTACCCGTTGTTATCCAGGAACTTGTGCTGATGAGTTGGCAGCTAATTGTAAATGTTCAGGGAACTTTACCGGTAATCACTGTGAAAAAAGTAAGTTTAAGTATTATTTAAAAACCACTATTTTATTAACTTACAAATGACATGACAATATTTGAAATAGATTTGTTGTGAGAAATATGCATTGGTCTAACAGTTGTCGTAGGTACTTTAATATTAGTAAAAGGAAATGAACATATATGTCAACAAAGGTAAGAGGTTACTAAAGGAGATATAAAAATCAACAAGTTGAAGGAAGATAACACTCAAGCAAAAAAAACAATCTGATGAACAACAATCCAACAGATTGGTATTAAAAAGGTTCCACATAAGTGGAAGATAGACAACACTGGTACATGGCCAAAAGAAAAAAAATCCAACAAAACACCATCCACAAATCACTTCATCGAAAACTAAAGATTGAGCAACAGAAACCCCACGAAAAAACAGGGGGATCTCATGTTCTGTTGTAGGGTAAGCAGTTTCTGCTCTACTAGTGGCACCTGTCATGTTGCTCATGGCAAGTAAAACTAAGAAAATAAGACCCATGGCATTTGTTGATACCGTAAATGATAAAAGACAGATATGTTACATATATACATGGTTTTCAATGATACATGTACTGATATCACATATGTAGCACTTTTTTTTAATTCATATACTAAAAGTAGTATATATTCAGATATTGAAGGGTATAGCTGAGTATTTTCTGTGTACATCAGCTTTTGTGTTAAAGAAAGTGACGATTATCTCCCTTTACTTTTTCAGTAATGAATGATCCTACCATTGCATTTAACCATGCAGCTTTTTATGATAGCAGCAGGCTACACAAGTTGGAAAATAACCCTAACTATGTGGAGAATGATATACCTGTTTATTGGACAAACTTTGTGGGGTTTAGTATTATTGAGACTGGTATGGCTGCCAAGTTTTTACAACCACCAGACACTAGGGATGCAGATCATTATGTGACTGCTTTTAGAATTGGACTGATTGTGCAGAGGATAACATTGTCATTTTATAAGAGTAGGTGTTTTGAAAAAGTATATAACAGATCACTTAATTATATCCAACAAATTTGAAAATATGTAAAAAATGACAAATTCTTCAATGTGTTGGATAGATTTGAGATGATCTGTGTATATAAGCCTTTAAACCACAATGCCTTCAGTCCTAGTGTTGTATGTCTAATAATAATTAGTGCCTATAGTAGTTTATTATGTAATGATTTTCAGTGTGCATTTCAAGGACATGTTTTGCACTCCTGGCATAGCTCTTAATTATGTCATGTCCCCTTTAAGATATTTGGTATCCAGAGATTTTAACGCTTGCTCAAGTATGGATAGTATGTATTTCTAATTTAAATTTTAAACTTAAATATTATGAGTTCATAGGCACAAAAATGCTAAACTTTTTGGCTTGTCATGAAGTTTTATTAAAGATGGAAAAAAAGACATATTGAAAATCCCTTTCATGACCTTATTTCTGAGCAGAAAAAGTAGTTTGATGGTGCTTAAGTTTATTTTAATTATTTGTGTATTTTTTGCAGATGGAACCTATGAGTCATCACAGGTGAAGTACTGTAGTGGAATGGACAGGGACCTACCTGTGGATTCTAAGGATTGCTCAAACAAGTTTAGCTTAAGTCGCTTTCCAACTACACTACACGATGATAAGTAGGTATTTCTAGAAAGTTTTGTTGTCCTCACTGAACATTCAGCTTATTTATTGATTACAAACGTCTTTCTCTGATACTTTTTGTGTTTTATGCTCTTAAAATGTTTTATATTTTGACTTACCAAGCTCTTGATCTAAGGCCTACCTGTTGAAATTTACTCTAGTATGAGGTGTTGTTAGCACGAATATCGTATCATACATTGAATCATTAATTTGGTACCCACTTGTGGACCAAAACACCCAGTAATTTTTACTTTGTGCTTTAAATAATACATTATATACATTATGTAGATATCCAGATCCTAAAATAGTAATTGTGCCAAAATATAGTTACAATTCTTTTTAATAAGCAAAAATAACCATAGATGGTTTTGTCTATTCATTATTCTGTTTAGGTCCTTTTGGTTTTCATGCTTTCAGATGTTTTATAATTATTGCTTTCAAAACTTTAGATCTTTAGTCCAGAAACATATGTTGTTCCCACGGAATCATATCATACATTAAAAGTGAATAAATCAACTAAATTCAAAAATTTGAATTATTGTTTTGACCATGTTAAAAATGTTAAAGTACTTAATAAACAAATGCGATAAATTATAATGCAAAGATTGAAATAGTAATGTCAACACTTTCCAAAAATGGTTTAAATTTTTTTTCAAAAATCAAATACTGTAAATTCAGAAAATTTATTGCGATTTTTATAGAAAGAATAAAAATGCTAGTTTGATTTTTGCGATTTTAAGATAAGTGTTTTACAGATATGTGTATCAGATATCAGAATGCGAGCTCTTATTATTGCAATACTCACAGAGTCACAATGATTTGCAGTAATAAAAACCTCACAATGATTTCTGAATTTACAGTGCTGCTTGATCATAAAACTTATACCCACTAACTGTATAAGATTAAAAAAGAAAATCTCAGCTATAGAAAACTGAAAGCTTGTGTCTATCATAAAACAAAATAAACTTTTAGAGTATATCTTGAAACACTTATTGATTCCAATTTTAGAATAATGTTTGCAGTATCTGCAGAAAATGGTGGTTATGTAGATGTACATAACAGAGAGACAGATGGAATTAACAGATACTATTATGAAGGAAAGACTTTGGTCCGTGAGTTTGAGTTCCACTGGGATCTTGTCAACCCCTACCATTGTTCTGTTACACAAGGGTTAGGATGTGAAGCTTTTGCTTCTGTCACAAATGATATAACAGATAATGTAAGTAGCTTTAAAAAATGTAAGCTTCTAAAATCCTTCTATGATAAACATAACCCAGAATAAATCTTTTACACTCTTTCTTACTATGGGTTATTTGATAGAGAACAGTTGCCTAAAGGTGCTGCCAAAACAATGGACCATCATAACCTAATGAAAAAGGAAAACAATTTCTTCAAAATTTCTCATTCAAATACCGTAATCTGCCTTGTATAGTTCGCACTAGTACATTGTCCCCACCCCCCTTCTTGCCATGAGAATTCAGGTAAAAAAAACTTTTTGTTACTGTTAGAAAACGTCTAATGAAACTCTGGTTATTTCAAATCATGTGTGATCGTATGCGGTATTTTCATGGAAAAACCCGTTTTTCCATCATCAAATAGAAGTTGAAAATGTTTGTAAATGATTCTAGAACACTTCACGAGTGTTGAAATAAGTGAAAATCACAAAAAAAAACAATATAGAAACTTGTGTATGTTTAAACCAGTTCCATCCATGAGTAAAATAATGTTTAATATATCTGTCACATTAAAGTTTGAAGGGTCTTAAGCTAAAATAAAATACATGCGTCAGTATGAAACACTAAAATGGAACAAATAACCGATTACATTTTGTAGTTTATACATCATTATGCATAAGCTGGTTCCCAATTGACTTTTACACTTTTTTCGTTCCATTAAATTCAAGCAAATTCCAGTTTATTTAAGCAATGCAGTGAAAAGAAAGGAGAAATTTGTAGTGAAGCATTTAATTTTGAAATTTATCAGTTTATATTTGATATTGAATAAAAATTACATATAAATATGGATTAGGTAAAATTATTAGTTTTGAAAATGATAATAGCGCCCTCTACAATTTCAATAACAAACATGGCAGAACATAAACAAACCTCGCGAAATCGAATTTTTTCTCTTATTTCTTGCTTATCGTACTCTATAGTCTAGCAGGTTCCATTTTGGAGAATAAAACCGTTTATTCAAGCCTGAATTCGGTAGCTCCTATTCATGATAGTGGCAAAGTACAGCAGCTAGTGTTTTGAATAAATATAGTACATATTTGCATGATAATATAGATTTTTTTTTTTATTAGATATACTACTGTGGATTCATTATCAATCATTGGATACCAATTTTCGTGGATTTCGTGGATACAGATGAACCTCAAATTTAAATGTTCAACAAATTACATGTTTTCTATAAGGCTTTTATGTAGACTTTTGCAAAACCACAAAATCAAATATCCATGAAAATGCAAGTTTTTCTCAATCCACGAAAATTTGTTACCACAAATATAAATGAATCCACGGTATATATTGTTTATTACACTTACTATTTACTGTTTTCCTTAATTAAGCCAAGTTAGCCAACTTTTATTACTAATAACCCATATTGGATATACATGTATACATACAGATAATGTTTCGTTTATGCTGTGAAATAGTGTGTATGATGTGATGTCTTCAAAGCCAGTTGTACAACAAGGTGTTAAAAATAATATGAAATATAATTTGAATTCCTATTAATTATTTTTATGCCAAGCCTATGATAGTAGACAGGGCATTATGTTTTCTGGTCTGTGGTTCCGCCTCTTTTCCATCTGTCTGTCCATTTGTCAGTTCGTATTGGGTTAAAGTTTTGGTAAATTGGTAAATGTGGTTTATGATGGTCAACTTGAAACTTATGAAACATTTTCATTATGATGTGCACTTTATAAATTTTGTGCCAAATAAGGTATGACCAAAATTTCACAGTTCACTGAACATGACCAGTACATTCTCAGGTTTAAGTTTTTGGTTAAGGTAGTGTACCATGAATCTATAGTCAGATAAACTTGAAGCTTGGTACACATCATCATTATGATGTGATCTCGTAACTTTTTATGCCAAATTATAGTTTTTCCCTAATTTCATGGTTCATTGAACAAGGAAAATGATAGTGTGAGCCTGTGGTCACACATTCTTGTCTAATATAATCCTCTTCAATAAATATGTAAATACTTCATATAATTTCTAACTTTTATTGTGATCTTTCAGCCAAACATAACTTTGACCTTCGGAGGCTGGGAAGATGATTTGGCTGGATTATCATATTATGGCTATGAAGTTTTTGAGCTTGGTCATAATGGAGAGGAGCTAATTGATGGTATGAGTGCAGTATTTGGTCAATCCAAGATACATGTAGATAACCGCACAGTAAGTAGTAGATATTTTTTTTTATTCAGGGGTTTGTCAAGTGAGGTAGTTCACACTCCTTCGAGCCTCTTCGTTTGCATAAATAGAAACATAGCAGTGTATTCCTCAATTTGAAGTGCATGACTAAGTATATAGGATATTATTTGTTGACATTTAAAGTATCTGAATTTCCATAGTCTTCTGTTTATATGTATATATATATATATTTACCGTTTTGATTCCTAACATCACTGAAGAGACATTAATTGTCGAAATCTGGATATGGTGTACTAATTTTTGCACTTGTTTGCAGTATACCATCTTTTCCACAAGTTTATTGTTTTCTGTTTGGTATTAAATTAATAGTTAAGATCCATTTTGTTACATCTGGTGATCCGTTTATTTGGCAATCACCAATGGCAGTCAGCAGGGTTTAAGAACATTCGTTGTTCGACCTGCTAGTCAAATGCGTTTTGTTGAAATATACTTTTTCACTTTTTTGGTCTTTTGGAAAATGTTGTTTGTGCTGTATTTAGTCCCCTCTACCAAGAAATTTGTTTTGCATGCACACATATAAAAATTGTGATTTTTATCCAACACAATTATAGGTTTGAACGTTGTTTTCAATTTAGACTTGTTTATATTTTTTCATTTGGGCTTGTATTATATTTGCCTTTGGGCTTATATGATCTGTTCATCCTATTTCGACTCTTCAAAATTCAAGAGTCTATCCTAAATTGAGGTAAATTATATGGCCTTCAAAATACTGTTTCGATTCTTAACATCACCGAAGAGATATTAATTGTTGAAATCCGGATATGGTGTACTAATTTTTGCACCTTTTGTTTGCAGTATACCATCTTTTCCGCAAGTTTATTGTTTTCTGTTTGGTATTAAATTAATAGTTAAGATCCATTTTGTTACATCTGGTGATCTGTTTACTTGGCAATCACCAGTGGCAGTCAGCAGGGTTTAAGAACATCCGTTGTTCGACCTGCTAGTCAAATGTGTTTTGTTAAAATATACTTTTTCACTTTTTTGGTCTTTTGGAAAATGTTGTTTGTGCTGTATTTAGACCCCTCTACCAAGAAATTTGTTTTGCATGCACACGCATAAAATTTGCGGTTTTTATCCAACGCAATCATAGGTTTGAACGTTGTTTTCAATTTAGACTTGTTTATATATATAATTATATGTATTGATGTTTACTGTATATCACTACAGCTTTGTGAAGGAATGGATTTAATGCTTTCATAATTTATTTTTAGAACACATTTACTGTTTCTAGACCTGGCGCTTACTCCCTACATTTTTTTGCCTTTGACAAGGCAGGCAACTATAAAACTGGAAGGACTTTGTTCCTGTTTGATGACCAATCTGTTGTTGATAAGTATGAACATCGGCAGACAATCTGCTCCACAGCTTCACAGAATACATCATATGAGTGGGTTATAACTGATACAGATACACTACAGATAATATGGACAGACAGGTTTATAAATACTCGACATGAACACAATCGTTGGCTTAATGAGGTGCAGAAGTTTTCTCCAAGTGAAGAGGTCTCTATATATGAAGATTTATATGGCAGGAGGACAAATAAGTTTCTAAATAATCACCATGGTAATGTATTGTAAAATTTGGAAAATAAGAAAGAATTATATGATATATTATGTATCATTTATAAATTTTAAAAAATGTAAAGCTTGAATGCTTATCGGGTGAAATTGTTTTGTTGGTGACAGAATGACATTGATTGATTCCGAAAGATTTCAAGTTCTAGGCAGTTGATATTTTTCTTGGGTTTTATAATTGTCTCGTCTGTGACTAAATTGACAAAGCAAGACTAAGGCATGCTTTTTCAAGTGTCAACGTCAACAGTTTGTAAAAGTTTGTGATTAAGGTTAGTTTAAGAGGAACCACTAATGGTATTTGAATGACATTTGGTGTGCAATTGTATTAGCATTAGGACATCTTATTTCCATAGATATCATGCCTCTTCCTCCCAGTCATGGTCAATTGACATCGAAACTTTCATATAGTTATCATGTTAATTATTGCCATTTCAATATATTATATAAACATTTTCATTATACATGTACTGTCAAAATTTCATACCTTTGTGTGATAGATCTACTAGCATTTGATATATTGTCTGATTAATGTATATAATTTTCACCAGATACTCCAGTCATTATCCACACACACAACTTGATATGGGATGTAAACTAGATTAAACAAACAATAAAAATATCACTACTGATTCCTCAAATAACACAGTTGCAGGTTAAAAGTCGTTTCGTTTTTTATTAATGTTAGATTTTTATAAATTCTTAGAACATTAACATTTCATGAACATATATAGAGATATTTTTTTTCAGGTATTGTTGATTTTCAAGTTTCATTTGAAGTCCATAGCCCTTTATTGAATGATTCCCGACCTTTGACCTCCGTATCTGACATTCATAACCAGTATGACATTCTCAAGGTTAACTGGACTGATGGAGATAGACTGACATCAACAGTAAGGGCATTGGATGTTCTTGGAGAATTTAATGAGGATACAGTAATAATATACAGAGATGCCACACCCCCTGTAATAGAGAACTTGTGGTTGACACGAGGTGACAGAGTCAATATAAGTGTCCATAGAATAGAATATTTTACACAAATGACGTGAGTAGCACAAATTGATAATGCTATATTACAGCTGTATTTAATCTGATGACAAAAGAAGAAAAATAAGACTTTATAAGTTTTGTACATTGATTTAACTTCACCAGGGGCGCTCAAACCAATATATTGGAAAGCCAAGGATATATAAATAAGTAGATGTGTTAGGAGCTTCATGACCAGATGAGGATTAACAGAATAGCCAAATGCATTTAAGGTCAACTATGCCGGACAACTTTAGATAAAAAAAAAATCAGTTTTAGATTGTAAATTTAGTAATACTATTATAAAAGGCAAGAAAACTGTTTTTGAATAGAGGACAATCAGTTAAGATATAAAATATCATCAAAAAGTAATTTTTAGATCTTATATTTAACTTTGTCTGAAGCAACTGCTAAATGGAGTATGTATTAGAAAATGCTTAGGTGACAGCATAACAATTTTGATACTTTTCTATTAAAATTTCTCCAGTTGTATTATGAAAAGGAAAACGTTGCTAGTAATTCTTAAGCTGAACGTTTAACCTTTACACAATAGCCAAGTAATACCAAGATGAAGGATTTCAATGGAGTTATTCTGCTGATTAGGTGTATGCTTAAATATGCTTTAATAGGGTTTGACGAGGTTCTAGATATGGTTTACAGGAAAGAGAATAATGGGCAAAAAAAATAAAGAATAGAGAAAAATGGACCATAAAATTTTATAATAGAGATTAATGGGATTCCAAAATAGAAAGAAGAAAGAATAATGGGGAAAATGTAATTAATAGAAAAAAATGGCCTAAATATTATAGAGGGTGGTAAAGGGGGGGTCTGAACACGGAAACACGTGAAATAAAAATCGCAAAAACGTTGCACGGAAAATAAAAATCGGGAAAAACGAAGCATGAGAAATAAAATAGTAAATATTAAGGAAAAAAGTACTAGAAGTTATTACTCAGCCGTTCTTGGAGATCATGCAGTCACTATTAATGGACACGAAGACGCTGCGGTCACCTTTTAGCGTCCGCTAGTTGCATCTGATTTCAATAAAAAAAATATTCATAGTAATTTGATGGACTTTATAACATACCATACATATACAATAGAATTGCAAAACTTTTTAATCAAATGCGGGACAAGCACGAGAAATAAAGAGTACCGACACGAAACACGGAAATTAAATAAGGGGAAACACGAAGCACGCACATCGAACCAAACACGAGAAAACGAGAAATAAAACGTCAAAACACGAAAACACGTGAAATAAAAAGGCCGAAAACGTTGCACGAAATTAACCCTTTACCACCCTCATTATAGAATAAAGAAATAAAGACCCCAGCCCTAAGTCAGATTTTTTTAATGGCTAATTTGCATGTCCTCATTTATCCTCAAAAGAAAATTGAAATGTCTTTTAAGTCCAAAAACCAGTTAATAAGAAAATCAGTTCATATGTATTATTTTCTACAGAATTGAATGGGTGGCATATGATGATCACAGTGGTTTGGATTCTATTTATTGGAAACTGTATGACCAGTATGGTGGGACTGTAGTCTTACATGGTCATGAAGATATAATCACTCAAGGAGGGGCTGATGTAAGTTTTTATATTTATGTCAAATATATTTCATCTCTTGAATAAAGGTAATCATTCCATTTAATTATTCAGTGATGACTCCGAATAGAATTTTCATTATTCATGTTCATTGCAAAAATATCTAAGTATGTTTGGCATTACAAATATTCTGGGTCATCATACTTTCATAGCAAGAGACTTTTCAATGGATTTAAATGGTAGAAAATATTTTATTTCTGTAAATCTTTATATATCAGCAATGTCTCTGACCAGTTTGAAATTACTATTTATCAACAATTTTTGAAAGAGTTATGCCCTAATGAAAAAAAAATTTTGCAGTGTAAGCATACTTAACCAATATTTCTTGTATGGATTTTTTTGTATATGTATACCAAACGTTTATATCAGCAATGGATGGTGAATTTTGAAAAATCAGCTCTGATCAATTATTTCTACATAAATTATATATGTGTCCCCTGGAAATGTTTATTCTATGTAAAATTGCATTGTAAGCACTCTCAAGCCTACATTTCTTTCCAGATTTTTATGAAATTCATATCAAAAGTTTACATAAGTAATGTGATAGGCAAGTTTGTAATTCAGTGCAGATCAATTGTTTTTTTTTTTCCCTTTGAAATGCAATTATATTTATTGCAAGTTCTCGACTCTGCCATGACTCCTATATTACAGGACAGATAGATACCTAACGTGATCTTTGAGATAAGGCTTGTTTTTTTTCTTCTCACAATAATAAATCCATTTTCTTTCATTAAACATACATTTTTCTTTTATTTGAATTTTGTTATGTAATTCAGGCATTGGAGGACTGTGAAAACATGTATAAATCCTATGCCAGGGGAGCTAACTGTTACTGTACTCCATTCATGGGATGTTACCATAGGCATTTCCAAGTGAAACCAGAGATAAAAGCACATGGAGGACTGATCCACAACTTATACAAGGGTGTTCATGATTATGATTACCACATAGATATATCTGTAACAAACAAAGCTAATATTACAACACTCCTCACTAAAAAGGTAAAGTTTGTTTATGTACTATTCAAAACCGAAACTTTATTTGATTTCAACGATGAACATGACTGACGGACATTATAGATGTTCTAATGGGGAGAATTTTCTACAGATTGTAGTACAATTTATTAAATATATCTCAAGATTAGAAACAGTTAGGGTGAGTTGTTTTTATGCCAATTTTTCACATGTATTGGTGCAAAAAAAAGGTTTACTTTAAAAACCAACTGCAAGATCAAGATCTTAACATCATGATATTAGTAATGACTTTAAACTGAAAAGGATTTGGATTTTGCAGGTTAATTTTAATATACATGTATAGCACATTAAAATGTTATTTTGAATTTGTAATATTAGATGAGAGTAAAAACACTCTTTGACCACTTATCTCAATTGGTAATTTAATACTACAAAGATTTGCTTTGTACAGTAATCTGTTTATTGTAACTGAACCTTTTTTTGCCCTACTTGTGCAAGTGAAATCCAGGAAAATGTGAAATATAATCTGAAAATAAATGTATGGGACTTTCTGTATATACATCCACTTGTTTTATCATTCATGTAGAAGTGATAGATTGTCTGTTGAGACAGATGAAATCATTTGTAGTATTTTCTTGGTACATAATTGTAGTAATTTTGTAATATCTTCTTTTTAGATAACAATTGATATTAGTCCCCCACATTCAGGTGTGGTCCATGATGGTATTGTTGGCAGTCCAGAAGTAGATTATCAACAAGGTCTGACCATCAGAGCTTATTGGGACCAGTTCTTTGACAGAGAAAGTGGGGTCTTCTTTTATCAATACATTGTTGGGAGTAGCTGTGCAAATAAAGAGGATTTTGATTTGGATCTAAGCCATCCTAATGTATGTGCATTTATTATATTTATTACAAACTTAATGCTGTAAAGGATACATTAATATTGTTTGTAGAAACTTCAACTTTTGTTTTGGATTTTTCCATTTTTGTCGAGCCTGCGACTTTTGTCGCAGAAAGCTCGACATAGGGATAGTGATACGGCGGCGGCGGCGGTGGCGTTAGCTAACTTCTTAAAAGCTTTATATTTTAGAAGGTGGGAGACCTGGATGCTTCATACTTTGTATATAGATGCCTCATGTTACGAAGTTTCCGTGAGTCACATGTCCAATGTCCTTGACCTCATTTTCATGGTTCAGTGACTACTTGAAAAAAAAGTTCAGATTTTTTGGAATGTTAAATTCTCTCTTATTATAAGTAATAGGATAACTATATTTGGTATGTACGTACCTTGCAAGGTCCTCATGCCCGTCAGATAGTTTTCACTTGACCTCGACCTCATTTCATGGATCAGTGAACAAGGTTAAGTTTTCGTGGTCAAGTCCATATCTGAGATACTATAAGCAATAGGTCTACTATATTTGGTGTATGTAATGATAGTAAGGTGTACATGTCCAACTGGCAGGTGTCATCTGACCTTGACCTCATTTTCATGGTTCAGTGGTCATAGTTTAGTTTTTGTGTTTTGGTCTGTTTTTCTAATACTGTATGCAATAGGTCAACTTTATTTGGTGTATGGAAATATTGTACCATGTTTATGTCAGTCTGGCAAGTTTTATTTGACCTTGACCTCATTTTCACGGTTCATTGCTCAATGTTAAGTTTTTGTGTTTTGGTTTGTTTTTCTAATACTGTATGCAGTAGGTCAACTATATTTGGTGTATGGACATATCTTACAATGTACATGTCAGTCTGGCATGTTTTATTTGACCTTGACCTCATTTTCAAGGTTCATTGCTTATGTTAAGTTTTTGTGTTTTGGTCTGTTTTTCTTACACTTTAAGCAATAGGTCAACTATATTTGGTGTATGGAATGATTGTAAGGTGTACATGTCTAGCTGGCAGGTGTCATTTGACCTTGACCTCATTTTCATGGTTCAGTGGTCAAAGTTAAGATTTTGAGTTTTGGTCTTTTTTTCTTATACTTTATGCAATAGGTCAACTATATTTGGTGTATGGAAATATTTTATGATCTTTTATGTCAGTCGCGCAGGTTTTATTTTACCTTGACCTCATTTTCACAGTTCATTACTCAGTGTTAAGTTTTTGTGTTTTGGTCTGTTTTTCTTAAACTATAAGCAATAGGTCAAATATATTTGTTGTATGGAAGAATTGTTAGCTCTACATGCCTGCCTGTCATGGTTCATCTGACCTTGAGTCCTTTACCTCATTTTCATGGTTCATTGGTCAATGTTTAGTTTTCTTGGTTAATGTTAGTTTATGTGACAGTTGTAAGAAAGCTTTATATTTAGGACTATCAACATAATATCAATGATTAGTAAAGAAGGCGAGACATTTCAGCGTGTGCACTCTTGTGAAAGAGTAATTGTTGGAATAATCAGATAACGTTTTTGTCAGTCTTTCAGTGCTTTTGGGTTTACAAACTTTATTCTTTAAATTCTTTCAAAATGTTTTTATACAAAAACTTATGAGTAATATCGCACAAAAAAAATAGTTTTTTCCTATGGTATTCAATATTGTAGATTGTAGAAACATATGAAACCTTTGCTAGTGAAACAGTTCTTTCAGAGGGAACTTATTACTTCACAGTAATAGCCTATAACAGAGCATTAGAACCTTCTAACCCAGTCTGTTCTGATGGTGTTACAATAGATACTTCTGTACCAAAGATTGAACAAGTGGCTGTTGAGAATGCAATAATTAAAGGAGGCTTGATAAAGAACACATTACAAACAAAGTATTATATTCTGGGATCAGACCGCAATAGAAGACTTATTTCGAATCCAACAACAGAATGTGCGTAAGTTTTCAAATATTAAAAGTATCTATTATACATGTATACACAAATGTCTTTTGTTTTTTTGTCCAATTGCTGTTTTATAGATTTATACTCCACATCTCTTTTTATTATACCCCCACGCAACGAGTTGCGGAGGGTAGAATGTTTTTGACCCATCCGTCTGTCAGTCCGTCAGTCAACAACAATATTTGTGCTTGTGTTACATTCCAACCAACAAATTCCAGGTGAGCAATTTAGACTCCTTGGTTCCTCTTTGAATAAAACTAAACCAACTACCACCTTGTTAAATTTAGTTTTGTTTGACCAGCATACAGTTGTCAATATCACTTAATATTACAGAGACAAGGCAACAGAAATACCAGATATAGACCTATACCCATTGGAACAGTATGAGAATGGTACTGTAGTAGAAGTGAATGGTAGTGTGTTCTGTCAAAACTCAACTGGAGCACCAAGTAATATAGGGATAACGCTATCTAAATCTTCTATGGTAAGATGTAAATAACAGAAATCATCTTTAGCACTTTGTTCAAATTTTGTCATTTTACATAAAATAAATCACAGAAACACTGATATATCCATGGTATGAATAAAAAGAAATAAAGCTATAAATCAGCACAATTGATATTTGAATGAATAATTATTAAATTAAAAAAACTGTCTTTTGTGCCCATTTTCCCAAGAAATAGTTCTCATGTATGACATGTCACCACACAAGAAAGTTCTGTCTCAGATAATTTTACTGCTTGAACACATCTATTATGAATACCAGTAGTTATTCTTTTTATACATATGAAGCATTCTTTGTCAAAACTAAGCTTATACATAATTACATGTAAAATCACATCACAATTTTTTTCTAGATGGAGATATCCTGGGAACCAGTTTTAGTACCAGGACAGATTTATGATTATGAAGTTGGATTATCCTCCACATCTGGAAGTTCTGCTCCAGATCTGATGGCATTTCAGTCATCAAAACAACATGCTCACTATCTTATCATGCACAGTAATATACCTGACGGCACTAGGTTCTTTATTGTTATTAAAACAATAAGTAAATCAAATAAAGAAGGAATAAATGTAAGTGTTAAAATTAAATTAATTAATTGTCCTACTCGACAGGTATATTCTAGCATTTTAAATACATTTAATTGAATTATTTAAACAATAATGGATTATGTAACCTTAAAGAAAAATGCATAATGAATGTACGTGCGGCTTGCTTAAGATTTTGTGTATAACTGTTTACGAAAAATGCTGTGGATTCATTTATTTTCGACGGTACCAGTTTAGTGGTTTGTGGATTAGTGATGTTACACTAATGTTTCAGGTAAGGGTGAAGTTTGGTACCATCAAAACGTTTAAACCCGCTGCAATTGTTTGCACCTGTCCTAAGTCAGGAATCTGATGTTCAGTAGTTGTCGTTTGGTGATGTGGTTCATAAGTGTTTTTTGTTTCTCGTTTTTTATATAGATTAGACCATTGGTTTTCCCGTTTGAATGGTTTTACACTAGTAATTTTTTGGGGCCCTTTAAAGCTTGGTGTGAGCCAAGGCTCCGTGTTGAAGACTGTACTTTGACCTATAATGGTTTACTTTTATAAATTTTGACTTGGATGGAGAGTTGTCTCATTGGCACTCATACCACAACTTCTTATATCTATTGGAAGAATTGTCTTTTCTTGGATATTTGACTTTGTGGTTTAACACAAGTCTGCATGCAAGTTTATATAAATATTGTACTTCTTTGAACCTTTGAATTCATAGTTCATATGTATCCACAAAATCAATAAATTGGTATTCCACGAATAATAACGAATCCACAGTACTTGAATAATATATAGAAACAGTGGTACAATAAGCAGCTTTCAATTTCAGTTTCTTTAATATATAGAATGAACTAGGTTTTACTTAAAAAGCCAGGTCAGCTGATGTATGCATTTTGTCGAACAGAGAGCAAATATATTGGAATGGAGATCAACTTAAAAAAACAAACAGTAAATGTAAAGGAAATGCACTGAGGAAGTGAGATAAACAATGCGAAAACTAATATCATGTTGTGAAGAAAGACGTTTTTAATGCATCAGATGTTAAAATTTCTGTCAGTTTTACATATTCATCAAATGCTTGTTGCTGTATGATTTCACTTTGTTTTGGATGGCTTTTATATCACTTGCTTTTGATGACAATTTTCACCTCAGAATCATTTTAAAAAGTTGTTGTTTAAAGCATGAATTATATAATGCATGTTTCTTTGACAGTCATCATAATTATATAATGCTTCATTTAAATGTATATTTGTTTCATTTTATTATATAGTCCATAGGGCCTTGTTTTGTTGACACCACACCACCAGACTTTACAGGGAGTATTAGTCTATCATTATCTGGAGACTATTTGTTAGCCACATGGGCATCTGATGCTTTTGTTGACAGTGAAGAATTCTATGACTTGGAATATGAATTTTCTGTTGGTAAGTGGACAAATAGTATGCCCTATTTTAAAGGGAAATCTTTAAAAGGAAAATAAATGAAAAGAAATATTGTGGATTCATTATTATTCTTGGGATACCCATTTTTATGCCCACCTACGATAGTATAGGGCATTATATTTTTCGGTCTGTGTGTCCGTTCGTTCGTCTGTTCGTTCGTCCGTCTGTCTGTCCCGCTTCAGGTTAAAGTTTTTCGTCAAGGTAGTTTTTTTATGAAGTTGAAGTCCAATCAACTTGAAACTTAGTACACATGTTCCCTATGATATGATCTTTCTAATTTTAATGCCAAATTAGTTTTGACCCCCAATTTCACAGTCCACTGAACATAGAAAATGATAGTACGAGTGGGGCATCCGTGTACTATGGACACATTCTTGTTGTAGATGTTTTTGGGTATAGGTAAACCATGAATTTAATTGTAGTAGACTTTGGGAAAACCATGAAATCAAATAGCCACAAAAAACAATGAATCCACAGTTACCTCCGGGTTGGCACCTTCAAACATGCTTAAACCCCACCACATTCTTCATGTGCCTGTCCCAAGTCAAGTGTTTGTCGTTGGTTTGTTTCTGTCATATTTGCTTTTCGTAAATTGTTTTGTTATAAATAAGGCAATAAGTTTTCTATATTGAATTGTTTCATATTTTTCATGTCAGGCTTTTTATAGCCGACTATACGGTATGGGATTTTCTCATCATTGAAGGCTGTAGGGTTGCCTATAAATGCTTACATCCACTTCATTTAAACTTTTGTGGATAGTTGTCTCATTGGCAATCATACAACATCTTATTTTTTTTTATCAAATGGAAGAAAAAAAAAATCTATAGAGGGACTGAGTGTATACATACTAAATTTATTTATGTCTCTGTCAGTTAGATAATTCATAATACCTCATTAGGGATTAGTGAAAATATTTTTTAAAGAAATAAGTTTTGTTAACCATTAATTTTCTACAAAATGCTCATATTTTACAAGAATTACCATGGAGAAAGTGTTTACTGATAATGTGATTGGAAAGAAAACTCAGTTTTGAAATGATTGGTGAGATGGATCTAATCAAATTCTTTTTTGAAAAGGAAAAGTAAAAAAAAAAAGGTCATCGTAGTTAAACTGCATCAAAGTGAGAAAATTTTAGGTAATAATCATAACAAATATTTGTGTTAATTTGTGATCCAAGATGGTGGAAGCCTTCCCTACTGTCTTTATAAAGATTAACTTATTATAGATATGTGTTGTATTCTAGGAATAGGATTGCAGTCTACACATGTTTTTAATGTAAGAGGGTTATGGTTTAGACAGATTTCATGGTAACATAATTATTATTGTAGGACATGAAAAGTACAGTATTGATGTCCAAGGTTATCTCCCCCTTAGAGAGGGAGGTGGCTGTTCAATTACCATGCCACCAATTTGTACAGCAGTGAAAATCACAGATTTAGACTGGTACCTTCATGGACATCACACATATTTCATTTCTATCAAAGTAACCAACACAGCTGGGTTGACCACTATACAGGCATCCAGTCCATATATCCATGATGTTCAATTACCAGCTGAAGGTTTGGTTCTAGATATTGATTCACAGGTACATAATAACCAGTTCTATTACTGTAAAAAATTGGGTTAAGGTATCCCAAAAACAAAAACTCTCATTTTCAAATTTGGTAGCATTATTTATATGTAACATTTACTGAAATTGCAATAACTAATCTCATGTTTTTGTCCATTCTTCAAAACTGCAACAATAAATGCATGCAAAAATTTCTGAATTTACTATAGTACCTGTGTCCACGGAAAGTGGAAGAGAAATAATTTTGTTCATTTTCATTTAGTAGGCAAGAAAATGTAACTTCGTAAAAGTAGAAAAAATGTTTTTAAGGGCTTGTTGATGAAAAATTTGTATTGAGAATCAAGGATAAAAAACAAAAGATTTGATAGTATAGCAAGGAAAGAAAGTTGCTATTATAAAATAAGTTATAATGAGAACAGTTTTTTTTAGATATACTGAATTTATGAAGAAAAATTGTTGAAATAAGATATTTTGTATTTTATTATTTTGTTTCAGAATTTTACAACAGATATGCGCTTGAAGGTGAGCAGAATTCATATTCAAACTTTTATTATCAATTTGAAATTATGAATTTTCAGAGTAAACTGAAAAGTAGGGCAGACACCAACATATCAACAAAGAGATTCAATTGAGCAGATACCAGAACAACAAAGATATTGTACTTGGCAAAAAAAAAATCAACTTTATATTGAAATAGAGATCAAGATGTTGGCTATGATTAATTCAGATAACTACCTAAGCTGTATTTGGCAAAACTTCTGAAATTTTTGGTCCTCAACGCTCTTTTCAACTTCAACTTTGAGCATCACTGATGATTATTTTGTAGATGAAAAGCGTGTCTGGCGTACAAAATTTTAATCCTGGTATCTATGATAAGTTTATCAGTACTATAGGTGTAATACATGAAGAATTGCAAACTTTAACTACTGTAATTGCAGATGCATAATTTCATTTAATTTTGAATTTGAACAGAAAATTTTACTTCATTTTTTGCACAATGATTGTACTATTCAGTTAAAGAAGTTAACATTATTTTTTTTCCGCAGGATATAGAAGATATTGATTTTAAGGCAGACAAAACAAGTATAGCATCAAGATGGTCTGGATTTGCACACCCACATTTAAATGTGACTTATAGAGTCAGTATTGGTTCTTCAAAAGGAGGAAGTGATATAATATCATTAAAAGATGTTGGGATTGTTACAGCATATAAAGAAACAGGTTTATCTTTAGACCCATTAAAGGTGAGAAAGTATAAAAAGGTAGGGTCAATTTTGCCTGAATTATTTTCACACAGCACCCATTTTCTAAATGTTATTCAGTGTTCAGTATTACAGCTTCATGTGTGCATGTTGAGGTTTTAACAATGTTGTGACATATTTTAAAACTGATGATCAAATTATAAATGCCTAGAAATAGGTCAAAACTGCAAGTTTAACAGATTTAGGCAAATTTTGAGTATTTATCCCAAAGATGTATAAGAATGACATTCTAAACCAAAGTTCTGTTAGAATCAACCTATATATTGTCATTCAGATACAAATCAATTAATTTTGGTTAGAAATGTTCTTCAATGCAAAATTTTACAAAAACATGTAAAATGTACAGTTTTGAAGCAAAATGTCGACCAAAGCAGCATGTGGCATTGAATAGCATTTTGATTTTTATAGAAATATTGAAAATTGTTCTATCATAATGACATGTAACATTATATAAGTTTGTGCTGAACATTGTTTAAATGGTTATTCAACTATTGTTCTGAAATGAAAGTTGAAAATATATTTGTAAGACTAAAGTAATTCTGTGAAATATGTTGAATATATGATAGACACCAACAAATGAACAAACAAACCTTTCTTAAGCAGTTGGCTGAATTTTTCCTCTTTGATCAGTCTGAAGAGATGAATTTAAACTGCAACTTCAAAAAACTTGAAAAAAGGTTAAATGTAAGCCTATTGATACTGCCAAAACATGCACAGGAACAATTTTATAAAAATTATGTATGATTAGGAGAATGTGTTTAGTATAACTATATTTTTGCAAGTTTTTCGACTTTTCTGCAGAAATATTTTGTAACTGTGACTGCAGTGACATCTGCTGGCAGCATTAGTGTTTCTTCAGATGGTGTCACTATAGTAACAGAGAATGCTGCATTGTCAGGAGTGAAGATATATGACGGGAAACCTTGTAACATGACAGGTACAATATATGTATTACTGTAAATTCAGAAATTATTGCGTGCATTTATTATTGCGATTTTGTCATTTTAGACTAAACTGCGATTTTAATTTTTGCCGTTTTGAGAAAAATCCTGTTTAATTCATATAAAAAACTTCAAAATGCGAGTTTTAATTATTGCGATTAAAACCCTGTCGCATTTTTCGCAATAATAAAAACATTGCAATAATTTCTGAATTTACAGTATAACTTAAGAAAAAAATTATTTAGTTTCTTAATTTACTTGTCTAAAAAGTGTTAGTCTTATATTATTACATTACCTAGGATTAACGGTGAACATATTTTGTGGCAACATTAAAAAGTACTTTTCCATCCTGGAGTTTTCTTAGTTTATAATGGTTCAGTATGACATGAGAAAATGATTAACTTGTAACTTACTTTAAGATTAAACACTTTGAACATTTTTTAAATCAATAGTCTATTTGCTGAAATAAAAAAGAATTCACATTTATAATAATTGATGGCCATTCATACTTTGTTGCACATGTAAGTTAGAAAGGAGAGTTGTTTTAGACTTATAACTAGTCTTTTACATACAGTAATAATGGACAATCACAAATTTGATTTCTTAAATTTTTATTGTGTAATTGTTACATTATGAAACTATCCAAAATTATTAGTCTGTATGAGTTCTACAAGTTTTTATATACATTTTCAGGTTTTACCCTAGGTCATCATGAAGTGGTAAGTTCATTAAGAAGTTTGTGTAGAATACAGATTTGATTTCATTTAATTTGTTAAAAATGACAAAATAAAATTGCCAAGCAATTACAATTTTTATACGCCCGTCAAATTTTTGACGGGATAATTATGGTATACAAATGTCCGGCGTCTGTCTGTCCGTCTGTCTGTCCGGCGTAAACATGTCGCACCGTAACTTGAGAATGACTTATCCAAATTTCATGAAACTTAACATAGTTGTTTCTTATGATGGTCAAAGGATCTGTATACTTTTTGGTGAAAATAAGATTAAAACTTTTTGAGTTACGGGACTCAGTAACTAAAACAGGTGTGTGTTTTTTTTCACATGTCGCGCCGTATCTCAAAAACAATTTATGATTATTGCTTAAAACTTTACACACTTCTTAGTTATATTAATCATAAGATCTGTATACTTTTTGGTGATGATTCAAAATTTTATTTTAGAGATATTGAGTATTTTGTTAAAAAAGGGGGAGGGGTTTTTCACATGTCGCCCCGTATCTCAAAAACAGTTTATGATTATTGCTTAAAACTTTACACACTTCTTAGTTATATAAACCTTAAGATCTGTATACTTTTTGGTGATGGTTCAAAATTTTATTTTTGAGTTATTGAGTATTTTGTAAAAAAAAGGGGGAGGGGTTTTTCACATGTCGCGCCGTATCTCAAAAACAGTTAATGATTATTGCTTAAAACTTTACACACTTCTTAGTTATATTAATCTAAAGATCTGCATACTTTTTGGTCTTGATTCAAAATTTTATTTTTGAGATATTGATTTTTTTTTTTTTTAAAAGGGGGGTTTTCACATGTAGCGCTGTATCTCAAAAACGATTTATGATTATTGCTTAAAATTGTACACACTTCTTAGTTATATTAATCTTAAGATCTGTATACTTTTTGGTTTTGATTCAAAATTTATTTTAGAGATATTGAGTTTTTTTTAAAAAAAAAAGGGAGTTTTCGCATGTCACACTGTATGTCAGAAACTATTTATGCTTATTGCATAAAAATTCACACACAAGACGACGGGCGTATCATGCGCTCATGGCGCAGCTGTTTATTAATTAATATATCAAAATTGATACATTTAACAAAGCAAATAGCTGAAATTCACAGTAATCAAAGTTTGATTTATGATTAAAATAAACTTGGTTTGATGGAGCAAAAATGAATTCAATATTTGTAATTCAAATGAATCCAATGATGGTGAAATTGGATTGATATATCATATGACAATATTTCCAAGATATATTGTCATACAGCCTTTAATCAACTGATAAGTGCTTTTATTGCTGTTTATCATCATGACAGTACTGGTGGTGAGTTTAAGAACTTACCTTACAACAAGATCAATTAAGACATATGCATTGCATTGACATAAAAGTAACACTATGATATCTACTTATTACCTCCACTTTTGTAAGGAAAATCTTGAATTTACTAATGAGCAAAATGTTTCTTGTCAATTGATGGACAATTTTATTTAAATTACTTTAAATTTGTTTGCAGTGTTTAATTTTTCATTTTCTTTTCCCTTTTTTTGGTCTTACTTAGAGATTACATTTATGCAAGGGGATATTTTCTTGTATAGACTTAAGGTAGCTGGGGTGTCTTCCTCCAACTTTGATTTTGAAATAGCAGATAACAATTGGTCTAGATCTTTGACGACATATGCTAATTTTGAAAGTGATATGTAATTCATGTGTAAGACCTTTCATGTTAAGATAGAAAACTATGAGTTTAAGCATATTTTAAGGCTGTATTTTACAAAAAACAGAATATTTTTGCTTGATTCATTTTTTTTTTCCAACTTGGCCACATAAGGGGAGATAACTCAGATAAAGTAAATGTGTTGTGAATTTTCCCTATTTTATTACGCAGCAAAAAAAACAAGTCCGGTGACCCCATTTTTTTTTTCTTATCAAAAAGCATATTATTAGAGCTATCTTCTCATATTTTATTTTAAAATTCTATGGTGTAGTTTTCTTTTTATCACACAAAATTGGGTTTTCCATGCATATAAATCTAATACAAAATCTGCCATTTTGCACAGCCTGTAGTGTGAAAAAGTCTTGGTGACCCATACTTTTTTAATATGTTTTTGAAAAAAAGCATTATATAAACTACATTTTGACAAATTATTAAAAAATTCTATGGATTTTAATTTTAAAGTAATTTAAATAAAAGCCCATCTGGCTTAAAGTCATATGAAACGAGTTTCTTGAAATTTTAATGTTATCGAAATTATGGCCATTCAAAACTTTGTTGCACATGTAAGTTAGAAAGGACTGTTGTTTTAGAACCAATGCATGCATATATACTAAACTAGTCTTGCATCCACGTTTTTGTCTCTCCTTGATGGAGTCAAAAAGCAAGACATAGGTATGCTGTTTCCGGGCCGTCAACAATGTATTAGTTTGTGATTAGGTCTAGTTTATGATGAACCACAAGTGATAGGTCAATGATATTTGGTATGCAGTTATATTAGCATTGGTACATCTCATTACCATAGAGATTATTTGGCTCCGCCGCCTCAGTCATGGTCTATTGACTTTGAAACTTTGCTTATTTTACATGTATTAGTTTGTGATAAGTTCAGTTTATGGGGAACCACTAGTGGTAGGTTAATGATATTTGGTATGCAGTTGTAGAAGCATTGGCATATCTCATTTCCATGGAGATTATTTGGCCCGCCCCCTCAGTCATGGTCTATTGACTTTGAAACTTTTGCTTAGTTTTCATGTATAAGTTTGTGATTAGGTCATTTTAAGGGGAACCGTTAGTGGTAGGTCAATGATAATTGGTATGCAGTTGTATAAGCATTAGCACATCTCATTTCCATGGAGAATATTTGGTCCTTACCCCTCAGTCACGGTCTAATGACTTTGAAGCTTTTGCTTAGTTATTAATTAAAATTGAGAATGGAAATGGGGAATATGTCAAAGAGACAACAACTTGACCAAAGAGCAGACAACAGCCGAATTTATGAAGATTTTGATACCATAAAGAATTTTCTTTAAAAACAGTTCACGTTCACTTCTTTTAGAGTAAATTCAAATATATATAAAACATGTTCAACTTTTTAAAAAAAATTTAAAGTTTCATATGACTTTAAACACAAAATAAGCAAAAACTAACCGCTCACAATAATTTTCCACTTAACAATATATCATGTTTTAATTTGAAAAATATGTTCCTAGGACCACAGATTTCCCTGTCCAGATGACATAGATGTCCAGATGTCATTGAACTCTATCAAGGCCTACTGGACTGTACCAGAGGATATACAGTTGTATACTTTTGACGCATTGTTTGCTATAGAGAGACGATCATCTCTGGGAGGTTTGTTTTTCATTGTAAGAACTTGCACTCTCAGGTCTCACCAAAGACCAATGTATTTACAGTTACTCCTTAGTTGTTTATTTGAGGTTCTTTTTTATAAATGTCCCTAAAATGAGCAATTTTGATGTTATTTTTTTTTTTAGGTGCTCAAGGAAAATATTCCAAATTTCATAAGAAGTTTTAATGTTGATAATTGGAGCTTCAGTTATCAAAATTGTATATCATTGTCAACCATATTGAATACAATATTACCGTGACATTATTTTCAGATATTTGGCTTCCCTTCCACGGCTTTGACTACGTTTCCACAGTGTTTGACATAACAGTAGACAATTTAACACTATCACCTGGGACCATGTATCGTGTTGTTTTGAAACTTTGTGCCAATACAATTTGTTTCCAGACAATAAGTACAGATGGAGTAATGGTGATGTCTAGTCCTCCAGCAACAGGGGCAATAACTCTACAACATCTGAATTTGACTGCTGGTGGTGGAACTGAAAAGGTATTTCTTTTTATACACACGTTTTAGTCAGCATTAATAAACCCTATTCTCAAAATACTTGTTCTGTCATGATACTTGAAGTGGGAGAGAAAATGTAAATGTATGATATTAATTGCTCTATGCACGATATGAAAATATGCCATTTTTCATATTTAACCTTAAAAACTGCAATAGACACTTAAAATAGCAAAAATGGTCAGCAAGACAAATAAGTCAAAATGGCTGAAATGGTCAGTTGACTCATTATTGGAGTTCTTGCTCTTGAATGATGATTTTTACCATTTTTAATGTTATTGCCTATTATCTTGAAAACTATAAAAGATAGATAGAAACTTAAATTCACTAAAATGATCAACAAGACTTGATCTACAGACTAGTTAAATGTTGCTGAAATATGTAGTAGACTCGTTATAGGAGTGATTGCCCTTAAATGATGATTTTTTTACCCCTTTTTGTGTTTGGGCAAAAACTAAAGAAGAAAGAGAAACTGTAAACAGAAAAATGATCAGCAATAAGAGATAAAAAAGAAAGAGATTTTTGTCATGATTTTTAAAGGCAGTGCTTTAATGCCTTTCTGGTTGCCGGGTTAATCCTTCCTTCCGCGATATCCAACTTATCTACGTGGGGGGTCATTAGGCTCCAAGTAGATCCGGAAATGTTGAATTCTCTCCTCTTCTTATTGTGATATAAAATGTTTTTGTTTCATTTCATTTACATTGGGAGATAGAGAAATGATCATTGTGTTTTGTTAGTTTTAAAAACTTTTGATATATTTGTATTTTGCATTATAAGCAGTCAACCGATTGACAAACTAGAATTATTTGAATTCAGTGTGGAAAGAGGTCGGGTTAATTTCGAGTGTTATCTGCAATCTAGATGTTTATTAATCATTTCAGTCGTTGATATAATAATTAAAGGTAGACTGAACATGAATTATATTATACAATTAAAGCGCATTTCTGTTTATGCACGTGAACCTGTCTAACGTTATTGTTATTTTGCAGTTTAAAGTAGCAAATTATCGTTCCTGAATAGGTGGCGCCGTGGTAGCCGATCCTGTTCCTCAACTTCCGGTTTGTGCACTGTGCAACTATTACAGTGACATTTTTATTAACGATGCCAAGTACTTGTTGTTGTGTACCTGGATGTTATTTAAGAGGAGGACATGCATTTCCAAATGACTTAAAAAGAAGGAAAAGTTGGATCAACGCCATGGCCCATACGCAGATTGGACGAGAACACGATGAAATCGTGGAGTCCATCTCAATCAGCTGTTGTTTGCAAGGCACATTTTACGGAAAAAGACTACGTGCAGGAAACTATTTATGGTAAAACTCTATTTTCTTTTTGAAATATATAGTTATATATGTAATCGCCATGCGAATAAAACCAAAGTCTGTTTACAACCGCAATTATCATTTTAGAATAAAAGGGGATGGTTAATTCAAGACGTCAATTTTTTGGATTACGATTCAATGTGATCTGTTTGAGATTTTTTGGTGCTTGCTACAATTATAATGATTTCTTACAAGAGGTATATCATACTGAGAATTTTTTTAGCAGTAATTATGCTAATGTAGTAATGACAGGAATGCATAAGCTATGCCTCATAGACTTACTTGAAAAATATCAATGACAATGTTAACAGGAACAAAACAATGACATGCTCTCATCTATATTATAGTTATTTAGGTACAAACAATGTACGTTTGTTGCATAAGCCTCGCATTGTTTGTCCTTTGGATTTACATAGCATACATTGAATCAGGCAAACATAGTTTTATCCAGATTGTAATGAATAAATCTAGTTAATATTTTGCCAGGTAGTACAAAGTATACATTGCTAATGGAAGTTCATTTGATTATCAAAAAACTAATGTTTTATTACCTTTTTTCAGGGCGCAAACCCATCATACAGAGACTTGAGTCTACTGCCATTCCCAGCCTATTTTCCTGGACCAAGCAAGAGACTGAACCGTCCGCAAAAAGAAAAATCAGGGCAGTTTCCTGTGAAAACAAAAGAACTAAACTTGATGAATATTGTAGTAGAAATCTAGAGGAAAGTTTTGATTGTAAAGTTGGTTTTCCTGAAGAAGTCATTCATACTGCAGAAAGGATTTATGACTGTCCACCACCAACTGTCGAGCTAATGATGAGCTTCACAGATGGAATTACACAAACACCATCAATGCCTATGTTTTCAGCAGAGAATTTTGAAATGAAGACACGTGACACAGCCATGCATTTTTATACAAGTTTAGAGTTGTATACTAAATTTTATTTGTTTTGACCACACTTGGTCCAGCAGCACATTGTTTGAGATACATATATTTTCAAATTGATAGGGTGTCAGTTGAAAATCAGTTTTTTTATGACTTTGATGAAATTGAGGCATTATACAACCAACTTTGAACTGTCTAGATTCTAGATTAAATCTAGTGTTAGGAATATTGTGTATACATGGATTGTTTTTATGTCTAAACAGTGGTGTGAGGCTAACACTTGGCCATCTAGTGGTTTAGTCAGGTATTTTTCGCTATCCAACTTCAAATTAAAGTTTCCTACAACTTGGATTATTATTGACAGCACAGAATATCCCGTGATAAAACCTAAAGCTCCTAGAGCTCAGGCAACCTTTTCATCATATAAAAACAGAAACACTGAAAATACTTGTATGTTCGACACCTGGTGGTTTAGTCTGACAACTATGTCTCTAATGCATATGTTGGTTGTACCATTGACTGTGAAATAGTTGAAAGATGTAGAATAGTTCAATTATGTGATCCAGGTGACAGTGTGATGGCAGACAAAGGTTTAAATAGGCAAAATTTGTTTGCTAAATTTTTTCAAAAATGAAACAGAATTAGTTCCAAAACTCTTATACAGGATTGAAGAGTCTCCAATTAACACATGCACATAGAGCGAATTATTGGACTTGGCAAAACATACAAAATTCTAATAAATTCTATGAATGGAACTGAAACAAAACTTTTATCTGAAATAACATTTAGTTGTATTATGTTGTGTAATTTTAGAACTTGTATTGTTCCAAATGATGCATAAATAAAAGTGACGCAATGAATTTTGTTCTGATATATATATATATTTACAATTACATGCACTTATAAATTGTAATGCATATAAAAATAAGGAGATGTGGTATGATATTCAGTGAGTTTATCAAACCAAAGTGCATAAGAAATGGGTTTAAGCAGTTACAGGTGTTGCTGTCACCATACAATCTCCAACAATGAGAAAAACTCGTACTGTGTAAAAAATTTCAGAGATCTTACAACTAAGTTTTGTTGTCTCACCTTGACTTTGGTGAATTGTTTATATCTGTTGATGTAAATATAAAAAAGAAGATGTGGTATGATTGCCAATGAGACAACTCTCCACAAGAGACCAAATGACACAGAAATTAACAGCTATAGGTCACAGTACGGCCTTCAACAATGAGCAAAGCCCATACTGCACAGTCAGCTATAAAAGGCCCCGAAATGACAATGTAAAACAATTCAAACAAGAAAACTAAAGGCCTAATTTATGTACAAAAAATGAACGAATAACAAATATGCAACACATAAACAAACGACAACCACTGAATTACAGGCTCCTGACTTGGGACAGGCACATACATGTACATACAGAATGTGGCGGGTTAAACATGTTAGCGGGATCCCAACCCTCTCATAACCTGGGACAGTGGTGTAACAGTACAATATAAGAATGAACTATAAAAATCAGTTGAAAGAGGCTTAACTCATCAGATGGATAAATACAAATACAAGTGGCCATGGCCAGGTAGTTGTACATCCAAACAACAAAAAGACACTAAGTACAGATCTGAGAGTACTCACAGTTACTGACAGCTAGTTCAAAGCCACTAACAACTGATAAAAAAATCTTGCATCTAAGACTAAATTATCAATTCGTAAGCTCCCTTTAGAATTTTATAAATTTTACATTTTACATTTCTGAGTTGTGGGGTTTTATTCATTAAAAAATTTGTAAGGGTTCCGCCGAACCCAGTGTCTCGCCTACTTTTTCTGTTAATCGCAGGCTCAACAAAAATGAGGAAGTAAATCAATAAATATATTCCTTTTGATACTATCTTTTGATTGTAAGAAGCTTTATAAGAAGAAAATCCAGGATAGTTTATGAATCTAATAAATGTTTAAAAACTTTAACTGCAGACTGAATGTAATGCTAACTGGAAGAAAACAAAATTTCCTTCTAGATACTAGCATTTGATTATAAAACCACAGAGTGAATGTGTTGTTTCCTGGCAGAAAATCTAAGTCCATTTAAAAGTAAAATATGGAAAAAATGGATTTATTTTTTTACAAAATTTCCTTCTAGATACTAGTTTTTGATCATAAACAAGCTTCTGTCCAAGTTTGGTACAAATCCAAAATAGTATAAGAAAGTTATTAAAATTTTAAAAACTTTAACCACAGAGTGAATGTGTTGTTTCCTGGCAGAAAATCTAAGTCCATTTAAAAGTAAAATAAGGTAAAAATGGATTTATTTTTTTACAAAATTTACTTCTGGATACTATCTTATGATCATAAACAAGCTTCTGTCCAAGTTTGGTACAAACCCAGGACAGTTTAAGAAAGTTATTAAAATTTAAAAAACTTTAACCACAGAGTGAATGTAATATTTCCCTGGCAGAAAAACTAAGTCCATTTATAAGTAAAATATGGAAAAAATGGAATTTTATTTTTACAAAATTTACTTCTGGATACTATCTTATGATCATAAACAAGCTTCTGTCCAAGTTTGGTAGAAATCCAGGATAGTTTAAGAAAGTTATTAAAATTTCAAAAACTTTAACCACAGAGTGAATATTTGTGGACGCCGCGGACGACCACGCCGACGGAATGTAGGATCGCTATGTCTCGCTTTTTTGACTAAAGTTGAAGGCTCAACAAAAAGGGGGGATTTTCCAGTTTTTGGACAACAACTCAAAAATGCTTTAAGCAGTTCGCATGAAACTTTGGTGAATTATTTATAGCTATTGATGTAATCTCCCTATTGATTTTCATAAAACTTGGCGTCATCGTCGTCGTCTGTCGTCGTAAACTATTTCAAAAATCTTCTCCTCTGAAACTACTGGGCCAAATACCTTCAAACTTTAACTAAATGTTCCTTAGGGTATCTAGTTTATAAATTATATCCGAAGTTTTGATCCATCGAAAAACATGGCCACCATGGCTAAAAATAGAACATATTGGTCAAATGCAGTTTTTGGCTTATATCTTAAAAACTAAAGCTTTTAGAGCAAATCTGACACGGGGGTAAAATTGTTCAATTGGTCAAGATCTATCAGCCCTGAAATTTTCAGATGAATCGATCAACCCATTGTTGGGTTGCTGCCACTAAATAAGTAGTTTTAAGGAAATTTTGCAGTTTTTTGTTATCTTGAATATTATTATAGACCATGTAGATAGATATAAACTGTAAACAGCAATAATGTTCAGCAAAGTAAGATCTACAAAAAAATTATTAAGACCATAATTGTCAATTGACCCCTTAAGGAGTTATTGCCCTTTAAAGACAATTTTACACAATTTGTTCATCAAGTTTGCTAACATTTAAAAATCTTCTCTGAAATACAGGTGAGCGATTCAGGCTCTTGAGAGCCTCTTGTTTCATTCATAAATTACTTTATACTTGGAAATATAATTTTGCTTGGAGTTATAGTTTCTAAAAAAAGTATTGTCATTGAAAGAGTTGACATATTGCAATGTACATTTATTCTACATAGTACTATGGTACCAAATCAAAAGTTTATATAAAAGAAAGAAGTCAAAGGTTTCCCATCATAGTTTAGTTACATACATTTTTTTTTTGTACCTGAGGTCGTTGAATATAGATCATTATTGTCGAGCCTGTAACTTTTGTTACGGAAAGCTCGACATAGGGATAGTGATCCGGCGGCGGCAGCGGCGTTAGCTAACTTCCTAAAAGCATTATATTTTAGAGGGTGGAAGATCTGGATGCTTCATACTTTGTATATGGATGCCTCATGTTACGAAGTTTCCATCAGTCACATGTCCAATGTCCTTGACCTCATTTTCATGGTTCAGTGACTACTTGAAAAAAAAGTTAAGATTTTTTGTAATGTTAAATTCTCTCTTATTATAAGTAATAGGATAACTATATTTGGTATGTGCGTACCTTGCAAGGTCCTCATGCCTGTCAGGCAGTTTTCACTTGACCTCGACCTCATTTCATGGATCAGTGAACAAGGTTAAGTTTTGGTGGTCAAGTCCATATCTCAGATACTATAAGCAATAGGTCTAGTATATTCGGTGTATGGAAGGACTGTAAGGTGTACATGTCCAACTGGCAGGTGTCATCTGACCTTGACCTCATTTTCATGGTTCAGTGGTTATAGTTAAGTTTTTGTGTTTTGGTCTGTTTTTCTTATACTGTATGCAATAGGTCTACTATATTTGGTGTATGGAATGATTGTAAGGTGTACATGTCTAGATGGCAGGTGTCATCTGACCTTGACCTCATTTTCATGGTTCAGTGGTCAAAGTTAAGTTTTTGTGTTTTGGTCTGTTTTTCATATAATGTATGCAATAGGTCTACTATATTTGGTGTATGGAATGATTGTAAGGTGTACATGTCTAGCTGGCAGGTGTCATCTGACCTTGACCTCACTTTCATGGTTCAGTGGTCAAAGTTCAGTTTTTGAGTTTTGGTCTTTTTTTCTAATACTATATGCAATAGTTCAACTATATTTGGTGTATGGAAATAATTTATGATCTATATGTCAGTCACGCAGGTTTTATTTGACCTTGACCTCATTTTCAAGGTTCATTGCTCAGTGTTAAGTTTTTGTGTTTTTGTCTGTTTTTCTTAAACTATGAGCAATAGGTCAACTATATTTGTTGTATGAAAGAACTGTTAGCTGTACATGCCTGCCTAGCATGTTTCATCTGACCTTGACCTCATTTTCATGGTTCATTGGTCAATGTTTAGTTTACTTGGTTAATGTTAAGTTTATGTGACAGTTGTAATAAAGCTTTATATTTAGGTCTATCAACATAATATCAATGATTAGTAAAGAAGGTGAGACATTTCAGCGTGTGCACTCTTGTATAAATAAGGAGATGTGTTATGATTGCCAATGAAACAACCATCATCCATACTTACCAGTAACAAAACATATTTGCAAAGTTGAATAAAATACAGTTGATAAAATTTACTTATTACTAAAAGGAAAATGCCTAACTATTTTAAACAGTATTTGACTATAAACATAGATAAAAAAGGTACAAACTGGACATAATGCACTAGTTCATAAACAAGTGAGAACAATCGCCTTCATATAGTGCTCAGAATATGACATTCATAAAACTTGTTCAATATCATTAGAGAACTCTTAATCTTAAATACTGAAAGCCACCTCTGATAAGTACACTGTACTATGCAAGATAATGATATAACTGGACTAAAAATACACACAACCTGTAATTAACTGCCTTTACAGTGCTTTCGCTCTTTGATTTTTCTAGTCTTCAATGCTCGAGATTGTCAATTGTATAAAGATGCACATAGGTGAGCAACACAGGCTCTTTAGAGCCTCTAGTTTTAGGTTTTTCATACCAAAACATTGACCACCATTTCAGCTTATATTATTTGGAGACAACATATATCTTCATTGGAATACTCACACATTTCTTTTTAATTAATATTCCAATTCTCTATTACAGCTGCTTGTGACCTTTGACCAATTTTATGACCCAGATATAGAGAACACTACAGAAAAATATGATGCAGTCCCAACATATGAGTATGCCATTACTGATAATTCTATACTAGGAAAAATGTACACACCATGGACTTCAATTAAAAGTCAAAGTACAGAAAATCACAAGGTTTGTATTTCAGGAATATTTTATAAGGAAGAATGGGAATATTTATACAGTTACATAAATATATGACCATGATGACATAGGCTGTTATGGAAAATATATTCTTATTAAGATGCAGTCACATATAAACAGGTCAATACAGAAGTCCTGAATGCAAAATACTAAAAACAAGAGGTTAACAAGTTCTTTTTACAGCCTCTTTTTTAAGTAATCGGAAATTAATCTATCTTATTCAATTCTTTTAAACTGCAGAATTTACAGTACATTGATGCACTCACAAAGAGGAGGGACATTTAATGACAAGAATTGGAAAACAAAATATTGAAAAACTTAAATGTTTTGTTCTTCTACAGTAGCATGAATTTATATTCTCTACAAGTGGACTGGCATTTTGTATTTGAAACCTTGTTCAATCTTAAAATTTTTAGAACTGATTCTTTGACAAAAAAGAGTAATATTATTTAGCCATCAAAACTATTTTGAGCTCTTCATAAAATTGTGAGAAAAATTTACACATTTTTGATTAATATCTTCAATATTTTAGGTTTCCTTTGAGGTGCCTTTAACTGGTGAGATGGATTTTTCTAGATGTAAAAGATTTACGATTAGAGGTTATAACAAAGCCAAGCATTATTCCATTGTGTCAACAGAGATCAAAGATTGTACAGCTTACAATCCTATACTTATTAACCCAAACATTGTAATAGATGCTGTAGGACAACCTGATCTAGTAGGTAAGTAAAATTACCAGAGGCTGAAATATTATTATACCCAGAGGCTAATTAAGGGTGTTGGCAGGGGTCCTGAAACACCCTACCCCCTTAATGGGAGCCCTCTTTTTATGCCCCACCTACTATTGTAAAGGGGCATTATGTTTTTTGGTCTGTGCGTCCATTCGTTCATCCGTCCGTCCATCCGTCCGTCTGTCCTGCTTCAGGTTAAAGTTTTTGGTCAAGGTAGTTTTTGATGAAGTTGAAGTCCAATCAACTTGAAACTTAGTACACATGTTCCCTATGATATGATCTTTCTAATTTTAATGCCAAATTAGAGTTTTGACCCCAATTTCACGGTCCTCTGAACATAGAAAATGATAGTGCCAGTTGGGCATCCATGTACTATAGACACATTCTTGTTTTAAATCTTGGATTTGCATCTTGATACCTTTTAGCCAAATAGGATTATTCTTTATATTGTTATAGATGCTGCATGTCAACTTGATGTACTATTGATAGATATTTTGTAATCTTGTGATCTTAGTTAGGTCTTTTTTTTTACCAAGTTGAATGGAACTGTTCAACTACCTTGTATATGATTTAGTATTTATTTTTGAATTTAAATGGCAATTTGTCTGTTTCTCCAAACTTTGAAGAAGAAAGAAACTGTTAAATATGCAAGTTTTCCATATAGTTTTTGGTGCATTTTTTCTCCAAAATTACATGGTTATTATCATTGGTTATTTGCTATTATGATAGTTTATTTCAAAGAAGATCAGTTGAAAAGGATAAATTTATGAATTTTTTTATTCTAATCTTACGTTAAAGGGGTTTAAAATTAAGGCAAGAGGGTGTTTTTTCAGATATTAATTCAACCACAAAATTACAAAAATAAACCACTCACAAAAATTAAAATTTACTTTATTTGACACAAGTTCCTGACCCAACATTTGATGGAATATAGACAGAATTTTGTAATTTTGATTCATATAATCACAGTTATCAAACTATCCTTGTTTAGTAAAAAATAATTGTCAACTGCATGTTATTTCCAGATGGAGTTGGAAGGACAATTTATCTGACCAAGAATGACTACTGGCCAGAGGCTGACCAAGATTACACACCATACAAGAATGTTATTTCTGCTGTCTGGCCAACTCTGCGTCATAGATCTTACACTTATGCTGTTCTGAATGCTAAAACAATAGATGTCACCACCTACTATCGTCAAATTAACCAGCTGAGTTTGAAAGACCCATGTGATCACCCTGATGCTATAAAATGTGGAGCTACAAGTAATATTATTAACTTGATATTTCAACAACAACAACAAAAATGGTTATTTGGGATAGTACTGTGAGGCAGGCAGGCATGCAATCATGAGAGAACTGTTAAACCAATGCTTTTCCAATTTTAATATGTTGTTACTGATTTAAATATGGAGGTGTAGATCCATATTAATAATTTTCACTTTTGCTGTCAGGAGTTATGATCCATGTTGTTGAAAAAATGGCCTTTTTTGCTGATTCAATTTGATGACTTGAGAAAGCTTGATTCAGTACTTTTTAAGTTTCAATGTTGCTGATGACAAAATGTAGGTGAAGATTGGTTTTTGAACATTTTCAACTTTGTTGTTTAGGAGTTATGGACTTAAATTGCTTTGATAAAGACACTAATAAATGTAAGAAATCCCAGTTTGCTGTTTTTTGTCAGCAACTTGTTACTTGTTTATATATCAAAATTAAGTACTAAAATATATATATTTTTTTTACACAAATTAATCAATAATATTGCACCTTTACTGTTAACAATTTACTATACTAAAATATTGACACAATAAACCAATTAGTTTAAAAATTAGAATTTTTTTGGCATTATAAAGTTCGAAATTTATAAAGTTCATTATACAATATTTTATGTGTTGATTGCCTGAAATATGTTTTATATTAATTATAAATGTTGAATTATTTCATTTTTGTTATATGGCTTTCATGCTTTGATCAATTTTAGATTCAGAGTTTATGAATGTTGAATTTGCTGATGGAGAACTGATTCATGGTACAAGGTATACAGTGTGTATCCATGCTAATCCTAGAGTGATTGAGTATGAGATGTGGACAGACATACTCGCAGAAGTTAATACATGTAGTGATGGTATCATTGTGGATCTCACTCCTCCGGTGGATGGGAGAGTGTGGATTGGTAATATTCCAACGGTTACACATCAGGTATAGTGGTATACTGTTAGTTTGACTTGACTTGTTCTTGTATTCCTGTCTGTTATTAGTGATAATTTCGTCCTTAATTTGGTTGAAATTGTTGTAGAACAAACTGTGAAATTTGAATATTCTCATTGAGCACTTGCAGTGTTCAAATGTTGAAAAAACTATTGAATTTTGGGACAACATGAATTTAATAGTATCAAAAATCATAGATGTAAAAAGGCAGTAATTAAGATGCTGTTTGATCTGTGTCATGTAGCTTTGCTACCTCAAATACAGTCGATCAGTTTTGTAGGAGTTGTATTTGAAAATGAGGCTGTTAAAATTATTTAATCTTAACAAGATTTCTTGCCATGATGTAGATTTCTTTTCAATAGGGCAAAAATATGTTTAATGATTAAATTGTAAGAGTCAATTTATGGATGTGACTGTTAAGGCATAATTGCATGTAAATTGAGTGATGGTTTGTTTTTCAGACTGTTATTACAGATATGTATGTGAATTGGGATGGTTTTTATGATGTTGAAGAGTACAATAATGGTCCTCATTCCACAGGCATAAAGGAGTATATATTGGGTATAGGTAAGAACGTGGCATAAATATTCCATAAGGCTTATTCCAGGAATCAAGTTATTTGTTGGTTGGAGTTGGAGTTGTAAGGCATTTTAGACAATAGCCGTTATTGTTATTGATCTATTAGCATAGAATATTATACAACTTGAATTAAATATTGTGAAGGTGGAGTGTTCATGAATGAAGTACATTTAAACCCCTTACCATTGTTTCCTTGAATATCTTCACTACAATGTCCTGTACATAATGCAATCCTTACAACTGTTGTGTATACAGAGTGGAAAAATTCTGTTACTGATTTCTTTGTCCCTATTTGGTGGTATTCATGAATGAGGGGTATTTTAATGTGTAACTAATTGAAAATAATACTCTCTGTGAAGCAACGTAAGCTGAAATAACCCCACAGTGAAATTGAGGTAAAATTTGTCTATTTATGTATAATGTTATGCAGGTGTAAACTGTAAAAAAGACGATCTGTATAAATGCAATGATAATTTTGGTAATCAAATTTACAAATCAGGGAAAATCATATGCTCTTTTAAAAAAAAAATTTGGAACAAGTTGGTAAAAGTATGACTTGGTAAAAATAGGGTACATGTTGTCATTGAAGAGTACAAGATGACATTTATTCATGTATGAAGAACAGAAAAGTGAAATCGAAAGATATTTGATTGACTATTATATAGATTTTTATATTGATTTTTACAGAGGATGACCTTCAGGTCATTCCGATGTATTGCTATCGCCTAAATTTCCATTATGCAAATTAGTTTTGGGATTTCAACCGATCTATAAAAATTATAGATCCGCGGTCATTACAAGGGAAAAAAGTGCATTTTTATACCTGCGATTCCGTTCTCCGTTCGTACAATGTTTCATCAAAAAATGGAATCATTTCAGTTGTTGATTTAGTACTGAAAATTTGACTGAATTATCTCCTTAATAAATACGGTTTTATATGTTTAATAGGTGTTTAAGAAAGAGGTCAGGTGCTCATGTTCATTCATAAAATTATCGTTCATTTATGAATTTATCGTAAAATCAAAATCACTACACAGGTCACACAGGTTGTATACGTAGTGTCAAAAGATTACCTGTATAGTATCTAAAAATAGACAAACTTAACTGACTCCCCTTACTGTAGTGTGTGATAACATTTTGTGAAGGAATTCGATGTTTGCTATACCACTGTTCATTTCAACGCACTTTATGACGATACCACTTTATCAATATGAATGAAATTTTTTGCAGTGTTTTAAGAAATAATTTTACTTTAAAATCGCGTATCATTTGTGAACTATTAAATGTTTTACAAGGACGAATTTTCTGTATAAAGTCAATAATTGTGTGAACTTTTGAAGCCCAAACTTTTTATAGCCTTAAATACGCTAATGAAAGATACGAAAACTATACCCATACAGAACGACATGTTTTTGAAATTGTAGCAAAACTTTTGGTTGACAAATTTTAATTCGTTATTGCATAAATATTAACTTGAAATATCTGTCATTTTCTCCCTACCCAGTTTACCTCTATTACTCATTATGATGTGGACTTGACATTGTTATTGAATCGTATGCAATTTGATTGGATTAAGTTATTATTAGATTACCTTCAAACTGTTCATGCCACTTTTTATCTTTTCACATAATTTTCCACATACACATTAGATAAATTATTTTTGATAGCCTATTGCGGAGAAAAAAGAGAAAGTTTACTGTATTAACGTTCTATTCCATTTAATACGCCATTTTTCGAAGATAAATGCAGAAAAACATTTATGAACGGCTACGCCAGGTAAAATTGTTGTTTATCCTAAAAAAAAATACAATTTTCAGTTTCATTAGAATATTATAATAATAATAAATCCCAAATTTATGTAGTCATTAGATAAAGTCCTTATATGTCCGATCTGCCTATTTTTGGACTTCAAAAGACAATACGATCGTTTTAAGGTCAATTTCGTCTACCTCACACAATCTTGTTAGGCACTATAATGAAATGGACCTGAAATTTATTTCACATGTTTCCTGAAAATTGATAAATATCAAAGCAACATAGAGCTGTTTGTTCTAGTTCGTATAATGACAATTTAATGTCATGTTTGTTTGTGATGACCCCTCTTTTCGGGATTGCATCAGAATTATAGTTATCTCGTATCACATGAGGATGACACATGTCAACTGAGCAATTATGTTTGGGACTTAGTTTTAAGAAATGATGTCAAAGTAACATTATGAAAATATTTTTAGTAAGCTGAAATATATATTTATTTTTTACATGTTTATGTCTTGGAAGATATTTTATTTCTGTCCCGTTTTTAAAGGCAGTGCTTTAATGCCTTTCTAGTTGCCGGGTTAATCCTTCCTTCCGCGATATCCAACTTATCTACGTGGGGGGTCATTAGACTCCAAGTAGATCCGGAAATGTTGAATTCTCTCCTCTTCTTATTGCGATATAAAATGTTTTTTGTTTCATTTCATTTACATTGGGAAATAGAGAAACGATCATTGTGTTTTGTTAGTTTTAAAAACTTTTGATATATTAGTATTTTGCATTATAAGCAGTCAACCGATTGACAAACTAGAATTATTTGAATTCCGTGTGGAAAGAGCTCGGGTTAATTTCGAGTGTTATCTGCAATCTAGATGTTTATAAATCATTTCAGTCGTTGATATAATAATTAAAGGTCGACTGAACATGAATTATATTATACAATTTAAAGCGCATTTCTGTTTATGCACGTGAACCCATCTAACGTTATTTTCGCAGTTATATAAAGTAGCAAATTATCGTTCCTGAATAGGTGGCGCCGTGGTAGCGGATCCTGTTCCTCTACTTCCGGTTTCTCCACTGTGCAACTATTTCAGTTATATTTTTAATTAACGATGCCAAGTACTTGTTGTTGTGTACCTGGATGTCATTTAAGAGGAGGACATGCATTTCCAAATGACTTAAAAAGAAGGAAAAGTTGGATCAACGCCATGGCCCATACGCAGATTGGATGAGAACACGATGATATCGTGGAGTCCATCTCAATCAGCTGTTGTTTGCAAGGCACGTTTTACTGAAAAAGACTATGTGCAGGAAACTATTCATGGTAAAACTCTATTTTCTTTGTGAAATATATAGTTATATATGTAATCACCATGCGAATAAACCAAAGTCTGTTTACAACCGCAATTATCGTTTTAGAATAAAAGGGGGTGGGTAGTTCAAGACGTCATAATTTTTTGGATTACGATTCAATGTGATCTGTTAGAGATTTTTTGGTGATTGCTACAATTATAATGATTTCTTACAAGAGGTATATCATACTGAGAATTATTTTAGCAGTAATTATGCTAATGTAGTAATGACAGGAATGCATAAGCTATGCCTCATAGACTTTCTTGAAAAATATCAATGACAATGTTAACAGGAACAAAACAATGACATGCTCTCATCTATATTATAGTTATTTAGGTACAAACAATGTACGTTTGTTGCATAAGTCTCTCATTGTTTGTCCTTTGGATTTACATAACATACATTGAATCAGGCAAACATAGTTTTATCCAGATTGTAATGAATAAATCTAGTTAATATTTCGCCAGGTAGTACAAAGTATACATTGCTAATGGAAGTTCATTGAATTATAAAAAAACTAATGTTTTATAACCTTTTTCAGGGGGCAAACCCACCATACAGAGACTTTAGTCTACTGCAGTTCCCAGCCTATTTTCCTGGACCAAGCAAGAGACTGAATCGTCCGCAAAAAGAAAAATCAGGGCAGTTTCCTGTGAAAACAAAAGAACTAAACTTGATGAATATTGTAGTAGAAATCTAGAGGAAGGTTTTGATTGTAAAGTTGGTTTTCTTGAAGAAGTCATTCATACTGCAGAAAGGATTTATGACTGTCCACCACCAACTGCCGAGCTAATGTTGAGCTTCACAGATGGAATTACGCAAACACCATCAATGCCTATGTTTTCAGCAGAGAATTTTGAAATGAAGACACGTGACACAGCCATGCATTTTTATACCGGTTTAGAGTTGTATACTAAATTTTTATTTGTTTTGACCACACTTGGTCCAGCAGCACATTGTTTGAGATACATATATTTTCAAATTGATAGGGTGTCAGTTGAAAATCAGTTTTTTTATGACTTTGATGAATTTGAGGCATCATACAACCAACTTTGAACTGTCTAGATTCTAGATTGAATCTAGTGTTAAGAATATTGTGTGTACATGGATTGTTTTTATGTCTAAACAGTGGTTTGAGGCTAACACTTGGCCATCTAGTGGTTTAGTCAGGTATTTTTCACCATCCAACTTCAAATTAAAGTTTCCTACGACTTGGATTATTATTGACAGCACAGAATATCCCGTGATAAAACCTAAAGCTCCTAGAGCTCAGGCAACCTTTTTATCAAATAAAAACAGAAACACTGAAAATTCTTGAATGTTCGACACCTGGTGGTTTAGTCAACTATGTCTCTATGTCACATAGAGCGAATTATTGGACTTGGCAAAACATACAAAATTCTAATAAATCCTATGAATGGAACTGAAACAAAACTTTCATCTGAAATAACATTTAGTTGTTTTATGTTGTGTAATTTTAGAACTTGTATTGTGCCAAAGGATGCATAAATAAAAGTGACGCAATGAATTTTGTTCTGATATATATATATATTTACAATTACATGCACATGTAAATTGTAATGCATATAAAAATAAGGAGATGTGGTATGATATTCAGTGAGTTTATCGAACCAAAGTGCATAAGAAATGGGTAAAGCAGTTACAGGTGTTACTGTCACCGTACAATCTCCAACAATGAGAAAAACTCGTACCCTGTAAAAAATGTCAGAGATCTTACAACTAAGTTTTGTTGTCTCACCTTGACTTTGGTGAATTTTTTATATCTGTTGATGTAAATATAAAAAAGAAGATGTGGTATGATTGCCAATGAGACAACTCTCCACACATGCACAAGAGACCAAATGACACAGAAATTAACAGCTATAGGTCACAGTACGGCCTTCAACAATGAGCAAAGCCCATACCGCACAGTCAGCTATAAAAGGCCCAGAAATGACAATGTAAAACAATTCAAACAAGAAAACTAACGGCCTATTTTATGTAAAAAAATGAACAAATATAACAAATATGCAACACATAAACAAACGACAACCACTGAATTACACTTTTATAGGCTCCTGACTTGGGACAGGCACATACATGTACATACAGAATGTGGCGGGCTTAAACATGTTAGCGGGATCCCAACCCTCTCCCTAACCTGGGACAGTGGTGTAACAGTACAATATAAGAAAGAACTATAAAAATCAGTTGAAAGAGGCTAAACTCATCAGATGGATAAATACAAATACAAGTGGACGTGGTCGGGTAGTTGTACATCCAAACAACAAAAAGACACTAAGTACAAATCTGAGAGTACTCGCAGTTACTGACAGCTAGTTCAAAGCCACTAACAACTGATAAAAAAATCTTGCATCTAAGACTAAATTATTAATCCTTAAGCTCCCTTTAGAATTTTATAAATTTTAGATTTTACATTTCTGAGTTATGGGGTTTTATTCATTAAAAAAGGGGGGATTTTCCAGTTTTTGGACAACAACTCAAAAATGCTTTAAGCAGTTCACATGAAACTTTGGTGAATTATTTATAGCTATTGATGTAATCTCCCTATTGATTTTCATAAATTTCAAATATGACATTGAGAAGAAATTGAACTTTATTTGTTTATAGTCTGGCAACAGATTTATTAAGTATTGCACAACAGCACAGTGTATTGCACAACAGCAAGAAATCTTTAATTGAATATAAATTCAATTCATATAACCGATTTCAAGTTCATTGACTACATTTATTCAGAAACTGTAATATGTCTAATATTTAATTACAATCCAAATTCAGACCTGTATCAAGCTTGAATATTGTGTCCATTTTTGCCCCAGCTGTTCAGGGTAGTACCTCTGCGGGTGTATCCAGCTGCACTCAGCGAATCAGTTTATTTCTTAATTAAGAACTCCTTTTTATACGACCGCAAAAAAATTTTTGTGGTCGTATATTGGTATGACGTTGGCGTCGTCGTCGTCCGAAGACACATTAGTTTTCGCACTCTAACTTTAGTTTAAGTGAATGGATCTCAATTAAATTTGAAAATAAGGTTCAATACCACAAAAGAATAGTGGGGATTGATTTTGGGGGTTATGGTACCAACAGTTAAGGAATTAGGGGCCAAAAAGGGGCCAAAAATAAGCATTTTTGTAACTTCCAGACATAACTTGTGTGTAAATGTATGGATCTCTCTGACATTGTACCACAAGGTTCCATATCACAAAGGGAATGCTGGGATTGATTTTTGGGGGTAATTGCCTCCAAATTTTAGGAATTAGGGGCCAAAAAGGGGCAAAAAACAAGCATTTTTCTAGTTTCATGACAATAACTTGTGTGCAAGTCTATGGATCTCTCTGACATTGTATCACAAGGTTCCATATCACAAAGGGAATGCTGGGATTGAATTTGGGGGTAATTGCCTACAAATTTTAGGAATTAGGGGCCAAAAAGGGGCAAAAAACAAGCATTTTTCTAGTTTCATGGCAATAACTTGTGTGTAAGTGTATGGATCTTTATGAAATTGTACAACAAGGTTCCATATCACAAAGGGAAAGTTGGAATTGAGTTTGGGGGTAATTGCCCAAAAAGTTTAGGAATAAGGGGCCAAAAATAAGCATTTTTCTAGTTTCCAGACAATAACTTGTGTTCAAGTGTATGGATCTCTCTGAAATTGTACTGCAAGGTACCATTCCACAAAGGGAATGCTGGGATTGATTTTGGGGGTAATTGCCTCCAAATTTTAGGAATTAGGGGCCAAAAACAAGCATTTTTCCAGTTTCATGACAATAACTTGTGTGTAAGTGTATGGATCTATATGAAATTGTACTACAAGGTTCCATATCACAAAGGGAAAGCTGGGTTTGAGTTTGGGGTAATTGCCCTAAACGTTTAGGAATTTGGGACCAAAAAGGGGCCAAAAAACAAGCATTTTTCTAGTTTCCAGACAATAACATGTGTTCAAGTGTATGGATCTCTCTGAAATTGTACTGCAAGGTACCATACCACAAAGGGAAGGCTGGGATTGAGTTTTGGGGTGATGAATCATAAGGGGGTTCAAAAAATTTGGGGGGGGGGATTCTTTTTCCTTTTTTTTCTTTAAAATTTTCCATTTTAAATTGGTTATTTCTGATTTATATATAAAAGCAAATAATAATGATATGGTTTGAATAGGTAAATTAAATTTTTTTTAGTATCTTAGACCACTTCCATTCTGTGTCAGAAACCTATGCTGTGTCAAATATTTAATTACAATCCAAATTCAGTGCTGAATCAAGCTTGAATGTTGTGTTCATACTTGCCCCAACTGTTCAGGGTTCGACCTCTGCGGTCGTATCAAGCTGCGCCCCAGCGGAGCATTTTATTTCATTCATAAATTACTTTATGCTTGGAAATATAATTTTGCTTGGAGTTGAAAGAGTTGACATGTTGCAATGTACATTTACTCTACATAGTTCTATGGTACCAAATCAAAAGTTTATATAAAGAAAGAAGTCAAAGGTTTCCCGTCATAGTTTAGTTACATACATTTTTTTTGTACCTGAGGTCGTTGAATATAGATCATTATATCATTAAATAAGGAGATGTACATGTGTTATGATTGCCAATGAAAAAACTAAGGATTTTCTTATCCAAGGAATAGATTACCTTAGCCGTATTTGGCACAACTTTTTGGAATTTTGGGTCCTCAATGCTCTTCAACTTTGTACTTGTTTGGCTTTGTTACTATTTTGATCTGAATGTCACTGATGAGTCTTATGTAGACGAAACACACGTCTGGCGTATTAAATTATAATCCTGGTACCTTTGATAACTAATTTGACTATAAACATAGATAAAAAAGGTACAAACTGGACATAATGCACTAGTTCATAAACAAGTGAGAACAATCGCCTTCATATAGTGCTCAGAATATGACATTCATAAAACTTATTCAATATCATTAGAGAACTCTAAATCTTAAATACTGAAAGCCACCTCTGATAAGTACACTGTACTATGCAAGATAATGATATAACTGGACTTAAAATACACACAACCTGTAATTAACTGCCTTTACAGCGCTTACAGTGCTTTGATTCAACATTTGCGTCTGGAAAGTTGAAATGTTTTAACTGAATGGTTAATTTAAATTAATTATGAAAATGGTTAAAATTAAATCAATAAAGGAAATTATTGCCCAGTTACAAACACTACCAGGGGATAATCCATAATGATTTTTTTTTCAGTTATATGTTTCAGCACATGTATAATTAACCCCAACTTTAGCCTGGTAAACTTGTTGTCTCCTTGTAAAATATAAAACATATTTAAAATGATTTCCTGCTAAAGTCTTATATTGATATAAAGTTAAAACCATCTTGCTTCTCACTAGTCAACACTCCTGTCCTGTCAGGTTTAATTCTTATATATATGGATGAAAAATAAACGTCCACAAAACATTAACATGGCAGCAATTGCTTTTACAGCCTTTAAGACTTTGATTTTTTTTTTTACAGAAGAGTGTCCACCATGCACTTGCATTACACTATAATAATAGTAGAATAGTATGATATACAAATAGATGAAAATTATATATACATGCAACCGTAATATTAATATAATATATAACAACAAACCAGTGTATTCTCTGGAACTATTATTATATTAGTATAATAGTCTAAGGTATACTGATTTGTATCACTACAATATAATAGTTATTACGGTTAGGTTGAATTTCCTGTCATTTATTCATCATCCAAGCACGAACTTGTATAAGAAAAAAAAATCTCTGTAAATTAACCTCAGTTTCAGGTATAGAGATGTGATCTGTTTCTGTGACATGTGCTTTTGACCATCCACAAGAACCTGCGGTCATCCGATGTTCAGTACTTCAGTACTTTGATTTTTACTGTAATAAGAACTTCTTCCTCTTATAATAGTTTTACTATGCATTGCTTATTGGAAGTTTTCACTTTCAAATGTAAATCAAAATTATAAGTAATGAATTTTGCTTAACTAGGAACAACCTCTGGAGGAAATGATGTGTTCCCATTTGAGAATGTAGGAACAGTACAGCATAAAGCCTTACATGGATTAAATCTACAGAACGGTTACAAATATTATGCTACAATAAAAGGTAAATATAGACGTTTGAAACATTGATTCATTAAATAAACCTGAACTAGATTTGTGCAAAAGAATAACACTTACTCTAAGATTGTCTTTGTTTGCTAGTAGAAATATTAGATAGGAATGAACTGTTTTGACATTCTCTTAAAGTTGAAGGTCAAGATTTAGACAAGTGAAAGTATTCCTTTGTTACATTTAAACATGTTATTTAGCTCCAAAATTTGTGAATTTTATTTATTTTTAAAAACATTCTTTAGCAAGACATTACTAAAAAAATTGTATCTATTTTCTAGCTGTAGATTTTGCTAACAGAGAAACCACAGTAATGTCAGATCCTGTGATTGTTGATATTACTCCACCAGAGAAGTCAAATGATCCCATAACAATTACAAATCTACATATAACATCCACCACAGAAATTGAAGCATGGTAATGTACTGCTGAAATAGTTATATGTCTTCACATTCCTTAAGAAAAAATATTTTTAGTCTAGAAAATTAATTTTAGTAATAACTTCCACATTTAGCATCCATAAAAAACAGAAGCATGATATTACACTTTTGACAATTAAAAAATGGCCCCAAATATCAATTATGGAATAGCTGAGGCTTTGCAATGTACTTTTAATATAATTACTATCTGCAAGTGGTGATACACTTGCATAACTGTTTATTATCGCTACAAATGGAGGAACTTGATAATGTAACTTGCTTTCTTCATGCTTTTGTGTTGTTGCCTCTTGATGTATACTTTTTTATTATATCTAAATTATGCATTACCATACATGTACGATATTCAGTGCATATGTATAGCTTATTAGAAGCTCATTTCTGAAATCCTGATTTTGACATTGCAATAGTAAAACACTCTTTAAAAATGCATACATGTAAGTAAAAGTACTTATCATTTTATATCAGTAAAAGACAGATGAAAATGCTATAAGATATTTCCAATTTGATCTAAACGCTTTCATGGACTGTTTCAACCAATGATCATTTTATATTATAGCTGGAAGAATGTGTTCGCAGACTTAGAAAGTGGGATAGATTATTTCCTATGGTCGATAGGATCAGAACCAGGCTATGTAGATATGATGCCATTTGTTACAGTTTTTGAGGAGTGCGATACAACAGATAAAAACAACCGTCTGGATCTGCTAGACGGCCATTATTATTATATCAATGTCAGGGTAAATGTATATGTAATTTACAGCATTAAGAAAGTAGAATTGTAAATGATTGACTGAAATTTCCAAAACTCTGAACTAGATATTTTAAATAATTTATTGCAAGCTAATTAATTAAACTCCCCATAGACTGTTTCATATAATGTTTGGTTATATTTTATTTTTCTTATATCACAGGTTAAGTTAAGATTCAGATAAGAGTATGTATTAGTAACTTAGAGAGTGTTAAAAGTGCATTTGTACCTAAAATACAAAAAAAAAAATGTTTTCTACTCATTCAACAGGCTTTTAACAAAGCTGGATTATCATCTTTGGCTACATCCTGGGCTTTCCAAGTAGACACAACGCCACCCACAGTTGGTCATGTATATGATGGAGATAAAACAATGTTAACAGGAAATGTAAAGGATATAGACTACCAGACAGAGACAAAAGTTATACATGTATACTGGGAAGGATTCCATGATACTCATTCGATCATACAGGATTATTACGTATCAGTTGGAACCTGTCCCCAGTGTGAAGATATTCTGACAAAACAAGCTGTAGGAATAACTAATGGTAATACTGATTTGAAATATATATATTATGTTGATGTGAATCATTGATGCTATTTTATGTAGCCATTTGGAATTATAATGATTTGAATGGACATTTCTATGGGTATTTGAAAAGTGGTTATATTGAATATTAATATTGCTATGAAGAATTTGAATTTTTTCATTATAAAAATAAGGAGATGTGGTATGATTGCCAATGAGACAATTATCCACCAAAGTTCAGATGAAGTGTATCCCAAGTTGTTAGGCAGTTGGAGCATTAATTGGAACTATTCTCAATTTTTAATGGACTTTTACACACAAAGTTAGCAAATGCAACTTTAAAGGTAGATTCCACATATGAGGTTCTTAAATTATGCCCTGTAAAATTAAGGACATGAGTTTATACCAATATGTAAAGATTGTCCTGAATTAAAATCATGTTAAATTATGAATAATACCCTAACAAAGCATCTGAATGTACCCCAGGTCATTTTAGGAGTTTTTGTCACTCAATCTTTAGTTTTATGTGCAGTTTAGTTCTTTGTCTTTTTGTATTGTTTTTTTCCTTTGCTGATGTTTTTATATGTTCTTCTTCATACTGATTTTTGTTTGTCCTCTGTGATATTTTCTCACATTTTCATACTCTTACTGTGACTTGATTGTCATTGTTTCTGTCCACCTATTGCAGTTTATTTAAAATTCAGACCAAATTGCAATTTGTTTCATTAAATAAAGGACAACACTTACAATCAAGTCACTGTATATAATACCCTGGTGGTTTATTTAATTTGTTGTTCTTTATGCAGTAAGATTTTCATTATTGGAATGATACTGAAAAGTAAAAGATTAGTTTCTTACACACTATCTGTTTTTTACATGTATTTGTTTGATTACAGAATTTACATTAAAGGATATCCATCTTGGAACAGGATTACAATATTATACCACTGTTACAGCATGTAATACTGCATCTATGTGTACTTCTGTTACTTCTGATGGTGTTATTATTGACAACAGTCCACCCATTGCTGGTCATGTACAAGATGGTACAGGGTTCTATGACACACAGTACCAGTCTATGAGGTAGGACTATTAGCTATTGAGCTTTTGCACTAATTGCAGATTATTAAATGTAACAAAATTGCAAAAAAAAGAAGAAAAAAAAAGGAAAAGTTAGATTTTACCTGTACAATGATATCAGAGGTAATATTTTAGTTTAAAGGTCAATTCTAATAGATAAATATATATTAAAATATTTGAAATAATAACATATGAAAATCTAAGAGTATGTAGAAAAAAATGAAAAAAACATAAAGTTGATGTACAGAAACTGAATAGGCAAATTCTCCTGAAAATGCATAAAATATTTGCCACTGGACATATCACATTAAGCAAACAACAATCAATTCAGGTGGACCCTTCAATTACAACAAATAGATTGAGAATTATGCTGTCGAATCCAACAGCACAAACCAGTATAAAATATTAAAGTTTAATGCAATAATATTCATGATTCATTGTGTTTGTATTTCTTAATGTTTTTTTTGTAAGTTGAAGGAAGATTTGTCCTGCACAAGATGCTGATGAAATTGTTCTTCATTATCAACAGTTTCCTACAGCCTGTATGAATAAGAAGTCAATTTTTTATACTTGAATACTATTGGTTCAGCTAATTCAGACTTTTTATGATGCTTCAATACTATTGGTTCAGCTAATGCAGACTTTTTATGATACGTTTATTACAGAACATATATATCTGCTAAATGGTATGGATTTGATGACCCTCAATCTGGTTTACAAAAATATGAATGGAGGGCAGGTACCAGTATAGGTGGAGATGACATTGTATCCCCAACAGAGCTACACTTGACAGAGGTTCTAGCACTTAATGATCTTAATCTAAATCTGCCTGTAAATCAGAAAATTTATCTTACTGTCAGAGCTTATAACAGAGCAGGTATGGTATTTCACAAAATGAAATAGAAATGAAAATAGAATAGCCCCCCTTTCAGCAATTCAATATTACTGTCATTACAACTTGTATATCTATAATCCATTGGTTTCATCTTCACCTACAAACCATACATCTTCTGACATCAGACTCGGACTTCTCTTGAACTGAATTTTAATGTGCGTATTGTTATGCGTTTACTTTTCTACATTGGCTAGAGGTATAGGGGGAGGGTTGAGATCTCATAAACATGTTTAACCCCGCCGCATTTTTGCGCCTGTCCCAAGTCTGGAGCCTCTAGCCTTTGTTAGTCTTGTATTATTTTTAATTTTAGTTTCTTGTGTACAATTTGGAGTTTAGTATGGCGTTCATTATCACTGAACTAGTATATATATATATTTGTTTAGGGGCCAGCTGAAGGACGCCTCCGGGTGCGGGAATTTCTCGCTGCATTGAAGACCTGTTGGTGACCTTCTGCTGTTGTCTGTTCTGTGGTCGGGTTGTTGTCTCTTTGACACATTCCCCATTTCCATTCTCAATTTTATGTTTTTGGTTTTCCTTCAAAACATTAACCTTGACTTTCAAATTTATTTTAACAATTTATGACACACTTATCTTTATCTAATATTTGAACTCTTTGTATTATCTCTGAAAAAGCAATAGCATAGACAACAAAATGAAAGTTCAGTACAAATTAAAGCTATTTTTTGTTCAAGGTTTATGGACAGAATCTTCATCCAATGGTTTTATTGTGGACATCACAGCCCCTGTTGTATCAACCTCATTGACCTTTGCAAAGGATTATGGGATTAATGGTCTAACACAGATATACAGAGACTCAATTAAAGTAGAATGGGACATAGATGATCCAGAATCGTTCATAATAAGACAGTATTTATCTATCAGTTCACACATTGGTGGAGAGTTTAACTTGTCTTCAATACATGTAAGACATATAAAGGCATGATACACAAAAATATTTTTGTTCATGGAACTATATTGATAATAATTAGCCATTTAAAACAAAATAGTGAAACAAAATAAAGTTACAAAAATAATCTTTAACAACTTCTCGAATAACAGAAGTTTCAATGATGTGAACCTCTTCCCTGGAATATAAATCTCCAAATTGTTTAGAGTGTCTTCTTAACACAGATTAATAACACTTCCTGATGATGTGCACAAAGGATTATAATTTTTGTACAACATGTTAAGAGGAGATAATAGAAATTCAGTGTTCTAATATGGGGTAATAGTATAGTGTTGTTAACTGGCTGTTTCTGTACTGGCCCTGTTATAGATTCGAGGTTAGCTGTATTGGACCCGAGACTCGAAGAGAAATACAGAAACAGCCAGTTCATAACACTTTTATCAAATGATTTAAAAAAATTTAATCAGAATAAACTAAGAAAATTACCGTGAAGAAGATACAGAAATTCGCAATCACGTCCATGGATTTTTTGTCAACATTGTCAGATGTAATTTCTGATTTCTCGTCCAAGTACAAATGTACTTAATATTATGCTATTACAATTCATTTTATCTATCAAATATAAAGTAGCTGGGAAGAATAAATCAGACTGTTTAACTATTCATGCTCTAGAATCTTCTGCATTCTGATGATTGATCAACGGAAATGAAACAGTAAAAATAATCGGAAGTCGTACTCGAAGAGGCTGAGAAATATTTCCCTTTCAAGACGTAACAAAACACTGAACATCATTTAAACTTTTTTTATGATATTAAGTTCAAAAATATGAATACAAATGTATTTTATTCATAACGATACGTCCAAAATTAACTGTTAAGTAAGCTTAGGCTTTTCCGTATTGGCCCCCGTATTGGCCCTGTCCGAAAAGCAATATTACTCCTGATTTATATCGACAGGACAACGTCACCAGTATTGCACATGCTGATTTATCCGTATTAGGGCTGATTTGATCATATCATTTAATAATCTCTTGTAAGCACAACTTCTCTTAAATAGCATAGGCAGATATTGATGAAGATTTACATAGGTATAGAACTCTACTTGAGGATGTGCATGTAGGAATTAAATATTGATTCAACATGTTAAAGGGGAGATAATAGAACTTTAATATTTCAATATGGGTTAATAGTCTCTGGTAAGCGCAACTTCTCTTAAATGGCCAGACACATATTAATGATACTTCATACAGTTGTAGAACACACCTGAGGATGTGTGAAAAGGAATGTAATCCTGGTCCAACATGTTAAATGGAAGATAATTGAATTTGATTAACTTTGTTCATCTTTTATTTGTTCTAAATCTGTAGGTCTTTTCCATAACAATGGACATTTATCCTTATATATTAAATGTATCCAGACATCTCATGTAAATGCATTTGCTGATTGTTTAAATTTTCACATTACTTTAAGTTGGGAAAAATCAGTATGCAGTTTGATACAGCCTGAGATTTTGTACTGTCATATCCCGTATGAAAATTTCAACAGGAGTTCAACTGGACTCCAGCTGGATTTGAGACGTATTCCAGTCTGACTTTGAAAAGTCCAGTCTGACATGAGCCGTACACGTACTTTTTCTTATACTTTGGTTATTTGCCAGCCGCACTTTTTGTAATGCTGACAAGAAAATAAACACGGCTGGACTTTTGAGGAAATTTATTCCTTTCTGTAGAATGATCAGCAGGATTTTTGTCTTAGAAAATTTTACATTCATTTATGACAGGAATTTAGACTTAGAAAATTTTCATCAGCCAAATCTACCCTTACAGAAATAAAAAGTTTGCCACAATAGATTTATTCTATGAAAGGAACAATTCTTTCAAAATATTAAACAGTTAAAAATGAAAGTTTGCAAGTAATAATAATAATGATAAAATATTTGTTTTCAATATACTTTTAGTTCAAACTATAAGATGTGATACTTTTCCTAGATTTTCAATTCCATTATGGAATATTTAACATAGACTGTTCATGGAAAGTTAAAATTTAATTTTGGTGACTTTTGATTGAATTAAATCCAAGTTAATATGTTTAATACAACAATAATTTAACATTTCTACTTTTTTCATAAAAAAAAAATACTAGCAACATCAGTGTTACAGGTTAAATTTATTCATTTTCTAGTATATTTATATTTTTAATTAGATGATTAGATGAATGCATAAAATTAATAATTTAATCATTCATTCTTTAACATCAATTAGAAACTTGAGCCATATAACAGTGATTTAATAGCAGTTAGTCTTGTAGAAATGTGCCATCTGTTTTCAATTAACCTCAGTCTGGACAGGTCACAGGAAGTATTATCTCCACAGTGATTGAGGCCATATGTAAGGAGAACACATTTCGAAATACATATTTCTGCAATTACTATCACTTTTATTAAAAATTTCATAATCAAACAAATTAATAATTGATTTTCTTTTTTTAATATATCACATATTCAAAATTAAGGCACATACAATTAGTCATAAAAAGAACATTTAAAACAACTCCTTAAACAACCTCATGTATTGCAATACAACACAATTTGAATTTGGAATAAACAGGAAGATGTGTCTTCTTTCTTGAACAAAATGAGAATTTTACATAATTTTGTGTAAAGCAAATGTTTGGAAGTAGTTCTTTTCACATTAAATAGAGAAGATGGATCCTTCTGACTGGCATCAATGACAATTTAGGAAGATTGCTGTTTGCATGTGTTTTGGATTGCATATTCTGGTAAGTACAATAAATTGAATTCCACCATTTTGGTGATATTATCTGATATGCTCTTTTTATTCAACATATTAATAGAATAATTACAATATTATAAATAGCTTAATTCTTATTTTTGAAGAGTAAAAAGAATAAAAAACCTACATCAAATATTTATATTCATGCAATAATTTTCATCATGTCTGTTATGTCACTGTCACTTCCTGTTTTGAATTGTTATGTAAAAAAAATGTATTGTTATATTTTTTTATTCCCTCTGTATTAAGGAATGGTTATTATTTGAGTTGTTTTGAAAGTTTTTTGATCTCTACACTTTAAGTGACTTTCAAAGCCAACTTCATTTTATTTTTAGCCACTTTAAAATTATTTAGGCTATTATAACCACAAATTTTTAGAAGTTGGCATTTAGCTTCTCAGTTCCCCATTTCTTGGTTTTTGCCAGTAAGACAGTACAAAAAAGAAAAAGAAATAACCAGTATAAATGCATAATGTCATCTGTTGTTTTTGTATTTTCAGATTATTATAGCAAGGGATGCATGATGCAAATTAAATCAGAAGAACCAACCATCTGAAGAAAACTGAGCAGTGGTGGATCCAGGGGGAGGGTTCCGGGGGTTGGACACCCCCCCCCCCCCCCCTTATCCTGAGTAAGGAACCCCCCTTTTGAAAATGGCAGGATTCGCCCCTGCTGAGATCATCTTTAAAAGTCAAACCCCACTTTTTGAAGTCCAGCTGGACTTTATAGAGTTCAGCTGGACTTTTTAAAGTTCAGCCGGACTTTGTAAAGTCCAGCTGAACTTTATAGAGTCCATATTTTTGCCACAAATGCCGGCTGGATTTTTTTTCAGACGTACTTTTATTAAAGTCCAGCTGGACTTTATGAACCGGACTCCTGCTAATTTAAATATTTCGAGCCGGTTTACGGCTAATTTCGCTGAAAGTCCAGCCGGGGTATCTATTATAAGCAATTCAAAGAAAAGACCAAATGAATATTATAAGTACGGTTCTCAGTACGGCTACAGTACGGCTACTGTCCGGCTGGAGTACGTGTCATGTTTTTCATACGGGAATTTTCATTGCAGGTAAATGGAATAGCTAGGTGGTATGTTATAACAGGACTAGACCTACATGATGGTGTGACATACTATGTAACATTAATCTCCTGTAATGGAGCAGAGATCTGTATTACCAGTACATCTCCAGGGATGTTCGTAGACAGCTCGCCACCATCCAGAGGTTAGACTTGTATTTGACAAATACCCAAGATTTTATTCTTGCTTTCACTTCTTCAGTATATTGACATCCTCTCTCTCCCTGTTTTAAATTGAGCTAATCCTTTCTTTTTATGAAAATGTATTCATGAAGGTGGAAAAACCCTTAAAATCCAGAGAAATCCATTTCTGATGAAAAATTTTAGTTTTAGTATTTGGGTAGAAGTGAATGAAAAAAGTAGTAAATATAAAAAAAAATTGATTTAAATGAATGCTTTTAAAAATTAAGAGAAATATAAGGATTGCTGTGCATAAAATGACTGATATGTTGAAACTTTCCCATTGATTTGTGAATAGAAAATTAAAAATGCATCACAATCATTGCAATCCACTAAATTTAATTACCGGTACCTACTTTACAATAAAGAATTCTGAAAAATGGTACCTTGATAAGTATAAATAATAATGAGATGTTAACTTCCCAGTTTTGGTATAGGACAAATAATTTAACCTTATTAAACCAAGTCATTTGTTTACTGTGCAGGAATGTTTGCTATAAATACAGACCATGCTGTCAATTCTGACCTATCTAGACATTCTGATGGATGGATGACATGGACATATTCAACTCTATTTTTAGCATGGCTGGGTTTTAGTGATGCACATTCTAGTATAAACCATTACAAAGTTACTGTTGGATCATCTTATATGGCTACTGATGTTGGCAAGGTATTACTTAACTGTCTGTTGAAACATATACTGTATCAAACTATCAAGTGAAAGTATGCTTGAGAATGTTATTAAAGTAGTTAGTTCACTAACTCATAATTTTGGTCCTAAAAATCTGATTTTTTTTCACTGCTAAAATAGTGGTGAAAATTTGATAAATTTATGTTAAAATGTCCAATTGTTTCAGTTAAAATATACTTTTACCAATTGCGTTATTAGTGAAGTATTTGTGACTTCATATTGTAGGCGAATGTTGTAAAAACCTAATTTTTTGCTGAATTTTGTAAAATTTATGACAGTTTTCTGAAAAATCAACAGTGGCGCCACCCTTCACCCACAAATATTATTGCTTAAATATTCTTTATATATCATATTCGTTACTTTTCCACAAACATTTTAATGGGTGGGGGGTGGCGCCACTTATCAAATCTTGAAAAAATGTAGAAAAACATGGCAAATTTCAAGAAATATGGACAAAAATGAAATCTATTCCTATTTCTAACTAATATATTTATAAATATGAAGCAGATATACATATTTTTCTTGTTATACTTTCAAATATCATACATTTAGCAATACATACAAAAGTTAGATTTACTTGAATCAAGTTAAAAAAAAACACCTTTTAACTGGGCTGTTTATTGGGGTACCTGGCTTTACTCCTTTGGGGATTTTATGATTTTATTTTGGGAATTTCTGATGAGAAAATTTGATGTATTTTGAGGAAAAGGTATTTGATCCTTTGCCTATTTGGAGGAAAAAGGTCTTTGATACTTTGACATAATAACCAAGTTAGAAAGAGCTAATTTAAAACTTATTTTATAGAGGGGAGATAATTTAAGAATGAATGCAACATATCCCGAGCATAATCAAAATTAGATAAATGTATGGTAAACTTGTAGTTATATTTTTTTTCAACATTAGAGTTAGTATGATCAATGATAATACACAGATTAGTTTGAATAATTAATTTCAGTATAATTTTCACAACTGACATAAGGTAGCACTTTTACAGTTTGTGTATTATGTAAGATTACAGGTTAAGGTAGTATGGTCCGGGTACACAGTTATCGTCCTTTGATTTTCGTTGTCCACGAATATAGTCCCTAGTGTGGACAGTGTGTTACTTGTCGATTTTTTTTATACCCCTTCCGAATTTATTTCTCCATGTTTTATGACTCAAATAGTAAGTAGGGGGGTGAAATGACACTGTAAAAAAATTTGGGTCATGAATTTTAAAGTAAAGTAGTGATTTGGTCCAGCTGAAAAATGTTAAAAATTAGCACATCGGAAGCTGTCAAAAGATTTGAAGACCCCCTTAGCATGAAATTGTCCATATTTTGAGTTAGAGCCGATGAAGTTTTCTATAATTTTGATATAATTTGTCCCAAAAGTAGTACAACACACTGTAAAAATATTATTGAGAAAGCGCAGGTGGGATTTTTTTAATTTCCATTTATTGTCTAAAAGAAATGCACTACGAAATAACTGTGTACTCGGACCTAAGAGGTGAAATCAGGAAATATAGAATCTGTACTTTGGCAACTTCCCTGAATGATTTGATGGTGTCAATTTATCAAATAGCATAAAACTAAAGGATTTAAACTTTTATTTGATAGAATTTCTGCAAAAATTACCAATTTTGGCATTTTATGGTCAAAATAAGCATTTCATAGCTTTTTCAATTTTGATGCATAAGTGGCATTCTGACTTTCTATCTGACAGGTTTTTATGTGTCAATATTTGTGTTTCTATGTTTCAATCCAGTTGTATTACTCATTTGTGAACTCTGAATCTACAGAAAAGAAGATTATCTCAGACAATATGCGCAAAATGTGTTGTATATATGATCATCGTCTAACGCCCTGTTTGGATCAAGTTAAATGTGAGGAGCTTGGAACATAAAAGTTGAAGTCCATTATAAAGACCTCACTAAATTTGTATAAAAAGCACTTAACAGTGTCTTTTGTACCTGTTTTATGTCACATAATACCTTTCTTTTCTTCTGTAGGATAGCAAGTGGTTCAAATATAAGCCTGTTGAGACTAAAATTGCATGCATGTTTTTCACTAAAAAGTGAAAAATCTTTGTATCAGACCATACTGTCTGCAAAAAAAGTTGAATGCAAGAGTCTTTTTGTGCTCAGATTTATTGTATCATGTCACCTGAGTATAGAAATGATAGAAAAGACACAAAATTTTATTTCATATAGCTTCAATATGCATTTTTAAATGTAAATATGTGATACGGCCTAAATTTACCCTAAATTATTTTCAGTCTTACTTGGCCTAAGACCCTTTTAAGCTAATGTGATATGTTATTTGTAAGTTTTCTTTCCATTTAAAGTACATTAAATACATATGTAAGGATTATTTATAACCAAAAAGCTTTACAAATTTAAAATTGCTGGAAAATATTACATCTTCATGTAAGGCCCCCCTTCATTGGAAAACCTCCATTTTTAGCCACAGGCTCATATAAATTTGACTTTTTAATAATTATGATAAGTCTGATGAATCAAATGAGTACTCTATTGCTTTTAATACATATTATATTATATATTAAGGCATTTCAAAAGTATTTTTTTGCAATATTTTAATTTTTTAAGCCTCAATTGTTGATAGTTGAAAATTTTCAATTTTAACGTCTAAATTTAACACTCAAAGTTCAATATAGAATTAGTCATATTGTCTATAATATATATCCTATTGCCATGAAACTTTGTAAGCAGTCTTATAATTTTATAAGCTTTAGTCATACCAAGTTTCATTAAGATTGGTCAACTTTTTCTACCCTATTAGGTCCGGGTACACAGTTATCGTCCTTTGATTTTCGTTGTCCACGAATATAGTCCCTAGTGTGGACAGTGTGTTACTTGTCGATTTTTTTTATACCCCTTCCGAATTTATTTCTCCATGTTTTATGACTCAAATAGTAAGTAGGGGGGTGAAATGACACTGTAAAAAAATTTGGGTCATGAATTTTAAAGTAAAGTAGTGATTTGGTCCAGCTGAAAAATGTTAAAAATTAGCACATCGGAAGCTGTCAAAAGATTTGAAGACCCCCTTAGCATGAAATTGTCCATATTTTGAGTTAGAGCCGATGAAGTTTTCTATAATTTTGATATAATTTGTCCCAAAAGTAGTACAACACACTGTAAAAATATTATTGAGAAAGCGCAGGTGGGATTTTTTTAATTTCCATTTATTGTCTAAAAGAAATGCACTACGAAATAACTGTGTACTCGGACCTAAGAATGGGTGTCTTTCGTCATCTTTGATTGTAAAATAGCAGAGCACCTAAGGTCCAGATTTTCAATCGAGTCAGCAGAATTTGATGAGGAATGCAATTAACTAATGTGAATTTCATTTTAAATAACAAATTTATAAGATTTTAACTTATAATTATTAATATTTTTACAAACGTAGATTATTTTTGCTTGTATTTCCAATGTTTTTTTAAAAATTGGCGTATTAAGGGGAGGTAACTCTGGAATAGTACATTTTCTAAAGGAATCTACATGAGATTTTGCTATTTGATATTTTAGCAGGAAAAAATTCTATCAAAAAGACATTTAGTTTAGCTTTTATTCACTTAAGGATGTTCGCTACTCTTTTTCAAAATAACAAGCTTTTTAAAAGACTGTTATAAATTGATACTTAATTTGGCAGAATTGATTCTCTCTAGATTTTTATCCATTTATCATTGGCAACTTTTTTCTTTCAAACACTGAAAAATAGCAAGGATTTTATAAGATTGTCAAATATGGCTTTTTAAAAATATATGTGATAAAATTATGAAAAGAAAAGTAGGGGTTTGCGGGCAAAAATTTTCAATGGCAATACATGGATAAAACCAGAGAATTCTGAATATCTGACAAAAATTCAAAAACAAGAGGAGCTAACATCCTTAAATATATTTTTTCCTGTATAATCCATACAAAATGTAGCTTGAGAAAAAGCTCGGTGACCTATCATTTTTTATTATATTTTTGAACATATCATAACATATACTACGTTTTGGCAAAGTATGAACAAATTCTATCATTTTTAATTTATACTCCCATACCACCTTAAGTGTTAATATAATTCACTCTATATGGGTATTTTTGGTGGATAAAAAATATTGTCGTCAATTGAAGTTTAATTTTCAAATTAAAAATTATAAGATTAGTATAACATTTTGATATTAAGGTTAAGATATGAAAGAGTGGGAAAATGTTCCATCTAACTGTATTCATTTGTACTTTTTATAACAGAAACCAGATGCTAAGTATTCACATTCCACTGCTAATGAGGATAATGGAGATGAAGGCAAAGTTCAACTTTTCAAAGTTCAAACTAAAGGCCTGATCAACTACGATATTCTCTATGTTACTATTTGGGCTGTAAATGGTGTAAGTATTTAAATGAACAGTACTGTATAATATGTAGATCGTCAAACTAAGAACTGTGCAGTATCATACATAAATGGATACATCTGATGATGGAGTTAAATGTGTAAAACTATGCATGCTTAGTGTTGTGTCATATACATAATTATACCTGCCAACTTTTCAAAATCTCCATGGGGGATTTTAAGCGCAAGAGGACCTAATGCTCCTCTTTTATTATCAAATGTGTTCTTATTTATTCTACTTCTATATTGTTTGAATGAGTATATATGTGCTTAAATACCCTTTTAACTCATTTAAATACCTGTTTTGAGGTCTTCAGTTTATATTACAAAGAATTTCAAAATTCAGGTCAGCACCGCTCATGGGGGATATCCCCCATAAATAGGGATAGTTGGCAGGTCTGCATAATTTATTGTCAACTTGTGTCAAATATATATGAATAAGATGTCAGTGAGACAGCAACCCCACAACACAAAAGACATCTGATGGTCTACATACATTCTTCAATAATAGGCAAGTATATATACCATAGAGGGGGTTGTGGGATATAGGGGTAAAAAAAAGTGGGGATGTTTGATATTAAAGGGGGTAGAAAAACTTGCTGCAGAGCATGTCCTTGATGAGAGGATAAAACTATTTAGTTTCAAGGTACAATGGCTTGAATCTGCAGTTTTGCATCAAGTTTTAAAGGCGACATTTCTCATTTGCAATAAAGTCGCAAGGTGACAGGCTGATTTAAAAGCTTTGATATAATGTATATTTACTACTTGAATGAATGATTTGGTATTTGATGTGGGTCTCGTTGGGGTCTAAGTGTGACGCAGGATTGGCAGATTTTTAGTAAGTGTGACACCTGAAATTCGAATAATTGTGCGTGAAAAGGGGAAACGAGGTCGGGAGGGACATGTGAAATTACAAGCGTTATTATTACAATGATAACCGGGATACGCGAATCTGACAAAACAATAAGAGGGATCTGGGATCAGGACCCCCCCCCCCCCCCCCCCCCAATGAGACCCCCTTTCATCTGTAAGTTTATGATTTTGAGATGTATCATGTAAAATTTTTTCATATCTATGTGGCAATTATTACATGTTTGGCAGTACTTTTAATTTTAATCAAACCATATGAGCAGTAAAAGTTTTGTCAATGTATAAAAACAAGTGGGGATATATTGTGCAAACCATTGGGTTAGCTTTTTGTTTTGTTGACCTGATTAAACACATTGATATATATGTATATCCAACAAAAATATAAAAGTTACAAAGTATGCTTATTTGTCTGTGAACATCAAACTTATTTAAGCTGCATCTTCTTGTAGGTTGGTTTAAGAAGTGATCTTATTTACTCTGCCTTCAGAAGAGTGCCAGGAGGAGCACTAGAGTTGATCAGACGTTGTGACTCAATGTCATGTGAAGGTCATTGTGTTTGTGCTCCGCAGGACCAGAAATGTCCAACTTCACCTAGTTTAAAATCTTGTACAGACATAACTACAAGTATGTAAACTTATATATAATTATAATATGAAGTACTGTGGATTCATTATTATTCGTTGGATACCAATTTTCCTGGGTTTCATGGGTACAGGTGAACCACGAATTCAAATGTTCAATGAATAACGTATTTTCAATAGGCTTAGTATACAGATATTGGCAAAACCACGAAATCAAATAACCACGAATATGCAAGTTTTCAGAAATCCACGAAAATTGATACCCACTAAAATAAATGAATCCACAGTATGAGGTGAATATCAATACTGCTGAAAAAAAACAACAAAAAAATACCAACAAAAGACAAGTAGAGATCACCATTCAATGATTATAATGGCTGCCAAAAGTATCCAAAATTTCAGAAAAAATTAAAATAACACTTTATAAATTGTATGCGTCCAAAGCGCTTTATGGATAAACCTTCACCAGCAACACCCAAAGCCAAATATTTGAAAGCCAAAGATGTATAAGAACCAAAACCGAAAAAAAATGTTTTGTGCTGTTTATCAGACAAAATGATTCCTATTTGTTGGTTTGCAATTGTTTACAGATTATTTAAAAAGAACATTGAAGTTTGTCTACCAGCTGTTTTATAATCATTAGAGAAACAGTTTCCACCACTGCATCTCATGAAATATGATATTTCTCCACTTTTGATAATTTTTTAAATATTCTTAAAAAAGTTGACTAGCCTGGCACTTATAAACATTTTTATTTTATTTCTCATAGATTGAAGGAATATCATATATCACTTATGCAGGAGTGGAATTTATATCTATGTTTTTATTTTCATGTCTGCAAAGAATTTAATAGTAGTTATTTAAAAGGAGTTTTTGATATATTTTTAGATAATTCAAACAGTATTCTGCTTGTCATGGATTCAAATGGATACTCTTCCACTGACTTGTCCTTTACTTCATCAGCAAATGTTCTAAGAGGACAATGGATGATATCACAGTCACAAGGACTGGCTCCTCTGTGGTGAGAAAGTAACCATACAATACATAGGGATCAATTCTGTCTTCTTCCTTTGTTCAAATAGTCCTCCAGTAGACACATTTAATTAAGAATTGTGTTAATTGTTCATTCTGGTTTTAACTGCACGGTAAATAATGTTTTGTCTACACCACACATCAGTTCTATAATATATGCCAAATGGTGGACTGAACTATATAAGGAAAATGATGATGATATTAATATTTTTTATAGAAATATCACTATACTGTTACCTGAGTTTCACAGTCCAGTGTTTGTTTTAAGTTTTCAAGATTTAATCAGTTTCTGAGTTACTGTAAGTTCAGAAATAATTGTGTGCATTTATTATTACGCTTTTTGAAGAAAGGACAAAACTTCAAGATTTCAGGAAAATCTGCATACAATTATAAGTATCTGATATCAGAATGCGAGTTCTTATGATTGCGAAATTGACCCTGTTGCATTATTTGCATTAATGAAATGTTTGCATTAATTTCTGAACTTACAGTACTATAGATACTACTGTATTATACTAATTAGAATTACAAGGAGTTACCTTGACATGCCTTTAGATCTTAACAAAATTATCCAACAGTAATTCAGATATATATATATAGAACTTGTAGTCCAGCCCTGGCCTCAGTGACTTATTTTCAATTTTTATTTTTTTTTGTTGTCACTGAGTCCAGCTCGACATCCACTTCCTTCAATGGTGCAAGCTCCCGGGTAGATTACCCGGGGACGATATAGACAATACCAGAGCGCTCAAGTACGAAAAATGTATAACAAATGGTAAAACTTGATAAAATAAACAAGTTACATACCTGAAATGCTTATACACTATATGGAAACTCATTTTAACAGGAGGAAATCCCTTGCAGTCGGAGCTGTGGAGATCTTGTTTACATCAGTAACGCTATATTACAGAACGTGACGTTTCTACGCTATAACGTAGACGAAACGAATTCAATGTATCGATAAAGATTTTCAACGCTTAAAACTCGTTACGGTAACACGACACCGAATGGCATATCTCGATCCTGATATTTAAATTTTTTTGGCACACTTGTATTTTGAATCGAGTTACATTAGCATATGTCATTGTATGCAATAAAAACTTAGGTCACCATTTTTGTTCTTGTAATTTTCATAAGAAAACGTCAGTCAATGTAAACGTTGACGACAAATTTTTTGAAGGGGAAATATATAACAAATGGGGCTTGGTATTTTTGGGGGGTATTTGATCTAATTTAAACTTGCATAGTTGATTTATGTATAAAATTGACAAAGTAAACTCGTGTTTTTCATCGAAGGAAATTCAATGTTCACACAAGTGTTTCTGAACCAGGAATGATTACACTAGTGCTTTTGTACCAGAAATGATTACACTGATTTTGAACCAGGAATGATTACATTGATTTTGAACCAGGAATGATTACACTAGTGATTTTGTACGAGGATTAATTGCAATAGTTATTTTGAACCGGGATTCATTACACGAGTGTTTCGGATCCATACATTCATGAAGTGTTTGGGTACTTATTTTGATTTGAACACATGATAACACAATAACGTTTTATTTACAAATTAGATTTAAATGATTTTTCTATGCAAATCCATAAAATCTTTATGATTTGAATTGTCACTAATTGTAATAATCATACACTGCATTGCCGAAGTTTTACAGTGCATTTGCGTTTTAATCGACTTAAAATCATGTCTTCTTTGTCAGTATCTATATATCATAAAACGCCGGATAGATTGATTCAGATCAATTACACTGGTTCCTTGAAAATTATTCTAATTCCAACCCATAAATGTATGTAAACAATAAACCGGTCAATATAAACAAAACAACGATATCAAGATCGATGCTTTCAAGCTATTTACATCCAATATTCTCTAGTGAAAAAAGGTACCCGGAATAAATACACGGTGGAATGAAATTACGCTTACATATGCACCCTCTATATATATGTAAAAAACTCTGCGCAAAAGTGCCAGTTTGAAACTGTACATGTAGGAGATGTAAGCCGGAGTCTGTATTATGCGTGCCTTTTTATATTATCAAAATGCCAAATCCAGCAACCTGTCATTTACAAAATATAAACCTGACGATATGCGCAGCAACTTTAGTATAAGCAGGTATACAATTTAAAAGACTGCAGTCCTAAGAAATTAGCCGTCTAAAACCTATTTATACCCAGTACGGATTTGACTGTCGAACGGGCACGGTTAAAACAATATATATATATATATGTTATGGTGCTATTTTATAAGGAATGTGGTGACAATACAAATATCATTGAATATGCAGTTCATTGCTATAGCATGTATAGTGAAATGGTGATTTGGAGATCTGAAATGAAGCAATGTTAGTAAACAAACATGTACGTCATTTGGTCTTTGGTGGAAAGTTGTTTCGTTGGCAACTATACCACATCTCCTTATTTCATTATGGTTTGTGTTTTCTCCAGAAACAAAAGAAGTTTAACGACTTAAACAAATATGTACTAGGAAACTGAAATATGTTACTACGATAGTTAAAATATGGCTATTGTTGTGAACGTGATAGATTTAATTCTTGCTATACTAAATATACTTATATATCTTTCCAATCCAGGGGACCAACGTTTACTAAAACTACAAATTAGAAGTACAAAGATACTAGTCCATAATGCATTAGTCACGATTTTCTAGATACATGTGGTTTTGATATCATTAGTTGCATGTTGCTATCTTATTGTATATCCCATATCTCCATTTATTCACACAAAGAAACACCAACACTATTTTTTACATACATAAAATTGAGAATGGAAATTGGGAATAGGTCAAAGAGACAACAACCCGACCAAAGAGCAGACAACAGCCGTACATACATACTTGTTTACTTGCTCTAAAAACTCCTTATAAGACTATGAAAACCCTCGAGCTTTTCCCCGACGCCTATGTGAGCAATATGCCCTCCCCCCAAAAGGCAACTCTGTTAATCGTCTTTCAGTCGTTTTGTCTCTCCCTGGCTTTAATCAGGCTGTAACAGGACATGAATTATGTAATTGTATTTCTTCCTTACCAAGTGCACATGTATTTCTGAGCCTTTGTTAACTTTCTCCTCATTCCGATGTTGCTGTCCTGTGGAGACCCGTTTATACGATTACAAAGCTAGAACTTTATTTTTAAAATATTTCCGAAACTATATCAGATTTCTTCTGTACAGACCAATGAATTTCAGAGACTGATTACACTTGGAACACAGGGAAAGTTATTTTGCCAAATAATCAAGTTCAACCATTTTTTTTCTCATTCGATGCTAAAAAAAAACTCTTTTCTGTGTGATAATGAGTTTCAACGTGTGCTTGTATTGTGCTTTTTTGCCTAATTCCATCCGTATTCTTTCAGTCCAGTAAATTTCTTTTTTTTTTCGAATAATACAAAAGAGTGTCCACCATGCACTTGCAATGCACTATTACTAGAATAAAAGAAATAGAATGATATACAAATGGATGGAAATTAAAAAAACATTCACACCGGTAAAGGAATGTTTTCGTGGTTGGCCATATCTTCTAGGACTAAAAAACTAGAATCTGATATAATCACATGACTATTGTCCATATCTTCGTAAATTTTCAGTAAATGACGGGACAATAAGAAATCTCTTCATCAATAAATCATTACACTTTTATTCTTTTAACAATTTTTCAACCCGAATTTCAACGGAGATGGTCCTGCCATGATACGATTTTGGAAACTGGACTTAGTCCGTAAGTCTAGTTTCACATTAATCACCATTCAAAATACTTTATTTTGGCCCAAAGGTTAATAGCAGGTATGTGTATCGTTAATTTGAAAGTTAAAAAAATTTATTAGATTGCATTAAATTACAATGTTAAATTGAATACACTAATTAAGATATAAAAGACTTTATGTGAAAAAAACAGTTTCAGACTTATCATTCGCTGCTTCAGTAAAACAAGACTTAACGAGGCCGGAATTTCAGTTGTATATCAACGAGAGCTTCAAAACAATGATAGAAGATGAAAATCGTCAGTATTAAAGTTGTTCTCCATTTTGTCACCAGTAACAATAAATTCACATTCAAAAAGCTTTTGAAAGAGCGGTTAATATATAAGTAATCGCAAGGAAATCGACAGAGCCGCCTATCAGCCGTACAGCAACCCCAAATAAAAATTCGGGGTTATTCGTTGAAATTCGGGTTGAAAAATGGTTCAAAAAATAAAAGTGTGATGATAAATTGATGAAGAGATTTTTTTAATATTGTCCCATCATTTATTGAAAGGAACCATGATATGTGAAAACGTTTAAACTGATTTGGTTTCTGTCACTTGGAAGAAAAAAAAACACAATCAGTAAACTTCTTCTGAACAACAGAAAGTATACACATACATAATTTAAAGTGTCATAATTTACCAGCAGCATTCAGTGCCCTAAAGTCCACGTTTAAAAAGTTTGAGGTGCAAAATCGTTGATTTAATGAGTTTAAACGTTGAATATCTTTATCGGGGGTCTCATTGGGGGGTTCTGATCCCGGATCCCGCTTTCTGTTTTGTCAGATTCCCGTATCCCGCTTACACTATGTACGTAAGCAATTCTCATTTTTTTGTAATTTCCCGTGTCCCGCTAGACTTCATTTCCCGTTTTCACGGCACAATAATTTGACTTTCACGTGTCACGCTTACAAAAAATCGGCAATCCCGGGTCACGCTTAGATCCCAATGAGACCCACTTTATCGATACATTGAATTTCGTTTCGTCTATGTTATAGCGTAGAAACGTCACGTTCCGTAATATAGCGTTACTGATGTAAACAAGATCCCCACAGCTCCGACTGCAAGGGATTTCCTCCTGTTAAAATGAGTTTCCATATAGTGTATAAGCATTTCAGGTATGTAACTTGTTTATTTTATCAAGTTTTACCATTTGTTATACATTTTTCGTACTTGAGCGCTCTGGTATTGTCTATATCGTCCCCGGGTAATCTACCTGGGAGCTTGCACCATTGAAGGTAATGGAGGGCGAGCTGGACTCAGTGACAACAAAAAAAATTAAAAATTGAAAATAAGTCACTGAGGCCAGGGCTGGACTAATAGAACTTGCAGCCTTATACCATTTGATACTGTTAAAGATCAGTTAAATAAGATTTTTTGCCCTACTTAAGACCAACTATGAAAATGTTTACAGGTATGAATGGAGTGTTGGTTATACTGGATTTTCTACTCCAACTGGTATATATAATCTAGTAGACCAAAAAAATTGGCAAGATGGAGGACAGTTTACAGATGGAGTATATATAACCAATAGAGGTTTGTTCTGTTAGAAAATGAAAACAAGCTATTAATTTCATGTGTCTGAAGAGCTTTTCTGGATTTACCTTCATCAGGAACGCTCAAAGCCAAATATTTGAAAGGCAAGATTGTATATATATATATATATGAACAGAAACCATTGAAGAGCTATATGATCAAAAGGACATAGAAAAATAGCCAAATCCATTTTAATTATTTATTGAACACATGTATTGGTTAGGGACATACAATTTTTCCCCATGTCTGTCTTTAAATTACAATCAATGTTTATCACTGCCTTCTTACTGAATGCCTTCTACAATATTCCATATAACTAGCATATATTAAAAATATTCTTAATCATTGTTATATAATGTATGAAATGCACTAAGGGACATATAATTTTTACCCATGTATATCTTTTAATGCCTCCAAAATGCCTCCAAAATTACAAACAATCAATGTATATCAGTTTTGCAGAATTTTGTTTATGCAGATCTTGATATGATTTTTCATGTGTAGATCGCGCACGATGTATACTGATGAGTTATATGAGCTTTTTGATTTGTTTTATTTGTCTGACTTTTCACAGATTTACAGCTGTTCAGTAAAATAGATACACTGTGGATTCATTATTATTCACCAATTTTCGTGAATTTGGTGGGTACCGGTGAAACAGGAATTGAAATATCCAATGAATTACATATTTTTTATAGGCTTGTATGCAGACTTTGGCAATTAAATTATCACAAAAAGAATTTTCCTCATTTCAGGTACATTCCCGTATGAAAAACATGACACGTACTCCAGCCGGACAGTAGCCGTACTGTAGCCGTACTGAGAACCGTACTTATAATATTCATTTGGTCTTTTCTTTGAATTGCTTATAATAGATACCCCGGCTGGACTTTCAGCGAAATTAGCCGTAAACCGGCTCGAAATATTTAAATTAGCAGGAGTCCGGTTCATAAAGTCCAGCTGGACTTTAATAAAAGTACGTCTGAAAAAAAATCCAGCCGGCATTTGTGGCAAAAATATGGACTCTATAAAGTTCAGCTGGACTTTACAAAGTCCGGCTGAACTTTAAAAAGTCCAGCTGAACTCTATAAAGTCCAGCTGGACTTCAAAAAGTGGGGTTTGACTTTTAAAGATGATCTCAGCAGGGGCGAATCCTGCCATTTTCAAAAGGGGGGTTCCTTACTCAGGATAAGGGGGGGGGGGGGGGGGGTGTCCAACCCCCGGAACCCTCCCCCTGGATCCACCACTGCTCAGTTTTCTTCAGATGGTTGGTTCTTCTGATTTAATTTGCATCATGCATCCCTTGCTATAATAATCTGAAAATACAAAAACAACAGATGACATTATGCATTTATACTGGTTATTTCTTTTTCTTTTTTGTACTGTCTTACTGGCAAAAACCAAGAAATGGGGAACTGAGAAGCTAAATGCCAACTTCTAAAAATTTGTGGTTATAATAGCCTAAATAATTTTAAAGTGGCTAAAAATAAAATGAAGTTGGCTTTGAAAGTCACTTAAAGTGTAGAGATCAAAAAACTTTCAAAACAACTCAAATAATAACCATTCCTTAATACAGAGGGAATAAAAAAATATAACAATACATTTTTTTTACATAACAATTCAAAACAGGAAGTGACAGTGACATAACAGACATGATGAAAATTATTGCATGAATATAAATATTTGATGTAGGTTTTTTATTCTTTTTACTCTTCAAAAATAAGAATTAAGCTATTTATAATATTGTAATTATTCTATTAATATGTTGAATAAAAAGAGCATATCAGATAATATCACCAAAATGGTGGAATTCAATTTATTGTACTTACCAGAATATGCAATCCAAAACACATGCAAACAGCAATCTTCCTAAATTGTCATTGATGCCAGTCAGAAGGATCCATCTTCTCTATTTAATGTGAAAAGAACTACTTCCAAACATTTGCTTTACACAAAATTATGTAAAATTCTCATTTTGTTCAAGAAAGAAGACACATCTTCCTGTTTATTCCAAATTCAAATTGTGTTGTATTGCAATACATGAGGTTGTTTAAGGAGTTGTTTTAAATGTTCTTTTTATGACTAATTGTATGTGCCTTAATTTTGAATATGTGATATATTAAAAAAAGAAAATCAATTATTAATTTGTTTGATTATGAAATTTTTAATAAAAGTGATAGTAATTGCAGAAATATGTATTTCGAAATGTGTTCTCCTTACATATGGCCTCAATCACTGTGGAGATAATACTTCCTGTGACCTGTCCAGACTGAGGTTAATTGAAAACAGATGGCACATTTCTACAAGACTAACTGCTATTAAATCACTGTTATATGGCTCAAGTTTCTAATTGATGTTAAAGAATGAATGATTAAATTATTAATTTTATGCATTCATCTAATCATCTAATTAAAAATATAAATATACTAGAAAATGAATAAATTTAACCTGTAACACTGATGTTGCTAGTATTTTTTTTTTATGAAAAAAGTAGAAATGTTAAATTATTGTTGTATTAAACATATTAACTTGGATTTAATTCAATCAAAAGTCACCAAAATTAAATTTTAACTTTCCATGAACAGTCTATGTTAAATATTCCATAATGGAATTGAAAATCTAGGAAAAGTATCACATCTTATAGTTTGAACTAAAAGTATATTGAAAACAAATATTTTATCATTATTATTATTACTTGCAAACTTTCATTTTTAACTGTTTAATATTTTGAAAGAATTGTTCCTTTCATAGAATAAATCTATTGTGGCAAACTTTTTATTTCTGTAAGGGTAGATTTGGCTGATGAAAATTTTCTAAGTCTAAATTCCTGTCATAAATGAATGTAAAATTTTCTAAGACAAAAATCCTGCTGATCATTCTACAGAAAGGAATAAATTTCCTCAAAAGTCCAGCCGTGTTTATTTTCTTGTCAGCATTACAAAAAGTGCGGCTGGCAAATAACCAAAGTATAAGAAAAAGTACGTGTACGGCTCATGTCAGACTGGACTTTTCAAAGTCAGACTGGAATACGTCTCAAATCCAGCTGGAGTCCAGTTGAACTCCTGTTGAAATTTTCATACGGGTTGTAATTTGAAATTGTTAATTATTTTCAGGTGTGAATTTTGTTGAACATTCATCATACAGTTTCTATGTGAGGGTTTGGTACACAGTGGACTCTTATGCTGTCTTCATGTCAGATGGTATTACTGTATTCTCTCAAACTCCACCGGTAACATCTGTCCGTGGTAAAGTTGTAAGTAAGAACAATACAAACTATAGAATAGTACAAAACCAAAAAAGTGTTTTGTAAGTTAATGGCTGGTAGTCTTCACTTCTAGATAGAAAAACATATAATTTTTCACTTATTGAATAGTCCAGATTATCCCAACCTCTAAACAAATAAATATTAATAAACTCATCATAGATACCAGACTTAAAATTTGGTATACCAGACGTGCGTTTTGTCTACAAATACTCATCAGTGACACTCAAATTAAAAACATAAGTAGGCCAAATAAGTATGAAGTTGAAAAGCATTGAGGACCCAAAATTCTGAAAATACAGCTTATCTATAATAAGAAATCTATTCCTTAATTTAAAATTATGAGCATATCAATTATAATTACTGGGCTAGTGATACCCTTGGGTATATATAAGTATTTGTGGAAACATTTTAAACTTGTTAAGTTATGAAAAGACTTCTAAACTTTCCCTGTCATGGTGGAAAGTTTCTTTAACAACCAGTTTATCATAAATGTTTATACTTTTAAGGTTACAGAAAAGACCCTAGGAAACAATGCCAAAGATCAAGATTATATACAGACAGGAAGACCCATGGTTATTGATTGGAGTGGCAAATTCTTAGAGGCAGAAGATTTGGTTCAAAAGTACAAAATTTATCTGAGTACATACCCTGGAGGTAAGTACTTTACTCTCCTATGAAGGAGTGGGTTTTTATCTGAGTACATACCCTGGAGGTAAGTACTTTACTCTCCTATTGTCAACGTATATTTGTTCCGCCTAACAGAAGTTCCACTGGAAACTTTGTTATAAACAATGTCATAATATCTGTTCCTGTTGGAACAAATATTCTATACCATTTATTCCGTTAGGAACATTTACTGTAATATTTTTTCCATTGGAAATAATATTCCAGAATACTGTTTCCTTTTGGAACTTATATTATGAAGGAACTTCTATTCTGTGACACTATGAAGGAGTGGGCTTTTATCTGAGTAAGTACCCTGGAGGTAAGTACTTTACTCTCCTATGAAGGAGTGGGTTTTTATCTGAGTACATATCCTGGAGGTAAGTACTTTACTCTCCTATAAAGGAGTGGGGGTTTATCTGAGTAAATAGCATGGAAGTGAGTATAATACTCACACATAAATGAGTAGAAGTTTATCTGAGAACACATTGTGGAGATAAGTTGTATACTCACCTATGAAGTAGTAGAAGTTTATCTGAGTACATGCCTTGGATGTATGTATTTTACTTGCTTATGAAGGAGTGGAAGTGACTCTTGAGTACATATCCTGGATGTCAGATTTATATTCTTCAATGAAGTTGGGATTAAAAGATTTCATTCATTGTAATATTTGGTATCAATGTTTATTGAGGATGTTAAATAAAATTTAAAAATTTTCAAACAAGGCTCATAAACATTCTGTGTGAAATAATTAAATGCTTCTTTTTGTAGTGTAAAAACATTGATCAAATATAAAAATAAGAAGATGTGGTGTGGTTGCCAATGAGACAACTCTCCACCAGAGACCAAATGACACAGAAGTTAACAACTATAGGTCATTGTACTGCTTTCAACAATGAGAAAGATAGCAACAAAGTCAGCTATAAAAGGCCCCAAAATGACAAATGTAAAACAATAGACCATTTTCATATTACCGACTTTTGACTCCTAAGTTTATATTTATTTGACAGGTTACCAGAGGCAGATTTAGAGGGGGGCCCAGGCCCCCCCTTTTTTAGGAAAAATTTGGTTGATTATATAGGGAATCACTGAAGCATGACTGGAGCGGGCCCCCACTTATGAAAATTTCTGGATCCGCCACTGGTTACATAGTACAGAGGTAGGACATCATGGTACCAGATCAAATAAGAGCAACGTAAAGAAGTAAAATGAGGCTTTCAATCGATACAATTTTTGGGGAAAATTAACTGCTTTATATTTTCTTTACACAACAAATTCATCGGAAAATAGAAAAATTTCCCCTCAAATTACACCGACTATATGTTTGATTTTACTTATTTTGGTTGCTCATACTTGACCGAGTACAAGGATGTCCTACCACAGAAAAAGTAACCTGTCGAAAAATTATATAATTTGGAGTCAAAAGTCGGTAATATGAAAATCGTCTATTGAAACGAGAAAACTAATGTCATGATTTCTGTACAAAAGAATGAACAAAAAACAAATATGATATACAGCAAAAAACAACAACCGCTATATTACAGGCTCCTAATTTGTTTGTATCATGCCTGAAAGGAAGTAAAATACGTTGCTTGTATTGCAAACTAATAGAATTTAGATAATTTTAGGTCATGACATATGGGCTGGAAGTGATGAATTATCAGGAAGTGCCACTGGTTACAACATATCTCGATTAAGTCTGGTACCCAGCGTTTTGTACTTCACAAATGTTGTAGCATATACCTACTCTGGAGTTCATACAACTGTGACCTCTGATGGATTTATTGTGGATGTTCACTCTCCTGTCTCTGGTATAGTGTATGATGGGATAGGTAATTATTATAGACAAATTCTACAAAATTTCACATTCCTTCTTTCTTCCTCAGCTCTATGTAGGTAGCTTGCTTCCCACATAAGAAACTGGACCAGACTTAAAAAAAGAATAAAGGTCAAGGTTCAATATCAACTGATATTGGATCTATATTTCACTTCAAAAATTAGATTAATTGTCTTTTTATAGTCTTTTGTATTGAGAGTGATCTTATACTTAGAATGATATGAAGTTTGACATATTTTACTGAGTTATCAGATTGTATTGATTCACATAAAGGAACCAAACTATGATTGTAATGGAAGATATAGCAATGAAGAATATGTAATGGTCTCCTTGTTATTTGTGTGTGGTCACTACTGTAAATGTTTAAAAAAAAAAAAACTATATTAGTAGTACATGATTTTAAATTTGTTTTTGAACTATTTTAAGATGTCTTTTTTGCAATATTAAAGTACTGCCATTATTAAAATTGCACAAACATATCCTTGGGTTCTTTTGTGCCCTTGATAGTAATAACTGTTCAAGTTTACACATGACTTTCTTCCAACCTTGAAAACTTCTTATTGTAAATATTTCTATTGATTTCTAGGAAGATCTGACCTGGAATACCAGAACTCATCAGATTTTATATCAGCTAGATGGCATGGGTTTATTGACACTGATTCCGGTATAAAGGAGTATAGATGGTGTGTAGGAACATCAGTTGATCCTTCTGAATGCTCTGTCATAGGCTGGACAAATGTTGGACTACATGTATCAGTATCAAGGAATTTATCATCTAGTATTACACAAGGTATAATGACTTGGAAGTGTTTTCTTTTGGTTTAGGGATCTAATTGAATGGTTAAGCTAACATAATCAATATAAAATTGCCAAGACATGTAATTTAAAACCTCATTTTGGCCAATAAAAAATATCTGTTAGTAAATTTTTCTATTCATGAAGCTTACAGCATGAATTTGCTCAAGCATTCTGTAAAAATTACACATTCAAAGTAAACATACTAATGTCTAAGTCACAGAGAAATGTTATGTGAACTTTGCACCTAATATCCTGGCCACTAACAAAACTTATATTGAAGTTATATCAAACTTTCTTTATTACTCTTTCTTGCATTTTATGATATATATGGCTATTCAATATTTACAGGGAATAAAATCTACAGCAAGGTATATGCCATTGATAATGTTGGTTTAAGATCAGACACAGCTATATCTGATGGTGTTGTCATAGATATAACTCAACCTGTTTCTGAAAAATTTCTACATGCAGATGTTAATCTTGTCAGTAATCCATCATTTGAAAACACAAGTGGAAGTGAAGTTATGTGGGAGGATGTAAATTCAACTGATATTTGCATGTTAAGTTATATTTACTATCCATCGTCATGGTCACCAGAACCATTGGCGTGCTTGGCAGTCGTATCTTCAGATGTTAATTTGGCCAAAGATGGACGTTCATTCTTGTTTATTAGAGGAAGTGTTCATCAGAGATTAGAAAATATAATTGCTGGAACCCTTTATAAAGTCTCTTTCTTTTCAAGTCATTTACCAATTTGGGACTCAGCAGCAGCTAATAAACAAGGATTCATACAGCTTGGAGACCACAATGAAATATTCTTAATATATACAAAGGCATATAGGAGAGATAACCATGGAGATAGCTCTAGAGAAGAAGTATCCTGGCACAGACACACTTACTATATTAAAGCTAATGAGGATAATGTAAATTTGACTATTGGAAGTGCTGATCAGAAAACAGGAATATTAATAGATGACCTCTCTGTACTGGAAGTGACATTAGCAAGTAATGACATCTCTGGTGGACATATCTTAGGCCATATTGTTTATATACATGAATGGGGGTCAATTCATGGATCTTGGAGCTTTGCAGACCCAGAATCTCCAATTATAGATTACGCTTGGGCTATTGGTATGTATGTTTTTTTAAGTATCTAGAACCCAGAGACTGCTTTATAATCTGTATTAGTATGGTTAATTTTTCCATCAAATAACATTTCTTTTGTGCATATCCATTTGTAAGCATCAGTCTGTTTAAGAATCCAGTTGTACCTTCATTTAATGATAAAATTAATCACATTGAAGCAACAGCTTTCTTCAACAGTGCTACACATATTTGATATACTAGTTATATAGTTCTTCAATCTTGCAGTTACAACAATGTACTTTGAAAAATATTCTTCGTGATACTATATAGTAATTGAGTACATACAGATGCCAATTTTTCTCATCGATCTGTATAACTCACAGTTATAATGTACCAGTATACATATTTTATGGTCTTCATTTGAAGGGCCTAAATGATATTATTCATCATTTTTCAATAGGTTATGCAGAAGGAGGTACCCAGATCCAGCCATTCAGGAGTGTAGGAGTGATGAACTTTGGTTACAACAATAACATTACACTGGTTCACAATGTCTACATTTATATCACTGTTATTGCCACAAATGCTGCAGGACTGAGGGGTGTGTCATATTCAGATCCAATACTAGTAGACTTGACACCCCCAGATATCAATTATATCAATGATGGCTTAAGTAAGTAATAAGAGCTATTTCTACATCTTTTTCTATTAATAAAATGATTAAATAGCAAAACTTTTCACGGGCTTGATTTTTCTGAAGATGGTCCTTGACAAATGTGTTTGTTTAATTTGTACAAAATCTTTTAATATTTTCAATTCACTATGGATGTCAGTAGAAGCTGACTTAATAAAACTAAAACAGATGTGAGTCTATTAGTGAAGACATGAATGGGCTGTATATCAAGTTTATCTATTGGAGACCTTGGCTGCATGAATTATTTTGTGTTTGATAGGACAATTAAGAACACTATTGCATTTGAAGCAGACTTATTAGACACGATAGAAATTTGATTTTGAGAAAACAGAAACGTTCCAGAAAACAAACTGTTTCACAATTAAAAATGGTACTAATACGACTTACATTTTAAAAGATTTTATTGAATTTCTTACTTAGAAATCCATCTTGCTCTCCAGCGTCATTCAAAATACAACTGACAATTGAAAGTTTAATGTTGAGGTCATCATGCACATACACTGTATTTTTGTCTGAATAAGAACATGGCTTTCTAACAAAGTGAAGGAAGATCGTCATATTGGAATGTTAGATTTAATAATTCAATGATTATCATGGCTCACTTTTTGCATTGATAAATAATGAAATAATTAAATTAAGATCAATAATTTTTATGCCCCACCTACGATAGTAGAGGGGCATTATGTTTTTCGGTCTGTGCATCAGTCCGTTCGTCCATCTGTCCCGCTTCAGGTTAAAGTTTTTGGTAAAGGTAGTTTTTGATGAAGTTGAAGTGCAATCAACTTGAAATTTAGTACACATGTTCCCTATGATATGATCTTTTCTAAATTTTATGCCAAATTAGAGTTTTGACCCCAATTTCACGGTCCACTGAACATAGAAAATGATAGTGCGAGTGGGGCATCCGTGTACTATGGACACATTCTTGCTTGATAAAAGTACATGTTGATTTGTAGGTATAGATGAAGATTCCTGGATCTTAAATGAAGTGTCTGCTAAATGGGAAGTAGAAGATTTACAATCTGGTATCAAGGAATGTAAATGGGCAATAGGTAAATATCAGTTTTAACACTTGAACAATGGGTAAATACATGTATCATTAGGCTTGTAATGTACAAGGAATAAAAATTGTATATATGCTTGAAAATTTATAATGAGTCATTGGTATCAATGTTTGTAAGTAGTATACAATGGGTAAATATTAATTGCACTTGATTGTTTGAGCTCATCTGGCCTGCTATCATTTGGCGTCCATTGTCGTCCGTCATCATTGTAAACTTTTTTTAAATCTTCTCCTCTGAATCTACCGACCAATTTCAACCAAACTTTAGATGAATGATCCTTAAAGGGTATCTAGTTTAAAGTTTGTGGTTTTTATTCTGTCTATCAACAAACATGACTTAAAATAGAACATAAGGGTAGAATGCATTATTGTTGTATAACTAAACTATAAAAGATAGAGAAAATCTGACAGGGGAAAAAATGCTCAGAATGTCAAGATCAGTTTCCTATTTTCACCAAAGTTATCAGATGACTCCTTGCCTTAAACAACATTTTTTTTACTAATTTTCAATTTTTTGCTTATCATCTCAAGAAACCATTGGATGATTCCTTATTGGAGATGTTATCCTTAAATGTCAATTTTTGACTTATTTTCTTGTTTTTGACATGTATCTTGAAAAATATAATAGATAGATAAAAACTGTAAACAGCAACAATGATAAGCATTAGACAAGATCTACAAATAATCATTTGATGAATTTGTAAAGAGTTGTTGCCCTGAAACTAAGATTGTTTACTTATTATCTAGAAAACTTGAATAGATCTGTAGAAACAGTTAAAATGATCAGCAATACAAGATCTACACCAAAACCATTGGATGATACCTTTAGGAGCTATTGTCCTTAAATGACTATTTTTGAATGATTTTTCATTTGTGTTTTGGCCCATTATCTCCAAAACTATAATAGATAACCGGTAAGTAGAAACTGTTAACTGTAAACTGCAAAAATGATCAGCAATTCAATATCTACAAAAAATCCAACACCATCAAAATCATTTGATGGCTTTTTAAGGATTAATGGCCCTTTAATGATGATTTTGACTAATTTTTGCTTTTTTACTAATTATCTCAAACTTTAAAGTATAATAGATAGGTAGTAACTGTAAAAATGATCATCAATACAAAATCTACACAAATGACGCTAAATAAGATCCACAAATAAGCAAGCATAAATGAATTGCAATAAAGGTAAAAATAAAAATTAATATCAAAATGGCATGTTTTAACTGATGAATGATTCAGGCTCTTGAGCTCCTCTAGTTATAAATACAGATATTTTTTGTCACTTCTGTTATTGTTTGGATGATTAAGAAATATTATTCAACATTGTATCAACAAAAAAAAATCAACACAAAATTGATTTTGCATGAAAAGTTTTAAATATTTATTTTTAACTATAGATATTTACATCTTTGATAGCGTCTAACGAATTCTAAGACTGATGGTAGTAACAGTATAATTTTGCTATTACTTAACTCTTTGATATTTTCTACTGAGTGACAGTCAAATGGACGTCTTAAGCAGATCAGCAAGGATTTTCAAAACTAAACTTTGTTGCAGTGTCTGAAATTATATAGGAAATTTTGCAAGTCTCAGGAAAATTTTACAGATATCAAAGCTTTTTATTAATATAATCCTGATCAGAAGTCAATTTCCAGTAATGGAATTCTGTCTTCATCAATCAGCATATCTTTTAGAACAACAACTTGCTCAGGCTGATGAGTTGACAAATTATCTAACAGTAGCTTCTTGTCTGTCTGGGTGAAATGTCAAATATTACTTTGTTCAAGTTAAAGTGATCATTCTGACTGTGTCCATCAATCTGTCTTGTCTGTCTGTTCTTATGTGTCAATTTTCTAGTCAAGTTTGAGTTATCCTTATTAGGAGAATGAACTATTAGTTCTTAGTGTTTTTAAACAAATTTAGTTTTTATAATTCTAATATTAAATCTTTTATATACAGGCTATCTACCTGAAAGGACAGACTTGCAAATCTACACCACAGTAGCAGGTAACACAGGTACAAGGGAATTTGACTACAGTGTATTGGAGGGTTATACCGTCTATTCTACACTGAGTTGTGAAAACAATGCTGGCTTGTCTTCGGTTAGATCTACTGATGGAGTGAAAATCACAGAGAAACGTCCCTCCACTGATCATGCTGAGGTAGAGGTTGTTGGTATATCGTCTACACAGTACAATCCTCAGAGTGGATTCCAGGGAGTTACAGATAACATAAGACTGAAATGGTCTGGGTTTACTGATAATGTTGGTATAGATGCATATGTAGTAAGTACAAAGCTTAATTGGTTTATTTTTACTTTAGGGGTCTGTGTGTTTTAGTGTAATGGTTCATTTATGGTTAGGGTTAGGTGAGTATTTGTTCTGGTAAGTGTTAGGTCAGTATTTGTTCTATGGTAAGGGTAAGCGTTGTAGTGTTAGGGACTTAGGGTTAGAAAAGGTTATTTGTTAGGTTGAGGACTAGGGTTAGTTTAGTATAAGTCTACATGGGTTGGGTCTTATCCCTAAAGTAAAAGAAAGTGGCTAAATTGAAAAGATGTTCTAGGTGATGGGGTTTAATGTCATTATTTATACTTTCATATGCAGTGGATTCATTATTATTCGTGGTATACCAATTTTGTGGGTAAAGTTTAACCACTAATTTAAATGTTCAAGGAAGTGCAAGTTTTCTATAGGCTGGTATGTAGACTTTGGCAAATTCACGAAAAATAGTTTTTCCTCAATCCACGAAAATGGGTACATATTAAAATAAATGATTCAGCAGTTTTTATACGCCCGTCAAATTTTTGACGGGACGTATTATGTTATACAAATGTCCGGCGTCCGTCCGTCTGTCTGTCCGTCCGTCCGTCTGTCTGTCCGGCGGAAACATGTCGCACCGTAACTTGAGAATGACATATCCAAATTTCATGAAACTTAACATAGTTGTTTCTTATGATGGTCAAACGATCTGTATACTTTTTGGTGAAAATAAGATTAAAACTTTTTGAGTTACGGGACTTAGTAACTAAAACAGGTGTGTGTTTTTTTTCACATGTTGCGCCGTATCTCAAAAACAATTTATGATTATTGCTTAAAACTTTACACACTTCTAAGTTATATTAATCGTAAGATTTGTATACTTTTTGGTGATGATTCAAAATTTTATTTTAGAGATATTGAGTATTTTGTTAAAAAAGGGGAGGGGTTTTTCACATGTCGCGCCGTATCTCAAAAACAGTTTATGATTATTGCTTAAAACTTTACACACTTCTTAGTTATATTAACCTCAAGATCTGTATACTTTTTGGTGATGATTCAAAATTTTATTTTTGAGTTATTGAGTATTTTGTAAAAAAAGGGGGAGGGGTTTTTCACATGTCCCGCCGTATCTCTAATACGATTTATGATTATTGCTTAAAATTTTACACACTTCTTAGTTATATTAATCTATAGATCTGTATACTTTTTGGTTTTGATTCAAAATTTTATTTTTGAGATATTGATTTTTTTTTTTTTAAAAGGGGGGTTTTTCACATGTCGCGCTGTATCTCAAAAACGATTTATGATTATTGCTTAAAATTTTACACACTTCTTAGTTATATTAATCTATAGATCTGTATACTTTTTGGTTTTGATTCAAAATTTTATTTTAGAGATATTGAGTTTTTTGTAAAAAAAAAAAAAGGGGGTTTTCGCATGTCACGCCGTATGTCAGAAACTACTTATGCTTATTGCATAAAAATTCACACACAAGACGACGGGCGTATCATGCCCTCATGGCGCAGCTGTTTATTCATAATAGTTAGGCCACATTTAAAAATATTTTGGTTTGCCCAAACCCTTACCAAAGGTAGAGACAGTGGGTAGGTAGGTAGGCATTTTCTTTTCTTTTTTTGGCAAAGAGAAATTGAAGTGTCAGATGTTTTTTAGTCTTCATGCCTATCTGATTAAAAAAAACTTTTTCACATCAGGACAATAAAAGATTTTGAGTAGGCAGCTATTTTCTGGGTAGGTAGGGTTAGGGCAAACAAACATATTCTTTTTTATGGCCTGAGTCATATTGATGGAGAAAATTAGTGTGATTAATGGGGTAAAGCACTTTCTTTTATCATAGTAAAATGTATCACATACTTGTTGTTGAGTGCAGCAGATCATACTGAATTAAGAATCTATTTTTTCTTTTATATACAGTCTAAGGGGGTGCCCAAACAACAGAACTTCTTGGTTATGTCCATTTTTGAAAAATAATTTGTTTTGCACCTGAACGTCTGAAAAGACATCTTTTACCAGTTAGTCAAGCTACTGTATCTCAGACTTATGTGAAATGTAGTTGAGCCAAAATAATAATGAAAGGATAATTTTTTACAGGAGAATCACCTAAGAACATAATAACAAAAAACAACTTAAATATATCTCTATTCCTGGAAATTTAAAAGTTTTCATACATATTCTTAAATTTGTCATAACTAGACAAAGGTACCAGGTATTCAGAATATAAAAAAAAATTTCACATTTAGCGAGTTACCATGGCAATAAACCATGACGAAATTTGTATATTTTGTAAAATTTCCTGATTTTCCTTGGTTTTTTTATCAAATTTTAAGTATATTTTAGATTGGCAAAGTATGTGCACACCCAAGAAACAACTTTATATTTGGTGAGATTATGACAATACTAATAATAAAGCTTCTCTTAAATTATTTTGTTGTTTCTTGACTGTGCACATTGTTTCCACAATGGAAATAACGATGGAAAACTGCATAAATTCTGTATTTTTCATCATTTTCATGAAAACAGTACATAGTATGACGTAATTGTGACGTCATCAGTTAAAAAAATCTTATGTCTCTTATCTATATTTCCTAACTCTATGCATTTCCAAACACTATGTGCAAATTTGAAATAGTTGTCAAATATTTTATTTTATCGGGCCAAAACCGGGCTTTATTTCACAGTGGTATAACATGTTACTTTAATTATTCTTCCCTTAGTTTATTTATTTTGTATTTGCTTTGTATCATTTGTATTCAGAATATAAAAAAACACTGAACAAATAAATTTGATCTATGATACATAGATCAAATTTATTTGTTCAGTGTATGTTCACTGGTGTTAATATGTCTTTTGATTGAGTTAAACCATTTCAATTGATATTTTATAGTGTGTCTTTCTATGTTGTGATGTTACACTATTGTTTCAGATAAAGGTGAAGGTTTGGTACCATTAAAACGTTTAAACCTGCTGCAATTGTTTGCACCTGTCCTAAGTCAGGAATCTGATGTTCAGTAGATGTCGTTTGTTGATGTGGTTCATAAGTGTTTCTCGTTTCTCGTTTTTGTCGAGCCTGCGACTTTTGTCGCAGAAAGCTCGACATAGGGATAGTGATCCGGCTACGGCGGCGGCGGCGTTAGCTAACTTCTTAAAAGCTTTATATTTTAGAAGGTGGAAGGTCTGGATGCTTCATACTTTGTATATGGATGCCTCATGTTACGAAGTTTCCGTCAGTCACATGTCCAATGTCCTTGACCTCATTTTCATGGTTCAGTGACTACTTGAAAAAAAAGTTAAGATTTTTTGTAATGTTAGATTCTCTCTTATTATAAGTAATAGGATAACTATATTTGGTATGTGCGTACCTTGCAAGGTCCTCATGCCCGTCAGACAGTTTTCACTTGACCTCGACCTCATTTCATGGATCAGTGAACAAGGTTAAGTTTTGGTGGTCAAGTCCATATCTCAGATACTATAAGCAATAGGTCTAGTATATTCGGTGTATGGAAGGACTGTAAGGTGTACATGTCCAACTGGCAGGTGTCATCTGACCTTGACCTCATTTTCATGGTTCAGTGGTTATAGTTAAGTTTTTGTGTTTTGGTCTGTTTTTCTTATACTGTATGCCATAGGTCTACTATATTTGGTGTATGGAATGATTGTAAGGTGTACATGTCTAGCGGGCAGGTGTCATCTGACCTTGACCTCAGTTTCAAGGTTCAGTGGTCAAAGTTAAGTTTTTGAGTTTTGGTCTTTTTTTCTAATACTATATGCAATAGTTCAACTATATTTGGTATGTGCGTACCTTGCAAGGTCCTCATGCCCGTCAGACAGTTTTCACTTGACCTTGACCTCATTTCATGGATCAGTGAACAAGGTTAAGTTTTGGTGGTCAAGTCCATATCTCAGATACTATAGGCAATAGGTCTAGTATATTTGGTGTATGGAAGGACTGTAAGGTGTACATGTCCAACTGGCAGGTGTCATCTGACCTTGACCTCATTTTCATGGTTCAGTGGTTATAGTTAAGTTTTTGTGTTTTGGTCTGTTTTTCTTATACTGTATGCCATAGGTCTACTATATTTGGTGTATGGAATGATTGTAAGGTGTACATGTCTAGCGGGCAGGTGTCATCTGACCTTGACCTCATTTTCATGGTTCAGTGGTCAAAGTTAAGTTTTTTGAGTTTTGGTCTTTTTTTCTAATACTATATGCAATAGTTCAACTATATTTGGTGTATGGAAATATTTTATGATCTATTTGGCAGTCACGCAGGTTTTATTTGACCTTGACCTCATTTTCAAAGTTCATTGCTCAGTGTTAAGTTTTTGTGTTTTGGTCTGTTTTTCTTAAACTATTAGCAATAGGTCAACTATATTTGTTGTATGGAAGAATTGATAGCTGTACATGCCTGCCTAGCATGGTTCATCTGACCTTGACCTCATTTTCATGGTTCATTGGTCAATGATAAGGTTACTTGGTTAATGTTAAGTTTATGTGACAGTTGTAATAAAGCTTTATATTTAGGACTATCAACATAATATCAATGATTAGTAAAGAAGGCGAGACATTTCAGCGTGTGCACTCTTGTTTATATAGATTAGACCGTTGGTTTTCCCGTTTAAATGGTTTTACACTAGTAATTTTTGGGGCCCTTTATAGCTTGCTGTTCAGTGTGAGCCAAGGCTCTGTTTTGAAGACCGTACTTTGACCTATAATGGTTTACTTTTATAAATTTTGACTTGGATGGAGAGTTGTCTCATTGGCACTCATACCACATCTTCTTATATCTATTTAACTAGAAAATACCCGCAAAATATACTTTGGTTCATAATTTGAAGATACATAGTTTTTGTGTAAGGCGATATTAAGATCTTAAATCTTTTTGAAGCGTGTCACAGACGAAATACCACCACTCAATATGACACACAAAAGAATAGTCTTCCCGACAGAAACTATTGGCGTTTGTGATCTAATCATAGGATATGTCATTGTTATACCCTGGATGCATTGCACTGATCAAAATGATATGTGTTTATAAATACCTTTAATTGGTGACATATAAATTGAAAACTGACTGGGATTTTTTACAAAAAATATCCTGACCCTGATTTGGTAAAAAAAAAAATCTGTCTAGCACTTCTAGCAGTTTTGTCAAACCCCCAAAAAATTTTGGTTATAAATTTTGTGTACTGAACACATAGGGAAAACATTGAATGATGAAAAATCCAGGTGCGCAAGACAGTCAATCCGCATCTGATTTCAGGTGTTTTTGTGCTCAGAACCACCCCCATATATGAGTGGGCTTACAATTTTATGCATTAATATATGAATGGGGGGTCACATTCCAGCCGCACTTTTGTACCCATTATTAACCGAAAACCGAAGTAATCCCCACTCTTTAGGGTAAACTTTTTGCTGAGCATAATACTTGTAGACAAAGCGGAAATGATGACGGCACGTAAATTTTTGCTAATTTAATGCTAATTAAAAATATTTTGCAACATGCTCTGTTCCGCAGAACAATATTTTTTGCACCTCTCCCCTAAAATTAAATCCTAGATCCGCACCTGATTTCTGGTGTTTCCGTGCTCAGAACCACCCCCATATATGAGTGGTCTGAAAATTTTATGCATTAATATATGAATGGGTCACATTCCAGCTGCACTTACCCATTTTTAACTGAAAACTGAAGTAATCCCCCCCACCCTTTTCATGTTGAATTGATGTGGTTCCCCGGAAGGAAAAGCTCTTGACGTGTAAAAATCTGTTGTTAAATTGCTGAGAGCGTCAAGGGAATGTGTATCACAAAGTGTTTCAGTGTAAGGTCAATATTTACCATATCTGCTACGAAATAAAATTTAATTTTGCTGGGCAGATGTGCAATGACGGAAATAATGACGTCACATAAATTTCAGAGCCGAACGTCGTGAAGGTAGGTCGATCTGAACTGGCTTTTTTCTGATTTTAACCCCCAAATGACCCCCCAAAAGAGAAATGAACACATAATAAACTACGCTGGTCATTACCCCTTTGTGGTATAAAACAATATTTGTGGATTTTATGTGAAAGAAGAAAACGTGACACCCAATTTCAACTCTATTCATTTAGTAATATAGATACCCCTACTCCTTTTAATAAATTATTGAACAAATAAGTTTGCTCTTTTCTGTTATGTCTCACCAGAAGTCTTGTCCTTTCTAACAGCTGTGAGTATGTTTCAGCTTAACATATCCATTAATGCCACTGATTTTTGACATTTTTTTTTATTATAGTCTAATAGGCAGTCTTAACAATATAAATGTATTCACTTATATTTTATTGTATACTTCCAGGTAGATGTTGGTGATGGCAGGTCAGAACTAATGTTTTTCCCTACAGAACAAGATTTGATGTATACCCACTTCACACAAATGTCTATAGCCAGTGATATTCAACAAAAACTTTCCATTCAGGCAGTTAATAAAGTCTTCCTCAGAAGTGCTAAAGTGACAGAAGACTTAATGGTGTATCTGGACACACCACAGGTTGATGGTAGGTTTAATATTTATACAGGTTCATTTTATTGTCTCGCCTTGATGGAGTCAAAAAGCGAGACATAGGTATGTTGTTTCCGGCGGCGACGTCGGCGTCAACAATGTATTAGTTTGTGATTAGGTCTAGTTCATGGTGAACCACTAGTGGTAGGTCAATGATATTTGGTATGCAGTTCTATTAGCATTGGCACATCTCATTACCATGGAGATTATTTGGCCCCACTCCCTCAGTCAAGGTCTGTTGACTTTGAAACTTTGCTTAGTTTAAATGTATTAGTTTGTGATTAGGTCAGTTTATGGGGAACCACTAGTGGTAGGTCAATGATATTTGGTATGCAGTTGTATTAGCATTTGCACATCTCATTACCATGGAGATTATTTGGCCCCGCCCCCTCATTCATGGTCTATTGACTTTGAAACTTTTGCTTAGTTTTCATGTATTAGTTTGTGATTAGGTCAGTTTATGGGGAACCACAAGTGATAGGTCAATGATATTTGGTATGCAGTTGTATTAGCATTGGCATATCTCATTTCCATGGAGATTAGTTGGCCCCGCCCCCTCATTCATGGTCGATTGACTTTGAAACTTTTGCTTAGTTTTCATGTATTAGTTTGTGATTAGGTCAGTTTAAGATGAACCACTAATGTAAAGTCAATGATATTTGGTATACAAATGTATTGGCATTTGCAAGTTTCATTTCCATGGAGATTATATAACCACACCCCCTAATTATGGTTCATTGACTTTGAAACTTTTACATAGTTTACAAGTTTATGTTTGTGTTTAGGTTTGTTTAAAAGGAACGACTTATGAAAATTCAATGGTATTTGGTTTGCAGTTGTATTAGCATAAAATGGCACATCTCATTTCCATGGAGATTGTTTATCCCTGTACCTTCAGTCATGGTTCATTGACTTTAAATATTTGCATAACTTACATGTTAAAGTATTGCTATTTTAATTTCAACATTTGCATTATCAAAATAACAAATAGGCGAGACATATCTCTGTGTTAACAGTTTATGTTATATAGGGGCATCCGTAGCTGAGTTGTCTAAGTAGTTCATGTACAGCAATCACGAGCCTTTTAACACTGATGTTGTGAGTTAGAACCTCACACATGGCAGGTGTGTTTGACTCCGATCATAATTGACTAGGTTGGCCAGTTTTCCTGCCAAATTGTGGTTTTTTCCAGGCACTGTAGCTTCCTCCACCAATAAAAACTGGCAGCCACAATATAACCAATAGTGCTGAAAGTGGCATTAAACATCAGCAATCAATAATCAATCAATCATTCTATGTTATCATATTTTTATATATGTATATAAACAACTTTTTTATGCCCCCGCCGGAGCGGAGGGGGCATCAAGTTTTACCCTTGTCTGTCTGTCCGTCCGTCCAAAGTTGGTTTTCGTTCTCTAACTATAGTTTGCCTCAACCAAATGTTTTGAAACTTGTACACAATGCTTATTACCACAAAATACAGATCAAGACTGAATTTTGGTGGTGTCACTTTAACTGTTCTAGTGTTATGCCCTTTACATATGGAAAAATTGCTGAATTTTTCGTTTCCATTCCCTAACTTTAGTTTGCCTCAACCAAATGTTATGAAACTTATACACAATGCTTATTACCACAAAATACAGATCAATTTTGAATTTTGGTGGTGTCACTGTTACCGTTCTAGAATTATGCTCCTTTACAGATGGAAAAATTGCTGAATTTTTCGTTTTCGTTCTCTAACTTAAGTTAGCCTCAACCAAATGTTATGAAACTTATACACAATGCTTATTACCACAAAACACAGATCAAGTTTGAGTGTTGGTGGCATCACTATAACTGTTCTAGAGTTATGCCCCTTTACAAATGGAAAAATTGCTGAATTTTTCGTTTCCGTTCTGTAACTTTAGTTTGCCTCAAGCAAATGTTTTGAAACTTACACACAATGCTCATTACCACAAAATACAGATCAAGTCTGAGTTAAGGTGGTGTCACTTTTACTGTTCTAGAGTTGTGCCCCTTTACAAAAGGAAAAAAATGCTGAATTTTTCGTTTCTGTGCTCTAACTTAAGTTTGCCTCAACCAAATGTTAAGAAACTTATACACAATGCTTATTACTACAAAACTCAGATCAATAACAAATTTGGGTAGCGTCACATTTACCGTTCTTCAGTTGTGTCCCTTTATAACTTTATATGATATGCAAGCGGGGGCATCATCTGTGTCCCATGGACACATTCTCCATTTATTTATTTCACTCCTGACATGGAAATACAAAAATCTACATTCTCATCTAACTTTTATAAGTTAGGAAATTTAGGTGTGGGGATGGAATGAAAATATAAGCATTTTTTTCTAGCCTTAAATTTTTGTTTTGTTTGTATGCTGCAAAATATTCAAAGTCTAAAAGGGGGATATGTCGGTATAACCATCTATTTTCTGATTGTGAGAAATTGCTTCTCATGTTTAAGATCTGTAGTTACTTTTTCATGAATAAATATGAAAGAACTTGCAATAACAAAGTATGATCAGTGAAGAATTCTAATTGCTTAAAAACATATACTATCAAACCAACTAAATATTTGGTAAAAAGTTAGCTCTCTGAAGATGGGAAAAAAAGATACTAAGAAAAAATATATGAAGTTTAGTGTCATAAATAAAGTAACTTGGTTGCCTGTTTGTTATTTCAATGGGATGTTAAATACTTTATTTTTATATTCAATTGTATTCAACAATAAAGGGAAATAAATTACCAGAAGGAATTGTTTGCCTGTTTTATATTTCAATGTATAAGGGTGTTAAATTCTTTCTTTTTTGTATACAATTGTATTCAACACTAAAGGGAGATAATTTAATAGAAGGATTTTACAAGTATTTTTATTTTATTTATTGTTTTGTCTTGTTTAAGAAAGCTAGACAATTATATGCTACTTTGTAAGTAACCACATTAGCTTGTATAAAGATTCAAATTTAAAAACATAAAAGAGCTGGATAATCTAATAGATTATAATAAAATAAAAAAAAGGAGATGTGGTATCATTGCCTATGAGACAACTATCCACCAAAGTTCAAATGAAGTGGATATCTGTACAATGGGATCATTTGACTTGCTCCTTAAGATTTTCCACTTAAAATTCAATCAGTAAAGCAGGCATGACATTTCAGCATGTGCACTTTTGTAATTTGTATACCATATATCAACAAAGGAATAAAATAAAATTGGTGTTGATACATATTAATTTCAATTTGATAAATAATGAATAAACTTGCAATAATAGGGCTTATTTTTCTTTCAGCTGCAAAAACTGTGAGCGTATTATGGAAAGAGAATAAATTTATGGCATCATGGGAAGGAATTTTCTTGTCAGACCACCATTTATACTATGAGGTGTCTGCTGGAACACATGATAGTGGTGTTAATATTCTTCAATGGCAGTATACAAACCATACCAGTGTAACATTTGGACTGCCAGCATCTGTTCAGGCATCAAGTGGATTAAAGGTCCATATTACCATAGGAGCAGTCTCTACAGGAGGATTTTATAACTTTGTTAAAGGGACAGTTATACTTCCCTAATTGTTTGACTATACTCTTTAAAATATACACAATGTCCTCAATTACATAAATTTGTAAGCCAAAAATAGTTTTGTTGAACTTGTAATCACTGTAAATGTACTTTAATGTAAAACATTCTTCTTGTTCAAAACCATTGACACAATTTTAAACCAAAATAAATGAAATATAAACACTGAAAAATGTCAATTAAAGTAGATAGGAGCTGACTTTTGTGATACTGGCTTTGATTTGCTATTTCAGTGAAAAATGTAACCCCAAAGGAAGAATAACCTTTGGATTCTTGGAAATATGTAGGAAATATTTTTTTTTTAGAACAAATTCAAACCGAAAGAAAAGTACCTTGCTAGATTTTGTCAAGTATATTTTTAATAGGTAATTGACTAAGACCATAATGACCTTTATCAATAAATGCTCTTCTTAGCTTATTGTTGAATAGATATTAGATTATAATTAGCTTTCTACTTTTAAGGTGTTAATGTTGTATACAAAAAATGGACATGTGAACTGTCTTTATACAAAAATTAAATTTACTGAACAATGTTATCTGTGATATTTTTTTTTAATTCTTAAATGTTGTTAAGTAAAATTTTGTATCAATAAAACTTGTTATTTCATTGTTTTTATTGTTTTGTATTTTTTTATTGTCCATACCTTGGAAACCTATATTGCATAGATATAAGAAGATGTGGTATGAGTGCCAATGAGACAACTTTCCATCCTAGTCACAATTTGTAAAATTAAACCATTATAGGTCAAAGTACGGCCTTCAACACAGTCTTGGCTCACACCGAACAGCAAGCTATAAAGTGCCCCAAAAATGACCAGTGTAAAACCATTCAAACAGGAAAACTAATGGTCTAATCTATATAAAAATCGAGAAACGAGAAACACTTATGAACCACATCAACAAACGACAACTACTGAACATCAGGTTCCTGACTAGGACAGGTGCAAACAATTGCAGCGGGTTTATTATACATACAGTTTGTTCTTCACAAAGAAAGTTGTGGAACTTTTTGGTAGCAAAAGGTGGCCCTGAAAAGCCTCAGCTAATTCAGATTTTTTGTTAACAGCTATATCTGAAGTAATTGGGGATGTTGAATAAAATGCATGTGTGGTAATATGCTATAATCAAAGTACTGAAGTACTGAACATGGGATGACCGCAAGTTATGTTGGATGGATGATGAATAAATGACAGGCAGTAATATACCTGCCAGACAGATCTGTACACCTTACAATTATTCAATACACATGATATAAATGACAAATTCATCTGCAAACACAATTTTTCGGTATGTGTGCATAGATATTACCGGTAATGATTTTTTTAATTATATATATATACTTCTCATGACAAAACATTTTCATATTATTTATTTATGTTCTTAAAAATATTTTCATGAGTATTCATTGAAGAAATGAATTTATAACAAGCGATAAGGAATGTTATTTTGCACTCAATAATATCCGCGTATTTATACAAAATACGTTCGGTTATCAGTCAAAAGCACAAGGGATGTGTGCAGAAATTTCTGCAGCAGCATAACACCGGTATTACCTCTCAAGGTCACATCCGATGTAAAAATGAGAAGATGTGGTATGATTGCCAATGAGGCAACTCCCACTAGAGACCAAATGACACAGAAATTAACAACTATAAGTCACTCTACGGCCTTCAACAATGAGTAAAACCCATACCGCAGTCACCTATAAAAGGCCCTGAAATGACAAATGTAAAACAATTCAAACAAGAAGACTAACGGCCTGATTTATGTAGTCTATCTGGATCCACAAAACCCTTGCAGCTACTGTTCTCTTGCTGAGGCACAAACCTGTTGTGCAGAAAGTATACTTACACAACAACGTCTGTTTGGCTTGGCAAATACACATCCATGCCCAATATATATATAGACATCATCTAAAAGAAAATAATTTGATTTCTTGATTGATTGTGGCTTTGTTTAACATCCAGTAGGAAATGATTGGGACTGTGATGACTGTCAATAATTGAAGTTTGGAGTGCTGTTAATCCTTCTTCAGCCACTTACATTCCAAAATGGCTGTACTAAGTCAGATTTATCAGAGTCAATCACAATTGCTTCCATGAGGATCATTTAATGGTTTAAATATACAAAGCAGTAGTTTTGCCCACATAAAAGTGGTTTATCCTCACCATTTTTTGTGCCAGTTCCAAGTCGTGCTATCTTAAAAATGTGTTGTTTGTTTTTGTTTGTATGCGAAACTTTTAGAGGTATCAGATGTTGGTGGTTGGTGTAGTGTACAGTACATTAATCTTAGTAATTTCTGTTATCTTTTTTGCGCGCCTGGCCCACAGGGCCAAGTGAGCTTTTCTCATCACTTGGTATCTGTAGTTGTGCATTTTCTTTTACAAAAATCTTATCCTCTGAAACTACTAAGCAAAATTTCACCAATCTTGACAATCATCATTAGGTATCTAGTTTATAAAATGTATCCATTATGACCCAGCTGTCCATTTTTACCCATTTTTAGTGTTTTTGCCTTTTTTCTTGAAACTATAATAGATAAGATAAAAACTTTAAGAGCAACAATGATTAGCAAGACAAGATTGATTGATTGTTGGTTGCTTAACGTCCAGTGTCAAGACAAGATGTACAAATAAGTCAACATGGTTGAAATTGTCCAACAACTCCTTAATGGAGTTATTGCCCTTTAATGATGATTTTTACCAATTTTTTTCGTTATTGCCTAATATTTTAAAAAGTATAATAGATAGATAAAAACTTCAATAGACAAAAATTATCACCAAGATAAGATCTACAAAGAATTCCAATGGCTGAAATCGTCAATTGACTCCTTATTGGAGTTTTTGCAATTTAATGGTATTTTTTACCAATTTTTTAACTGGGTTGAAGAAGGAAAAAAACAGTTATTGATTTGACGATTTTCACTTTTATTAATCAAGAGTTATGGTCCTTGAAGACCTTGATATATTGGAAATGGCACTTTATGTCGTTACCTTTCAATAACTTATGAACCCTTCTTCCAATGGTTTTCAAATTATAATATGTTGTTACTGATGACAAAATGGAGGTCAAGTTCAATATCGATGATATTCACTTTTACTGTTCAGGAGTTATGGTCCTTGATCTATTGGAAAATTACACTTTATGTCCTTTTTGTGCTATTACATTTCAACCACTTGACAAATGCTTTTTGAATTTAAATCTGTTGCTAATTTTTTGTATTCTTGTCTTCCATTTTTGTTTGTGTGCTTTGTCTGTAAACAAGGAATTATTTGAATCTGGAATAATTTTGAATTCTGGAAAATGGATAAGAAATGTATGATTAAAACTAACCCAACTAAATAGGGTTAGCCATGCGTGCATGGCTAAGCTTAATTTTACTTTCACTATCATTTCAGTATGAACTAACTAACCCACCTTAGCCATGCGCGCATGGCTAACCCTATTTAGTTGGGTTAGTTTTCATCATATATTTCTCATCAATTTTCCAGAATTCAAAATTATTCCAGATTCAAATAATTCCTTGTTTGTATGCCTTTTTGTGTTTCTTTGTTACATATTTGTTTTTTTTTTTTTAGTGATTTAGATTATAACACAATGTTGACTGTTGTACCCCTATTTTGACATTTTTACCTATTATGTCTGTTTGTTTTGTTCACACATCATTGTCAATATAATGGAATTTTATGTGACTGTTATACAAGTGAGAGGTTTAGCTAGCTATAAAACCTAAGGTTTAATCCACCATTTTCTATTCATAAGAAAATGCCTGTACCAAGTCAGGAATATAACAGTTGTTATCCATTCGTTTGATGTGTTTGAGCTTGTGATTTTTCCATTTGATAAGGGACTTTCCGTTTTGAATTTTCCTCTGAGTTTGATAATTTTGTGATTTTACTTTTTGCTGCTGATGAAAAAATGAAACTCAAGTTAGATATTGATGGTTTTGAACTTTGCAGTAAAATGAGTTATGGTTCTTGATAGGTCAAGTCCAATATTGATTAAATATGCTTTTACTGGTGACAAAATAGTGGTAATGTTTGAAGTTGAAGATTTTCATTTTTGTCGTTCTCGATAAATTTAAAAATAGGCATAGAATGTGTACAGAAATTCAAGTTTGTTGTCAATTTGACAGCTCATTTCTTGTTTATGTTTTTGCATATTAACTTGAAAAATAGAAAAGATAGATAGACACTTTAAATAGCAAAAATGATCAGCAAATTAAGACCTACAAATAAATCATATGGCTGAAATCATCAGTTGACTTCTTATTGGAGATATTTCTCTTAAATGACAATTTTTAGTGCTTTTGCCTATTATCTTGAATACTTCAAAAGATAGATAGACCCTTTTAAAACGCAAAAATGATCAGTAAATTTAGATCTACAAATAAGTCATCATGGGTGAAGTCGTCAGTCGATTCCTTGCAGGAGTGCTTGCTCTTTAATGACAATTTTTACCATTTTTTTTTGAGTTTTTGCACATTATCTTGAAATTTATAAAAGATAGATTATAGACATGTTAAAAAGCAAAAAATGATCAGCAAGACAAGGTATGCTCCTTATAGAAGTTGTTGGCCTTAATTGGCAATTTTTACACTTATTTAAGTTTTGAGCAAAATCTATAGAAGATAAAAAGAAACTAACAAGCAAAAACTATTTGCAAGACAAAATCTGAAAATAGATATAGGAAGATGTGGTATGAGTGCCAATGAGACAACTCTCCATCCAAGTACCAATTTATAAAAGTAAACAATTATAGGTCAAGGTACAGCCGTCAACACGGAGCATTCAAGCTATAAAGGGCCCCAAAAATTACTAATTACTAGGCCAACAAAGCAGAAATAATCAGTCCAGACTTTTTATGAGAGTTAATGCCCTTGAATTACATTTTTACCCATTTGGGTGATTGGGGCAAAAATCTGTGCATGTAGCAGAAAGAGAAACTGTTCACAGAAAAAATGATAAGAATACAAGATCAACAAAATAGGGATTTCAATCATGAATTATATTCTTATCTGCAATGTAAGAGAGTGGCCAAAGGGATGCTTACCACAGTGGGGATTTTTTTTAAAAGTTGATTTTGTAATGGTATCCCGCTATGAATTGTATGGGAGCTACCATTTGATTTTTATGGGGGGGCTAGGATGAAAAATTTTGTCTTGCCTATTTATTTTCCCCTCTATTCGGTCCTGCCTTTTTATTTTTCACTCTATTCGGTCCTGCTTTTTTTTTTTTTTTAGTTTATCCTGACTATTTTTTTACATAAATTGTCATCCTGCCTTTTTTTTTGGCAAATAATCTCATCCTGCCTTTTTTTTTACTCAAAAATCCTGTCCTGCCTATTTTTTTCCAATTTCATCCTAGCCCCCCCCCCCCCCCCCCCCCCCCCCCCCATAAAAATCAAATGGTAGCTCCCTAACTCTTATACAGGAAAAAAACTGTAACAACTCATAAGTACATGCATGTTTATTTGTTCCTCCAAGCATACTTTATAGAATAAGGAGATGTGGTATATTGGTTGTCAATGAGACAACTATCCACTTGAGATCAAATGTTGTTGATGTTAGCAACTAAAGGTTGCTGTACGGCCTTTAACAATGAGCAAAACCC